AGATCAGAGATATATAAAAGATGAGTATTACATTTACATATAAAATACTGGCTTGGACTAGTCTCAGGGGCTAGACTTGGGATGTGGGGCAAAAAGAAGAGAGTGTGTGTAAAACATGTGAAGGAGGTTTCGCATCTGTCTGTAATATGACATAAATGTCGATTTCAATGATTTTGTTGAATGCGTACTTGATCGGATCGTCATGGATTATGAAGGACTGCCACTATATATGTAGATAGAAGGCGCTTTTTATTTTCATTTTGCCGAAACCGGAAACTGAGGGCAAGTACTGTTAGATTGTATGTAACAATCTCTAGCGGTTTATCTCAACGTATCAAATTATGTATGCACAAGATGTGGGAATCCTTGATCCTTGTTGTTCTTGTTCTTGTCTCTAAGTGCAGTCCAGGTGGAAGATACCTTTTACCCCCTATTCGGTGGATCCGTGTGTGGCTCGCTATTATTGGCTGACAAATCTCCTCTATCTGATTGGTTGAATCAGCTTAGCTAATCCAACAAGTACGGGCAAAAAATAATTACCGGATTAGGAAATATTAGAAAACCATCGAGTCCAAGCTACCAGCGAATAGCTCATTTGTCAATAAAGATCACCGTACGGATAATATCTCATAGACAGAAGTATTCCAAGATGCATTGATTGGATCTGTGCTAGGGGTCCATGCATCTGACAGTAGGAGACTCTGAATAGAACTGCTAATGATTACATGGTTACTGTCTCTCTCTGGATGGCATACATGTCTTGATTATTACTCTTATGGTTCTTCCAAGACAGTTATTTATTTATCAGCCCCATTAATGACATAGCCTACCGTTATCTAGTGATTGACAGTCACTCGACCACTTTGGAAGATTACCTTATTTTAATGATTCGTGAGTATAATCTGAATACATACGTTAGGATCCCCTTGGAACGTTCAAAGCGTGACAGTATCCCTTGATTCTCTATGAGATGCGTTGTTTCTATCTCCATGCATATCGCATAGGCCAGATTGATAACCTGTATTCAGCATTTCCCTAGGAAAAGTTCATATCAAGACTCTTCGGAAGCATTTTAGATGATGCCCAGAGCCCTTACCTTGGAAGATGGGAGCCTCTATGATAGTGAAACCAAGTTATAACGAAATGAAGGCCTTTCCTTATGCTAATTTCAGCTTCAAATGCTTCAAAGTGGACCCACAAGTATCCCCAGGATTTATTATTAAGGAGTTTAGTACATTATAGTGGTCGCCATTCCGAAATCAAATTATTATCTGCATATTGGCTTAGTTGGGGAGAGGTCCTTTGTTCGTTATAGTCCGATTTTACCCTAGCAACTGTCGGATTAGTCGGTTGATTCCAGGCCAATCCTGAAGATGGTTTTACTGGGATGGAAAAAAGAAGCGACTAGCAAGATTGTATGTGTATTGAGTTCTCTGTCTGTCTTTCAAGTCTTTAAAGCCGGGTCCTTTATAGACACCTTTGGCGGGGTGATTTGTGAGCTATCAGGAGGGGTAAATATTGGGCTGATATCTAGGTGCCCAGATATATGCCTAAAGGTGCCTTTTAGACCTGTAAGATTGAACAGTCGATCTTTCTGCCTCGTTTGAAAGCCGGATTATCTGACAGCAACACAACCCTAGATTACTTATGCCCTAACTAACTAACCTAATCAGCAAGTGATTAGGATAAGCGATAAACCAATGATGGACAGTTAAGGAGGTCCACTATCTCTAGGCCAATGAAAATTTGAGTTCGTAAACCTTACCACATTAAGACTAGCGCGTATGGCTTAGCCGCGGGGAAAATCGTCGAAGGTCCGACGTTACCAGGAGACTCACTACTGCAGACGACAGTCAACTACTTCTCCTTTCGCATCCCGTCACGCGCAAATTACAATGATTCCGAGCCAGCTATCTCTTTGGGTGTGCTGCAATATTATATACCTCTTGCCTAGTTAGCATCATGCCTTCCAGGCGCCAACATCTCAAATCTCGCCACGGTTGTCTGACATGCAAGTCTAGGAAAGTAAAGGTACGCACAGCAGCTAGCCATTCGAAACCGCAGAAAGCAATACATATGTGATACGGAAGATGAGCCTGATATGAGGCCAATAGTGCGATTTTCAGAGACCTGTGTGCAGTCATTGCTCACGAAGAAAGGAACGATGTCGATACACGGAAGATGCACCAAACCTATCCCATAATCGACTCTCACATGCATACCGTCGAAATGCTATGTACTCGTCCGAAGGCCATTTACCAGCTCCTCTATTCACCAGTTTACGGAATCTCGAACAGATTTTGTTGCATCATTTCTCATCTAGCGTCAGTCTCACGTTGTCAGATCGAAGCGATTTCCAGGAAGTCTGGTCTCATCATGTTCCCAGAGATAGTTACGATTATCCACACTTGATGCACAGTATTCTGGCCGTATCGGCTCTTCACTTGTCGCAGACAGCAAACCCCGAGAATCTTGCTGATATTAGATTCTACGCGGCGCTGGCGACTAACCATCATGTTACAGCGTTGTCCCTTCTCACGCCTCATGTTACTGGTGTCACAATAAACAATTTTGATGCCATGTATGCAACCGCCATGCTTGTCTTTCTTTACGCACTGATGACGCTATCGGACTCTTCATGTCTCTCGCAACACATTGTAGCACTCTCCGAATTGGCCAAGGGAATTCTAGCCGTAAGGAGAGAAGGCGAAGAAAGGTGTGAAATCAAGAAGTCCTATTTGTTGCGCGATTATTGCGCATGGGACCATCCACCGCCACTTCCAGATGGTTTGCATCGAACAGTGCGAAATATAGAGCACTTAGTTGCCTCACTTCCCGAGACTAAAGAGAAAACGGAAAACAAGACCGAATATCAGCAGGCCATTAGGATCCTCCGTTGTACCCTCAACGCTGTCAACCTGAATCGTGAACATCCAGCGATGGTCTTCATGTGGTTGACTCTCGTCAATCGTCGTTATATCGAACTTGTGGAATCCAAGGATACTATGGCTCTCATGATCCTAGGTCATTACGGGATTTGTATGCTACAAGTGAAAGACAAATGGTGGTCCGCAAAGTGTGGGGCATATCTCGTTTCTGCAGTGCACCGAATCCTCGATAATTGACGTAGATAGACCTTATTGCAGCATATTGAGCCAAAGGATGATAAAAATCGCCTCTGGTAGCAGCTTCTCATCAAATCGCAGGAGCGGATTGTTGTTGGCTTTCTACGCAAAAATCTCGCATGTATATGCGTCTCACCTCCCATAACCTCAAGTCGTACATTTAGGACGACTGCATTGTCAATTTATCAATATTTCGTCTTGAGAAACCCATTGAACTGGAATGACGGCTTATACAGCTGAACAAGTACCTATGGCTGGTAAATATATACCAACCATTTCGTCTTACTGGAAAGAACCTCAAGGAGAACCACTATGAGCCATTGGCCTTCATATCAGGGAGATGAAACATCAGTTCGCCTGTGGACGTCAAAACTGAGTATAGACGTGTTTTCTAACCCAATGCACTCGCGACATTTGATATTCAAAGCAAAAGGGCCCACAAAGCAACAACTACTGATCTTGTATCAGCTCAATACTCGTACAGCCAACATCAACTAGACATCATCATCGTGCCGAAATATCTACAAAAAGTCTGCTTACAAGTTGGCAACTGGCTCTCTACTCCTGCGTCGAAGGCTATTTTGATTCTTATAACTGGAGTCATTATTAAAACTCATGTAGCTACGTGACTCGGTCACTGTATTATTACTCTGGCCGTTGTTTTATGCGCCATTGAGCTAAGCGATTCGACTGTTCAGTGTGTGAGTTCTGGGATAACGTTTCATCGCGTGCACACACGCTGATTCTGGGTTTTCAGGTTGGTAGGGAGCACTTGATGGTACGTACCTTTCCGATTAGGGCTTCTGTCCAAAGCAACGAAAATGGGTTGGCTGGGAGATACCACCAGGAATGTAACTACATAGCCAACTCAGTACGCAGTAGCTGGCCAGGAGGTCCTTTTTTAGATTACAAGCGCTTAGTTATAACCGACCCGCTAAACAGTTTCTAATGGATCTTTCATTAGTTAGCTCATTCAATATCAAGTAAGAACCGGCGAAACGCCGTGTTTCATGATCTAGAAATGTTGTATCGCAGAGTCTCATTATTGGACCTTTCCAAGCGCGCCAGTTGCAAGATGGTCATAATGAGCCCCAATCAATTTATTAATGATTTATGGGGCTACTACTGAATAATGGAGATCTTACATTCCCTACGTGATCTTCAAATTTTAATCAAACCCAAGGCCAACGTAGACAGTCAATGTCGGGATTTACCAGCAAGGCGCCCATACCGGGGTACGCGTATAAATCAAGATGCAAGGTTTCCAGGCCTCGTTAGAGCCATTTTTTTCGCTTGGAACGGTCGCCGAATTTCCACTACTACTTATATCAAAAATGGTACTGTCATCCTTGGTGACATGCTGTCAATGTGACTGCCACTATGTTTGGCAAGATGATCTGGAGCATGTTTACAAAACATTCCAACATACAAGCTGCGGGGGCTCATTTCTCAAATATTTCTTCCAGAGCAGTTACTCCTTCCTTTCCAAAAATCGCTTTCACGACTCAAAATCAAGGGCTGCCACTATCTCGTGCACTACTTCAAAAAAGTGATAAATTATCCGGCACAGTCTACCATCATGAAGTATCTTGCTCTCACTGGCTTCCTCGCCGCTCATGCGGCTGCACTGAGGAACGTCATGTATGTTGACCAGTAAGTCGAACCTATAACCATCCTTATTATGTGTGTTAGAATCTCCTGCTCTAACAAGTATGTATTACAAAGATGGCACATTTCCAGTCTACCATCAAGTGATCTTGTGTCATCGGTGACACATGCCATCATGGCATTCGCACCATCGGAAAATTTCAACAGCGGAAGCACATTTACACCGTTCGAGTCAATTGATACCTTTAGAGCTCGTTTCCCCAGCACAACAAAGATTATGGTTGCTATCGGAGGCTGGGGTGACAATGCTGGCTTCTCGACAGCCGCTGTTAGTGAGACCTCACGATCTACTTATGCGAAAAACGTCGCGGCCATGCTAGAGTCAACCGGCCTTGACGGCGTTGGTAAGCATATATTATCTATCAATTATATTTAAGACGATGGCTGACAGTCTCCTTCCTCGCTTCACACAGACCTTGACTGGGAATATCCTGGAGGCAACGGAGCAGACTACAAAACAGTTCCAAACTCGCAACGTGCCGCTGAAGTGAATACTTTGCCTCTCCTGGTTCGAGCTATCCGTGATGCCATTGGTGACGACAAGATCCTCTCGATCGCAACTCCAGGACTCAAGCGCGATATGATTGGATACACTGCTGAAAATGGCCCTACGGTTTTCGGCGCCGTCGACATGGTCAATATCATGAGCTATGATTTAATGAATCGACGTGACAACGTTACTAAACATCATACAAGCATTAAAGACTCATTGGAAACAGTCAATAACTATCTTGACATTGGCATGAACGCAACAAAGGGAAACCTAGGTATTGCATTTTATGCCAAATACTTCACTACCGACCCATCCTCTGATTGTGCTACTAACCCAGTCGGCTGCGCTACGGTGGAACTTGAGGATGCTAATGGTCAAGACACCGGCAAGTCTGGTGCAGTGACCTTCGAGACTAGTCCTGAGGTTTCAAGTTCCTCCATTACATCGTCATGGAGCAAAGCCAAAGCTAACGGCATAACCGATGAAGACGCTGGTGGACAGTATTATTGGGACAGTGATGCGCAGCTCTTTTGGACTTGGGACACTCCAGATTTGATCACTCAAAAATTTGCCGATATTATTGCTGCGACAGGTTTGGGAGGTGTCATGGCATGGAGCTTGGGTGAAGATAGTCTTGATTGGAGCGAGCTTAAGGCGATCAACTCTGGTGTTGCAGCCGCGCCGTAAGAAGCGCAATATCGAGTGAGAACTTGTCGTCTGCTCAAAGTATCTATTTTCACTATGATCAATCTTTAATTTCCCCGTATAGGTTCGCTCTTGGCCCTTCAAATACTTAATCTAGATTCCAAAGAGTGTGCTCCCGGTATACATTGTGCTATTTACCATAATTACAACTGATATATCTAAAATTACAATGCTCCTATAGCCCGGGTTCCATGACCTTGGGAGTCTTAGGGCAGTTGAAACCCTTCTTTCATTCACAGTCATTCGGTCATTTTCCCCGGCATTCTAACACTCGCTGTGCATTTGGGAACGAATATATATGACAAATAGCATCATCAATTACGGCAAGAACTAGCCAAAGCACTAAGCTGAAACTATGACCATAAAGTAACATGCCCAGAGCTTACTATAATTAATAAGCTCACTATGGTGCATTTATAGTCGACGCTTAAGAATTGTTGAAAGAAGGCCCCCAAAAGATCGTTTGAACAGACAGTAAGAATAAAATACCATACTAAATACAATAATCTAATGAAAAATAGCTAAATATAAGTAACGACTTCGCAGCAAAATCTGAGCCGGTCGTATGATTGATATGATGCTGTCGCCAACATCTCATCTAATAGAATACAAGGACATTAAAACTTACTCAAGATATTTTGAGTATAAACCCACAACTCCAGAGCCAGTTCAGGACTTAAAGCAGTCTTATCCAGCCTATCATTACTCAATCTTCCCACAGGCATGTAAAATCCTCCATTTACTAATTCATCCTTTGTACAACCAGCCGCGGCCCAAAGCTGACTTAGGCGACCTTGGGCTTCTTCCATAAATGTCACTCCCAAGAACCATAGCACAATGGTGGTGAGTAATCTGAGATGCCAAGGAATTGACATTGTCAAGTGTGTGTTGACAGCTCCTGGGTGGACAGAGATAAATTTGATATTTGTATTGGCACATTGGCGGGCGAGTTCGGCCGCGTAGATGATATTTGCGAGCTTGCTTTGCCTATAATGACCATTTAATAGCCTTCCAAGTGGGGAGAGGAGTAGGTTCACGCTTACCCATATCTGAAAGATGATCCCATGAACCCCTTCTGTGGGGTTCGAAGAGTTGAGAACGTGATACCATTCTTTGGATGACTCATCCAAGCTGTCGACGTCAGGCACAGCACACGTACATCCGATCCCGGCAAACTGGCAGTCTTCTTCATTAATGGTAAGAGTTCTTGAATGATCATTGCATGGGCAAGATGATTGATGGCAAAATGAAGCTCAAAGCCGTCTGAACTGACACCGGCGGGAATAAACATAACACCTGCATTGCACCTGAACTGCAGTCAGCCGTCGTCACTAAATCCAAAAGGTATCCTACTCGGCGGACTAACATAAGAACATCCAGTCTATCATGTATAAATTCTTTGCAAGCTGTCTTGACGGAAGACAATGATGTCATGTCCATTTTGACAAAAGTCAATCTTACCGAAGGCTTTTCTATCTGCACTTCATGAATCAATTTCTCTGCCGCTTGATGGTTACGACCAGTAAAGTAGATATGTGCTGGATTGTGCTTTGCAAGCGAGGTTACTGAAACTCTTCCGAGTCCAGAAGTTCCTAATACCCCAAGTGATGTGATTAGTGCTCTGATCGGTAAAGGATATAATTCATATCAATTACCAACCTCCGGTTATAAATATAACCTTTCCATCAAGGTTTGGAATATCCTTCTCCGGGTCGAAGTTCACAAACTGTTCGAGGTTGGGCATAGAGAAGTTGTTTAGACGAAGCTGCTGAATCACTGGTTTGAACTTGACTGGCGTATGACAGTTTAGAGAGATGTTTGGAAATTTGGTGTTGGTAGATCAAGATGTAGGGCGTTGCGATAATAGCATTCATTTCCAAGATGTTGCAATGCCACATATTTATATTGCTTCCAAGATTCCATGAGCACAGCTGCTTCGGAGTCATCTTAACGCCGTGAGTCATGTCCGAGCAAGCCTTTCCAAGAATGCACTCAAAGGGAGGCCTGACGCTTGTAAGCAAAGCCATTTGCGTGATAGCTGTTTCATAGATGAAGTTGTGGCTTTCTTATCCGATAACTCCGTAGGTACTGAAATGTCTCTATAGTTAGATATATGGTCTGTCATAGCCTATAGCGCTGGGTATGGACAACAAACTTGATTAATAATGATAATAAGATATAAAATATCCGACAATGGGGATGGTGTGCAGAGTCCCATGGATCAGGGCTGACTCGACCCACTAGCTAGCTGTAATAGGAATGATGTATATGCAGGGTAAGCTGTCAACAGAATAGTCTAAGCCAACTACCGCTAGAGTTGCTCTCCATCGAGACTAGTGTAATGCATGATAAGCAGGCTAAACGATGGTCCCTCCAATGACATTTGAGGTTATGCAGGGTAACCTGTTAGTGCAAAGCTTCCCAAGCTTGGATTCCATCTTGCGGCCCCGCTCGCAACGTCGCTTCTTCGACGACTCTCGCAATACGAAACCTTTCACACACACGCCTAAACATCTACGGTGGAATAATCAGATCTGATTCCGGAAATCAACTACTTGTGGCTGACAGCTGCTATCGGCTATGGAACGCTTGTCCACTTTCCCTCGTGCACTTCGCTCATCCTGCATATCGTAACGTGACACCAGCGAATAACACGCAACCCTGGAACCTCTCCTCCTAGTCAATAGTACCTACCATGTTACCTGCAGAGGTATGTGTAAAAGTCAAAACTGGTTTAACGTGCTTGAATTAACCACTATCCTAAGACACCCCAGTAGTGCTATTAGGTTGAGCTGACCAAAGCGATTAGGCCCGTATTCGTGATGATGACTGGACCGGGACTACGGATCCGGTTGAGCGACGCAGACGCCAGAACCGTCTGCATCAAAGAGCTTGGAGTACGTTTTTATTGGCCAGTATATTTTATGCCAGGTGGGCGATTGTTGCCGGTACTGACACTCGTATACAGGGCGACGGAAGAAACTGGAACACAAATCAGAAAGCCAAGAGAAAGCTACTACTAACACACCCGTACCGTCGCGTGTTGATAAGAGCCTCCTTCAGAAGGTAGTCTTGAATCATATCAGTGGTCATCAGCGCATGCCGATCACATTACATCAGCTCCGCAACTGGCAGGCCTTCGGAGCGATTCTAAATGAAGCGCTAGGAGATCCAGAAGCTACATTTGCCGTCTGGGCCGAACTGAGAGCGTGGCGGAAATGGGAGTTGATATATGGTCTTTCACCTTCTGATCTATGCCATTCTTTAGCTTTTCACCCTCCACCTTCTCTTGACACCAGGTCCAGCGAAATTGAGAGCGTTTCATCTCCTTCGAACGTTGATTCCCTCTTGTTCTTGAGCGAAAAGTATTTCCTTCACGGCTCAGAATTCGATATTGACTTCCCCATGTCTCTCGATCATAAACTCTTCGTTCTCATCCAGCACAATACCCTCCGAGGAATTTTGACCAACATGGCCATTTTGATACGCCTAAGTGGCCGTGACTTTGAAGTTTGGGATGACTTTTATACGGAAGACTTATCCAGCCCACCGGAGAACTCGCCGCCTTGCTTGCAATTTACATATCTACAACGAACCACGCCGCATGAGTCCTGGATAGATGTAGTTCCTTCTGCGACCATGCGAGATAATATTATCAGATATCAAGATAGGATCGACGCGGATGATCTCTGCTCTGACTTTCTCGGTGGCTTTTTCGAGGGAGAAAATAACGTATATAAGCGCGGCATGATACTATGGGGTGACCCGTGGCGGTCAAATGCATGGGAATTGAGTGAAAACTTCATAGGAAAGTGGTGGTTTCTGTTACAGGGTTGTGCTGACATGCTTATGTCTACTAACACTTGGCGTGCAGCCAGGGGCGAAAAGAAACTCGCCATCAAGCTGTGAGATGGAATGTAGAATCTATTGTTTGCATCGCATCCGTCAACGAGTTTTATACACGAAAAGGAAATTATTATTGGAGAAACGTGGTATGCTAACGAGCGATGCTCCTGAGGTCACAAAAAAGTTCTATTCTATATCGATATCCATTCATATTATCTTTGCGCACTGCAATGAAAATCCTTAACTCCCTGCTCGCCTCTGGTCATTGTGGACTATGTGGGTCTATTCCAATACTGCCACCCCCTGTGAGCTTTTACTTGCGCCCAAGCCACCGACAAGGAAATGTTGAATCTGTTTTCCTACAAATGAGTCCACAACCGTCACAGCTGCAGGGGTGGTACCATTTCCGGGCGATAGCGCGTAAACGTAGCGACCGGAAACTTTGAGATCAATCAGTCCAGAGTCGCCATTGGTGAGATCAATTGTTGTTATGACCTGGGAATCCAGTGCACTCAGTTCAACAAGACGGTTAACGAGTGGATCGGTCACGAAAACGCTTCCTCTTTGCTTTGAATACGCAGCCCAACAAGTGGCTTTTTGACCGGGAATGGTTTGTTTGGAGGATATCAAAACTTCGTTTGTAAATGAATTGACCTGGAGAATTGCCGCACCGAAAGAAGCGTCCGTGGCCAAAAAGGTGGAAGTTCCAGGTATGACAGCTGCGCCGAAGAGTACAGCTGTACCGTTAAGAGAACTTCGCGTATCATGGGCACCTGGATAAGAGTAAAAGTTCTCGACCGGTAACACAGAGACAAAGCCAGTGTTGTTAGTTGTAGGGTCGCCTTTTACTGTTGTGATTAGGCGATCCTCGTCATCGGAGAAAAAGGTGTGTGCAACGCCATTTAGTGGCCTGGATGGAGGTGTTGTCTGATTGAGACTAAATACCGTCAGCGGGCTCATGCTACCCAAACCTCCTGGTGTATAGGAAGCGCATGAAACCCCGGCTTGAGCGCCAGTTGTACCTACACACACCAGACTGTTCTTGCTTGAGGCTGCAACAGTCACAGGAAACTGGCCAGGCACTGCGATTGGCTTATTAACAAGCTTCAAGTCGGTTGGATCTGTCTTTGAAACCTTCAACATGCTCAAAGTATTTGATCCAGGATTGACAGCAAATAAAGATCCGATATATGAGCCATCTGCTATCCAATGAGATGGGGGTCGAAATGATGACTTACACTGTCCACAACAGTCAACGAAGATTGCGATCCCAGAGCGTCCGGACCGTTGAAACCGCCTGTGGCCTTGACAGTACTACCGCCATTTCCTCCCGTGGCTCTTGTCACGCCACCAAATAGAGTACCGTTGTGCGCTATCGGAATGGCGGCCACCGAGTTCGAATCTCCATTGTTCAGGATATATATTGCCTTGGCTCCAGAAGGAGCTTCCCATGACTTGCATGAGGCATCCAGGAGCTGGGCTGTAGCTAATAGCCCTACCAATGCACCTGCGATGCAGAACTTGAAAGAGAAAAGCATAGTGAGGAATTATCGCAAGGGACAGTGGATGGCGCAACTTGAATAGATAGTCTTGGAATGATTGGGAACTGCTGCTGCTTTGAAAGTATACTGCAATGAAGGAATGTTGTGGATATGATATCTTGTTTGGTGGAGTCAGAACAGGGAAATAGCAACTGTGTTTATACCTGGCAATTTGAGCAAACCATGTTTAGCGGACACTGGTGCGAACCTCCGATTCCAAATACTGCGCAGTATTCTAATTTCCCAAATCAGAGCTACTGCTGGTATATACGTCTAGATAGGAGTCTGAAGCCGTCTTGAAACAGAAGTGCCCGATTATGGAATCACTGACCATTGCTATTTTGGGACTGGTCGCTTCAAATTGCGATTTCCCCTCGCGCTAAACCTACTTAGGAAAAGATGCGATTATGGAATCTCATTTTCCTCATGTAAGTGCGCTAGGCTAGTTTAGGTCTAGTGTAGCCATTGCTCGGATTCCATAATCAAAGAAAGACTTAACTTAATTAACTAGCTCAACATCACCACACCCTCAATCAGCAATATTCGCTTGAACTACTGAGAAACTATTCGGTAGCGGTACAGCGAGCTATCACAAGACGCCCACGACAGCCTGGGGCTAAATTCTTCTTCGACCTGCAGAGAGCCGAAATGAAGAAAACACTCACTTTTATATCAGGGCACTGGTCCGCCAAGGGTTAGTATCTTTCCGTGAAACTGTGAATTTTCTTGTGCCTTTAAATCCCGCGATATTATTGCTGTCGCTATGAGATCCGAGACGAATGTTCACTTATTGACTGATACATGTTCGATATGGATGTTCAAAGACAATGACAGTGAGCACATCTCGTCAAGCCGCAGTCAGTCTGCGTACTCGAAACGTCGGGAACAAGTTCGCAAAGCTCAACGGTAGTGTCATGCCTATCCATACATTTTCTTTGTTGCGTTATAGCTCACGCGTATACAGCAGTCATCGAGAACGCAAAGCTCATTACCACAGCACACTCGAAAGCGAAGTCTTGCGTCTGCGGACTAATGAAGCCAGCTTCTTGAAGAAAATAAGCGATCTGGAGGCTCAGTTATATAGCCTCCAAGAGGTCATAAAAATCAATGGTATTGAACTTCCCACAGTCGAGAAGTATGGTCGACATGCTACGGAATTAGATACCAACGCTGCGCTCATGCTTCCAATTGTGGGTGACCCAAATGTCGAAAACACCGTGCATGACATTCCTGCGCCGCGCCAGAGATCAAAAAATGCCAATTCTACGACGGATATCAGTGAGTAACTCCAGGATCTCTCTCACAAAATTTTGCATTACAGAGCATATCCATTTACCAGATGTCTTGTTGTCCAATATATAGCGCAGACATTGTCTTCACCTAGCCCGAAACTTGGTCAACCTGCGGAGGCCGGATCAGCTATGGATAAAACATTACTTGCCCACGGTATGGAATTTGTCCTAACGTAAGTTCTCATAATCTTGGTTGCCTTAATTATGATATCTGACAGTGAAGTCCAGACTCGAAAAGCCTTGCCTTGGTCACATTAATGTAGATCTCAATAATTCGAGCGAGCCTTCTGGCCATGTCCTAACCGCCTCCATGCCATTGTTAAGTACCCATCATTATCCCCATTCTTTTAACGATGGATCCCCATCACTGGAGGCATCAAGGACGATCTTTGAGCGTCTAACCACTTTGTCCTCCGAACTCGTGCATGATGAAGAATTCAGCCCTATACAACTATGGAATTATATCATGGATCAACCACTGGCATACAAACTCGATATAACCCAACTTCGTGTACTAGCTGAAAGTCTAGTCCATCATGTCCGTTGTTATGGGTACGTACAAATTCGACCGTGCCTCTTATCTGATCTCTCCTGATTCGTTCAATAGGTTCGGTGCAGTCTTGGAGAAGGAAGTCTGTGTCAAAATGGTTGCTCGGATATTGACTTCTAATTGAATTTGTTCTTGCTTTTATAGATCTGGCTTTAGGATGTCCCGTGACCTACAAGATAAGGGAGTAGTCACTCCTTTTGACTCGCTGTACCCCAGATTAGTTAGCCCACATTCATATTGTCGGGCTCGGTGAAAGTGGGCCTTAAGGGGCGTATTCGTATTACCTATACTTTGAATACAATACGTGATACATACAGTGGGATGAAAAATGTGTTGGCACCCCCCATATCCGAAATTCCCACACCGCCATTCATTCTGCCGACAGAAACGCGTACACATCGCGTCGCATAAAAATTTGTATATAACACCTATAAATCTATATTTTCGAATAAAATGCCTCCACCAAGACGCCGCACAGCGCGTAGGGAACTTGATCCTTGTATGAGGGCTCGAATATGCGAGCTTCATACAGAGGCACATTGGGGTTATAAACGGATACACAGGGCGCACCCAGAAATCCCTATGACAACTATTCGGAATACAATCAAGAAGGAGTAAGAGCGTATAAATCAACGTTCAAAAACTCGTTCCGGAGCCCCAGCGAAGTTAACGGACGAGGATAAACAGAAGCTTATTGATTTGACAATTCAAAATCCCCATATAAAATACAAGGTCTCTACGGTGCATTTGTCCACCAAAGTCATAGCAGAGCGTAAGCTGCTGACTTAGCTAGGTGCTAAGGAGAGGTTGGCGAGGACAGATATCCTCAAAGAAATAGGTCTCTACTAGCCATGTAGCTAGTTTTTGTGCTCCTTTAGCAGTGTCTAATAGAAAGGAGATAACCTCAGAAGAGGGCCCAGGAGGACGAGGGGATCATCTCTTAGCTATATGATAGAAGAAGAAGTGCAAAGGTGCTTTTCATGCTCCGCACCAACAAAGAAGATGAGCATCATCATGATTAAAATGTTCGTGATAGTCTGCAAAGTCTCTATGACCAGTATGGGCCGCGATAGTATGGCCAAGATTAAGTCAGTTAAGCAGAAGCTCTTCAGGATGCTTAAGGGATGTAGTTATTTCTAGGTCTTGGTATGTCTGTGGTGCTACAGTCTGCCACCATGTCTAAGCAGTGGATAGGAATTAAGTCTTGGTGTATCTCTTTAGCGAGGCATATAAGGACTTGTATGGAGAGGGGGGGATAGAGGCAGCTCCTTCCTTGACAGTGAGATTAGCCACTTCATTCTTAGAGATTTTAGTGTGTCTAGGGAACCATCGGGTTTAGATTGATCCACTTTTGGTGTGTGGAAGCCTTTTACGTAGTGGCCAGGTGGCTGCAAGGGTGTGAAAGGATGCAAAGACTTCTTAAGAGGATCCTATAGAGGGAGATAGGAGGCGCGTGGTAACTTCCAGGTTGTCAAGACAGATCTATAAGTTGGTAGCAAATTGAGCTGTTGGGTATGCTATTGCTGCTTAAGCACCAGCTAGAGCTGCTTCTACTTCTATGTCAAAGACCTCTTTCCCATATCTATATGAGAGTAAGGAGTGGAGGAACTGATGGTGTGCTTGAAGTCTAATATAGCCACCCTCTGCATATCCATCTATAGCCTAGATCCATCTGAAAAGATTACAATATCTAAGCTAGGATAGTGTGTTGGAAAGCTATAAAGTTAGCTACTGCCTGTTCCTTAGTACGTCCCATGGGAGCTCCTATTTGAGCTTGGATATTCTCACGAGACTCGCGAGGGTGCTAGGGAGCGTATTAGAGTGGGTTTATCTGTTTAGAGTTGGGGAGGGCCAGTATATGGCGGGTAAATCAGCTAGTTTGTCAGCCATTACTAGCGATCTGTTCTACGCGTCTTCAAAGTAGGTGATAAGGGTCAAGACACCATAGGCGGACAGTTGCAAGGAGGGCTATTTAATCTAGTTCAATTTCTAGCAGAGAGAATCCAGACTCTTGGTATAGAACAGATATTGGGATTGTGCAGAAAACTAGAAGGACTGCTCTTGCGCCTGCTAGTATTACTTTGGTTAGTTTCTTAAGATATTCTTCAACTCAATTTAAGATTTGAGAAGATCCAGGGCGAGTACGTCCTGGCCACTAGGTTTCTGCATCATAATATGCTTTATAGAGTACACAGACTGATACAGCCTGCTGTAGTAAATGAGGTTTGACTCCACGGATAGTATTCTCTAGAGAGCGAAGGGCATTAGCCACAGTAAGGGCTTTAGATACTGTTTTACTAACATGCCATTTAAATGTTAGCTTTTTGTCAAAGAGGATTCCTAGCCAGTGTAGATATAGCTATTTAGTATTTTCTAAGATTATGATAGATCTAGCTTTTACTGAAGGTGTATAGGTTGGGTCCTGGTCTGCTTTATGTTGGGAGAAGTGAAGAAGCTTGTATTTATCTGGTGCAAATATAATGCTCTCTGCAGCGCCTCAGTTTAGAGCTTCTTATAGTGAGTCTAATAATGCTTCGCAGTTAGTAGCAAGAGATGTTAAGATTGCTAGGTTAGCTGCGTCGTCTGCGTAACCAAATCTGTTCCTTGGGTTTTCTAGACAGAATAAGGGCGCTATATAGAGCATGAAAAGAATGCTAGATACTGGGGATCCTTGTGGAAGACTGCAGGCAATGTCTGTTAAGGGGCCAATCTCTCCATCAAGTTGGATCTGGACTGATCGCCCAGTAGCAAAGGAGGCAATCCAGAGAACAAGATTAGTGGGCCAGCCCTGCTCACGTAATCTGCGGATGAGTCTGCTAGGAAGCACGGCATCAAAAGCGCCCTTGACATCTAGGGTAAGGAGTGAGGCAGTCATGCCTTAATTTAGTGCTTGTTCAACATTATGTGTTAGGCATATGGTTAGATCATTTATAGATCTTAGTGGGAGAGCCCCAAACTGTTACCTTGCTAATACTTTGTAGTGTATAGAGATCCATGCCATATTCTGTGCTACTAAGCGCTCCAGTCCTTTGCCAAGTACTGATAGGAGAGCGATTGGTCTATATAAACTAGGTGAAGATCAATCAGTCTTTTTTAGTTTCTGGATAATTGCTAAGATTATATGTCGAAAGCATTTTAGGTGATAACTAATCTTTAGGCACTCTTGGTATAACATTAGTACCTTGTCCTTGATCAGAGGCTATGCCACTTTGAGTATGCAGGTTGGGATTTCGTCTGAGCCAGGGGCTGTGTTTCCTGCCTGAAGTACTGACTCCTCCACCTGTGCCATTGTTATATCTGGGAAATAGAGACTAGTGGTAGGGACTGCTGGGGAGTCCAGCGGTATGTCTCCTGCCTCAGCCGAGTTTTAGAGAAGATTATGGACTAGTATGTCTCGTTTCTCATGTATAGTAACTGCTGGGAAGCTATTAGGTCTCAGTGGATCCTTCAGTGGAAGGCTTTGGAAGGTGCCTATGGACTTATGCCATTTACTCATATTAAAGATATCCTTCATTTGTGTTACCATAGAGAGCTTATCTTGCCAAAATTGTCATTAAGACCATCTAGTTATCCTGCGGAAGTCTATCTTTAAGCAGAGGCCTAAGCGGTAATTATGTAAAGCTTTCTTGCAGTCTTTATTCTATTATAGTTGTCCTATACCTTGTATCATGGTCCTCTTAGCAGAGCCTCTATATACTCCTTGAATTGTAGATATCAGTTTTTCAGCAAGGGCATCAAGATCTTCTTCTGTTGCGGCTGAGCTCTCGGTGCCAGCGAGATTAGAGGCGAGGAGCGAGAGGAAGGAGGTGTGGTCTAGTGTGTCAAATCTCAGTTTCTGAGCTATTTCCTTGTATCTCTAATCCCATGGTACAGTGGTGATTAGTGGTTGATGATCAGAGATAGCATCTAAGTGGCTCGCTATGCTAGTTTTAGCTCCCGCGAGTGCCAGAGGGCTTGAGGCGAAACTGAGGTCTAACATGTTACCCCTTTCATGTGTGGGACAGTCTATGTCAGAGATAAGTACTAGACCCTGGAGGTCCAGCCAGTTAATAAATGGCTCTGCAGAAGGTGTGGGGCTGCGATGTAGTGAGGGCTGCCATCTGTTGTGTAGTAGGTTGAGATTGCCTGCGAGTATCATTGCTTGAGGGAAATATGCCTCTGGCAGGATTGTAAGAGCTTTCGCGGCTTCGCCTGCTCTGATAGAGCCTGCTGGGGCATTATAGATGTTAACTATCAGAGCGGACTTTCCTATGGGCGAAAAAATCTGTAGGAATAGGAGATCCGAGGCCTCTTTAGTGTCAGTTGTGAAGGGGCGCAGCTAGGAGGTCCGAATGCCCTTCTTCTTTCGAACATAGATAAGAACTCGTGGTCGGCCACTTATCACCCAACTGTCAGTTGGGGAGAAGCATTTATATGATAGGTATTTTTTAGTGATCTGTCGGCTAAGATCTTTAAATGTATATAGTTCTTGGATTAGGATAATATTAATATCACTTGTGTATGCTAATGTGAGAGCTATTTCATGTGCATCTGGCGCGTGCCCTACATTTAGCTATAGGATTTTAAGAGACGCCTTTTGAGTTGGATAGTAATAGATCATAGCTCCTGTTCAAGAAGGAAGGCGGACCAATTTTATGATTGAGGGGTTATAAAGTGGACTGCGTGAGCTATAATTAGAGGATCTTCAGTTGGGGCGCGAGGTGGAGGGGTTACTGAACGGAAAGGAGAGATAATCTCATAGGTTGGAGGCTGAGTTAGTATCTCGTCTAGTGCTATAGGTGTTTCTTGTGTGCCAATGGAGAGCTGAGTGCTACATCCTTCTTCAGTTCGAGCTTTTACGAGGTTAATAGCACAGGATTTCCAGATCTCTGCTTGTTAAGCTTTAGTATATTTAGAGTTGCCTTTAGGGCGCAGGAGGCATTCTGGGAAATCAGCAGGATATAGTCCATGGTAGTGTATGCATCTGGGAGGGCACTGATGAGGCTCCAGGGCTATGCAGCGGTTAACATGTCCTTATTCAGTATGCTCTGAGAAGCCGCAGAGCCGGCATCGAGAGGGGCGGGCACAGGATTGTGCATTATGCCATTTCTAGCATCGTGTGCATTGGATAACTGTTATTCTCTTAGAGAGGTGACAAGCATTAGTAATAATGCCAAAAAGGCGTAGCTGGATAGGCAGTGGTAATTTCGTGCCTTCTAGGAAGTTGACAAACCAGCTTGAGGAGAGAGTATCAGGGTTGGTGGCACTTGTAGCGGTCTCGCTGATAGATATAGGCTTAAGTCCTGTAGTTTCACTGATTTCTAAGGATAGTAGTGTAGGATTGACAGGGATTAGAGAGTATTGACCGTCCAAGATTTAGCCAACTTTCCTTGGCACATTGATGACTTAGTACGAGACCCATCAGGAGCTGCGTTCTATCTGGCAGTTCACAAAGAATGCAGAGATAATCTCTTTTTGGGCCTCAAGGGTTAGAAAGGCTTCTAGAGATGAGGGACATAGTGCAAAGCCAGTCTTTATAGCTTGAACCTCTTTTAGTGCTGAACTGTTTGAGTTTAGTTGAGACCATAGGCTAAAGTAGATAGCATAGACTTCCATTTTTCTAGCTGCATGGTTAGCTGGGAGGTGTACGAAGAGCCGGTTATCAGGAAGGGGTTGTTTCACCAGAGGCATAGACTTTTTAACATGGGCTTTGGAGTGAGTAATAGGAGTTGATTTGACCAGGGCATATTGGGTAATAGTCGCATAAGTCGACTGTTCAAGACCTGAGAGGGGACGTGAGGGAGGGGGTGAAGGGGGTAAGGAATTTGGAGTAGGGGAAGGGGAAGGGGAAGGGGACAGGGCAGGTAGAATGGAGGTCGTCGAGATACCGCTGATATAGGCGCTAAAATGTCGTTGGGCTACTGAGGCGAGGTCATCGCTTAGAGCGGTGAGGGCTCTCAGTAGGTGAGGGGCCAGGCCGGTGGTTTGGCTGCGGTGTTTGTCGAGGAATGCAGCTATAGGGCTGAAGATCTTCTGTCCTTCAGAAGCTCTTGTCGTGGCTGCGGACGTGGCGCCAGAGACAATAGGAGTTGGGCGGCTCGCGGTCGCCTGTGGCAAAGCCTTAACAAGTCCGGTCGATACCAATACCATCTTCCATCTTGCCTTCTCGCTTCGGTGGTGATTTTACCCATTCCTATTGGCAGAACCCCAGGCCAAAAGATCTGCTGCTATCAACATCTCTGGAGTTTGCACCTTAAGCTAGCCGCAAAGGCAATTGCATTATGGGCGATACCGCGCTAGGATATCTATCCCAGGGACCTGAGTACGAGTCAGGCATAATGCACTCCTTCTCTAAGCCGACTAACATGCACATCCGTCCTCTCGAGCCACTATAAGATCTCCGTAGGCCTCCTAGAAAGAATATATCGGCGATACCACATTGCCAATCTAATAGATATAAATGCCGGCGATACCACATAGTAGCGGTCCAAGTACGAGTTGAAAACACAGATACCAATAAAATATCAGTATAGGTGCCAGCGATACCACGCTGCTATAGCCCAAGTACGGGTTGGAAGTAAAGATACCAGTTAGATAGTCATAGCCTAGGTATGAGCTAGGAATATATTCTTCCTAGTTACCCTCTAGTCATCCTCATAGTGCTACGGCCCGCTACTTTATTACTATAATAAAGTAGTTTCCCATTACTATTAGAAGTCTCCCTCTAGTAGCTGACCATGTCTTACAGAAGTCAATACTTGTAATACCCGCCTAGCATAATACTTGTATAGTTGACTCCTACTAACCTAGCTCAGTTCCCACCCTATACCTTTATACTTAGAAAGCGGTGCGCTGTGTCTGTCCAGAATGATAAGTAGTTCAGTCTCAGTGTAGGCCTTGCCCTTAATACATCCGGCAACCACTTTTCTGTTAGCCTTAACAACTTCTATTACTTTCTAAGAGCACTTAGGCTTCGTTCCAGCCCTCGTTGAGATAGCTTCATTGGTAATTTCATAACGTTGGGGGTTCTATCTCAATCTCAGAGCTGGCTGAACTCGAGGGTGCCCTGTCACTCTCCTAGAACAGTGTAACAACGTTACAAGGGATACGTATAGGGATTCAAGAGGGATCACAAAAATTGAGTATACAAGGTAGGGTATGGAATGTCAATGTACTGAAACCTATCTTTTGCTATCCTGGAGCATCTGCCATCTTTATAGATATACAATGTGTACCAGATCTCCCTTCTCTGAATAGCTCCAGTAGTCAAGGTGCAGTCCGAGGGAGCTGAAACCATCCTCGAACATATAAGCCTTCACCTGGTGTAGCTGAAACTCAACTTGAGACGTATTGGGCGCATTTCTTGGAATAGTTAGACCCTAAAGCCTGCTGGTTGTTACAAACAGGTTCGTGTTGAGTGGTTTTCCTATCCAATATCCCTCTTGCGATCAATTTGGCTTTTGGAAAGCCCCTAGGCATCTTTCTAAACAGTAGTAATCGAAAGAATCTCGCATTACCTTAGCTGATCTTTCAATAGACTGCTCCACCGAGGTGGAGAGGTTTAATATGGTGTCTACTAAATAGATCCATATGGCTGGGTTTATTCGACGCGTCGGAATCCAACGCGTCGAGTAACCCGAGAATACGCGTAGTTAAGTAACGCGGGAGCCCCCTATCTGCACCGCGCAGCGGGAGAGCGCGCATAAAGTAGAGTGCGAAGAAATAAGAGTGCGAAGAAATAAGAGTGCGAAGAAATAAGAGTGCGAAGAAATAAGAGTGCGAAGAAATAAGAGTGCGAAGAAATAAGAGTGCGAAGAAATAAGAGTGCGAAGAAATAAGAGTGCGAAGAAATAAGAGTGCGAAGAAATAAGAGTGCGAAGAAATAAGAGTGCGAAGAAATAAGAGTGCGAAGAAATAAGAGTGCGAAGAAATAAGAGTGCGAAGAAATAAGAGTGCGAAGAAATAAGAGTGCGAAGAAATAAGAGTGCGAAGAAATAAGAGTGCGAAGAAATAAGAGTGCGAAGAAATAAGAGTGCGAAGAAATAAGAGTGCGAAGAAATAAGAGTGCGAAGAAATAAGAGTGCGAAGAAATAAGAGTGCGAAGAAATAAGAGTGGCAAGAGTAAGGGGTGTGTGTGTGTGTGTGTATATTTAACGGCCGTGGTTCGTGACTCGCACGCTTCCCACCGATCCCTACTGGGACATAGGCCGCCGAGGGGTAAGCCTCGGGTTTCGGGTCCTATCAGATTTATGTACAAATAAGAGACTCTTTGGCGCATTTCCATAGCTGCCGTGGTCTTACAGGGAGGTCCACTTTGAGTGGGTTTTAGGTATTTGCCAGCTGCAATGGTCCGCCTACACTCCATGACCTATTACTCCACCACTATTATACCTGAACAGTAAGTTTTGCAGAGAGGGAAAGAAAGAAGAGAAGAGAAAGAAAGAAGGAGAAGAGGAAGAAAGAAGGAGAAGAGAAATATAAAGGAAGAGTAGGGCTGTCTTAGCTAGGTGCTAAGGAGAGGTTGGCGAGGGCAGATATCCTCATAGAAGTGGGTCTCTGCTAGCCATGAGGCTAGCTTTTGTGCTCCTTTAGCAGTGCCTAAGAGAAAAGAGATAACCTCAGAAGGGGGCCCAGGAGGCCGAGGGGCTCGTCTCTTAGCTATATGACAGAAGAAGAAGTGCAGAGGTGCTTTTCGTGCTCCGCATTGGTAGAGAAGATAAGCATCATCATGATTGAAGCGTTCATAGTAGTCTGCAAAGTCTCCATGATCAGTACAGGCCGCAATAACATGGCCAAGGTCAAGTCGGTTGAGTTGAAGCTCCCCAGGGCGCTTAGGGGAAGTGGTTATTTCTAGATCTTGATAGCTCTGTGGTGCCACCTTCTCCCATTGTGACTGAGCAGCGGATAGGGATTGAGTCTTGGCGTATCTCTTTAGCGAGGCGTATGAGGATTTGTGAGGATCAGGAGGGATTGAGGCAGCTCCCTCTTTGGCAGCGAGATCAGCCGCTTCGTTCTCAGGGATTTTAGCGTGTCCAGGGACCCATCGGATTTGGATAGATCCGCTTTTGGTGTAAGGAAGCCTTTTGCGAAGTGGCCAGGCAGCTGCAAGGGTGTGGAAGGATTCAAAGATTTCTTAGGAAGATCCTGTAGAGGGAGATAAAAGGTGTATGGCAACTTCCAGGTTGTCAAGGCAGATCCATAGATTGGTAGTAAATTAAGCTATTGGGTACGCTATTACTGCTTGAGCGCCAGCTAGAGCTGCTTCTGCTTCTGCGTCGAAGACTTCTTTCCCGTGTCCGTATGAGAGTGAGGAGCGGAGGAACTAATGGTGTGCTTGAAGTCCAATATAGCCACCCCCTGCACGTCCATCTGCTAGCCTAGATCCATCTGAAAAGATTACAATATCTGAGCTAGGGATGGTACGTTGAAAAGCCATGAAATTAGCCGCTGCCTGTTCCTTGGTGCGTCCCATGGGAGCTCCTATTCGAGCTTGAGCATTCCCACGAGGCTCGCGAGGGTACCAGGGAGCGTATTGGAGAGGGTTTATCTGTTCAGAGTTTGGGAGGGCCAGTGTACGGCGAGCAAATCGGCTGATTTGTCGGCCATTACTAGCGATCTGTTCTGCGCATCTTCGAAGTGGGTGATAAGGGTCGAGACGCCATAGGCGGACAGTTGCAAGGAGGGCTATTCGATCTAGTTCGATTTCTGGTGGAGAGAATCCAGACTCTCGATAAAGGACTGGCTTTGGGGTTGTGCGGAAGACTGGAAGGACTGCTCTTGCGCCTGTTAGTATTACTTTAGTTAGTTTCTCAAAATATTCTCTAACTCGGTTTAAAATCTGGGAAGGTCCAGGGCGAGTACGTCCTGGCCACCAGGTTTCTGCGCCATAGTATGCTTTATGGAGTACACAGGCTGATACAGCCTGCTGTAGTAAATCAGGTTTGACTCCTCGAACAGTATTCCCTAGAAAGCGAAGAGCGTTGGCCACAGTGAGAGCTTTAGATGCTGTTTCTCTAACGTACCATTTGAACGTTAGCTTTTTGTCAAAGAGGATTCCTAGCCATCATAGATATAGCTGTTTAGTGTTTTCTGATATTGTAATAGATCCAGCTTTCACTGAAGGTGTGCGGGTTGGGTCCTGGTCTGCTTTATGTCGGGAGAAGTGAAGAAGCTCGTATTTATCTGGTGCAAATGTAATGCCCTCTGCAGCGCCCCAATTAAGAGCTTCTTGAAGTGAGTCTGATAAGGCTTCGCAATTAGTAGTAAGAGAAGTTGAGATCGCCAGGTTGGCTGCGTCGTCCGCGTAACCAAATCTGTTCCTTGGGTTTCCTAGACGGAATAGAGGCGCTATGTAGAGCATGAAAAGAATGCCAGATACTGGGGATCCTTGTGGAAGACCGCAGGTAATGTCTGTTGAGGGGCCGATCTCTCCATCGAGTCGGATCTGAACTGATCTTCCAGTAGCGAAGGAGGCAATCCAGAGAACGAGATTGGTAGGCCAGCCCTGCTCGCGTAGTCTGCGGATCAGTCTGCCAGGAAGTACAGAATCAAAGGCGCCTTTGACATCTAGAGTAAGGAGTGAGGCAGTCATGCCTTGATTTAGCGCTTGTTCAACATCATGTGTTAGGCATGTAGTCAGGTCAGTTGCAGATCTTAGTGGGAGAGCCCTAAATTGTTGCCTTGCTAATACTTTATGGTATATAGAGATCCATGCCATATTCCATGCCACCAAGCGCTCCAGTCCTTTGCCAAGTACTAATAGGAGAGCGATTGGTCTGTATAATCTAGGTGAAGACCAATCAGTCTTTTTTGGTTTCTGGATGATTGCTAAGATTGCGTGTCGAAAGCATTTAGGATGATGACCAATCTTTAGGCACCCTTGATATAGCATTAGTACCTTATCTTTGATCAGAGGCCAGGCTACTTTGAGTATGCAGGTTGGGATTTCATCTGCGCCAGGGGCTGTGTTTCCTGCCTGAAGTACTGACTCCTCCACTTGTAGCATCGATATATCTGGGAAGTAGAGACTAGTGGAAGGCACTGTTGGGGAGTCCAGAGGTATGTCTCCTGCCTCTGCCGAGTTCTGGAGAAGATTGCGGACTAGTATGTCTCGTTTCTCGTGTACAGTAACTGCTGGGAGGCTGTTGGGCCTTAGCGGATCTTTTAGTGGAGGGCTTCGGAAGATGCCTGTAGACTTATGCCATTTGCTCATGTCAAAAATATCCTTTATTTATATTACTGTAGAGAGCTTCTCTCGCCAAAATTGTCGTTGAGACCATCTAGTTATCCTGCGGAAGTCTGTCTTTGAGCAGAGGCCTAAGCGGTAATTGTGTAAAGCTTTCTTGCAGTCTTCGTTCCACCATAGTTGTTCTATGCCTTGTGTCATGGTCCTCTTAGCAGAGTCTCTATATGCTCCTTGAATTGCAGATGTCAGTTTTTTGGCGAAAGCATCAAGATCTTCTTCTATCGCGGCTGAGCTCTCGGTGCTAGCAAGATTAGAGGCGAGGAGCGAAAGGAAGGAAGTGTGATCTAGTGTGTCAAATCTTAGTTTCTGAGCTGTTTCCTTGTATCTCTGATCCCATGGAACAGTGGTAATTAGTGGTTGATAATCTGAGGTTGCATCTAAGTGGCTCGCTATGCTAGCTTTGGCTCCTGCGAGTGCCAGAGGGCTTGAGGCGAAACTGAGGTCTAACACGTTACCCCTTTCATGTGTGGGACAGTCTATGTCGGAAATGAGTACTAGACCCTGGAGATCCAGCCAGTTAATAAATGGCTCTGCGAAAGGTGTGGGGCTGCGATGTAGCGAGGGCTGCCATCTATTATGTAGTAGGTTGAGATCGCCTGCAAGTATTGTTGCTTAAGGGAGATACGCCTCTGGCAGGGTTGTGAGAGCTTTCGCGGCTTCACCTGCTCTAATGGAGCCTGCTAGGGCGTTATAGATGTTGACTATCAGAGCAGACTTTCCTGTGGGTGAGAAAATCTGAAGGAACAGGAGATCCAAGGCCTCTTTAGTGTCAGTTGTGAAGGGGCGAAGCTGGGAGGTCCGAATGCCTTTCTTCTTTCGAACATAGGTGAGGACTCGTGGTCGGCCACTTATCGCCCAACTGTCAGTTGGGGAGAAGCATTCATATAATGGGTGTTTTTTAGTGATCTGTCGACTAAGATCTTTAAAAGTATATAGTTCTTGGATTAGGATAATATCAATATCACTTATATATGCCAATATGAGAGCTATTTCATGTGCATCTGGCGCGTGCCCTACATTTAGCTGTAGGATTTTAAGAGGCGCCTTCTGAGTTGGATAGTAATAGATCATAGTTCCCGTTTAAGAAGAGAGGCGAACTGGTTTTGTGATTGAGGTATTGTAAAGCAGACTGCGCGAGCTGTAATTAGAGGATCTTCAGTTGAGGCGCGAGGTGGGGGGGTTACTGAACGGAAAGAAGAGATAATCTTGTGGGTTGGAGGCTGAGTTGGCATCTCATCTAATGCCATAGGTGTTTCTTGTATACCAATGAAAAGCTAAGAGCTACATCCTCCTTCAGTTCGAGCTTTTGCGAGGTTTATGGCGCAGGATTTGCGGATCTCTGCTTGTTAAGCTTTAGTATGTTTAGTGTTGCCTTTAGGGCGCAGGAGGCATTCTAGGAAATCAGCTAGATGTAGTCCATGGCAGTATATGCATCTAGGAGGGCACTGATGAGGCTCTAGGGCTGTGCAGCGGTTGACATGGCCCTCTTCAGTATGCTCTAAGGAGCCGCAGAGCCGGCATCGAGAGGGGCGGGCACAGAATTGTGTATTATACCATTTCCAGCATCGTGTGCATTGGATAACTGTTGTTCTCTTAGAGAGGTGACGGGCATTGGTGATAGTGCCAAAAAGACGTAGTTAGATAGGCAGTGGTGATTTCGTGCCTTCTGGGAAGTTGACAAACCAGCTTGAGGAAAGAGTATTAGGGTTGGCGGCACTTGTAGCGGTCTCGCTGATAGATATAGGCTTGAGCCCAGTAGTTTCGCTGATTTCTAAGGATAGTAGTGTAGGATTGATAGGGATTAGAGAGTATCGGCCATCCAAGATTTGGCCAATTTTTCTTGGCACATTGGTGACTCGGTATGAGACCCATCGGGAGCTGCGTTCTATCTGGCAGTTAACAAAGAATGCAGAGATAGTCTCTTTTTGGGCCTCAAGGGCTAGGAGGGCTTCTGGAGATGAGGGGCATAGTGTGAAGCCAGTCTTTGTGGCTTGAACTTCTTTTAGCACTGCACTGTTTGAGTTTAGTTGAGACCGTAGGCTAGAGTAGATGGCGTAGGCTTCCATTTTTCTAGCTGCATGGTCAGCTAGGAGGCGTACGAAGAGCCGGTTGTCAGGAAGGGGTTGTTTTACCAGAGGCATAGGCTTTTTAACAGGGGATTTAGAGTGAGTAGTGGGGGTTAATTTGACCGGGGCATATTGGGTAATAGTCGCATAAGTTGACTGGTTAAGACCTGAGGGGGGACGTGAGGGAGGGGGTGAAGGGGGTAAGGGATTTAGGATGGGAGAAAAGGAAGGGGAAGGAGACAGGGCAGGTAGAATGGAGGTCGTCGAGATACCACTAATATAGGCGTTGAAATGTTGTTGAGCTACCGAGGCGAGGTCATCGCTTAGGGCGGTGAGGGCTCTCAGTAGGTGAGGAGCAAGGCCAGTGGTTTGACTGCGGTGTTTATCAAGGAATGCAGCTATGGGGCTGAAGATCTTCTGTCCTTCAGAAGCTCTTGTTGTGGCTGCAGACGTGGATTCTAGAAGGGCTGTCTGTAGAGGGCCGTCTGTACCAGGGCCTTTACACGCCATGGTGTTGCCGGGCGCGTTGAGACGCGTCAAAGGCTGCACTCCTGGGAGCTAGGTGGTAGAGAGGGTTGAGGATTTTGAGCCTCCGACTGTTTGATATGAATAATTATAAGGAAGTCGCCTATCAACTCGAAAATCTTGCAAGAGTAAGGGGGACGGGGAGTAGCTAACTACATATATACGCGGCACGCACGTGCCGCGTTAGACTAACTGATATTCAGTGCCGAAACGCGCTAGGTTTGATATTCACGTTCCGACAGAAGTAATGAATTTGCTAGCATTGCTCGGTAGTTGACCTAATTGCTATACAGCTCTCCAAACTCACATCATTGACATGCGAACCGTCTCCACCATATAAAAAGGATATTACACTCCATCGCCAAGACTATACTACCCTTAACTCAAAGTGGCGAATAAAGACCAGGATCCTAGGTCACGTTACCTCCGCGCGTGTCGATGCAATTTTCAACATGTTGAAATTGGTCTTTGTCTAGCCCGAACTAACCTAGACAGAAATAACTAATTATTAATAGTTATCTTCGCTTAGTATGAGAGAATAACTAGCTTTAATTCATGCAAGATGGAGCACCTAGGCATGCTAGTAGGAAGACTAAAAAGAGCTACAATCTCAGGGATATATCCAATATATTAGCCAGCATTCTTACTAGATCTTAATCCAATTGAAGTTATATGTAATATGGAATTGGATGAAGGATTAGATATAGAAGCAATATCCAGAGGATGAGCAGCTTTTTATGATCGATTACGTGAGGTTGTATGCGCTGCTTGGAATGCCTTACCTAAGCAATTTCTAAAGGAGCTGATTAATTCTATGTAGGCTAGATGCCAAGCTGTAATTGAGGCCCAAGGTGGTCATACAAAATACAGTAAACCCTGGATATAAGCACCTAATTCAGACAGCCCAAAAATGTGCTATAACCCAGGTGGTGCTATACGTCGGGCGCCCATACAAAAATATATATCTCTCTATATCAATCGCATATTCAAGCCCCCTCAACTCCAATTTGACGATTTTGACGACGACGATTTGCCCTAATCTCGTAGAGCTCATATATCAGTATCAATCTGTATAGAATCAACGAGAGTCCGCGGCGCAGTCGGTTGCTTAATACACTCGTCATCGCGGCTATACGCCAATATGTGATGATTACAGTCTAAACCCATCCGAAGCGTATCAACGACACGATTACGTGTGGAATCCAATATAAATCTGATATTAGAGTATAAGAAGAGATCGGGGCTCTTTTTTTATCTATAATATTGATTCCGGGGCCGCGGGTGCCTCCATACGGGATATAAAAACTCTACCAAAAAAGAAACCTCACGAACTCCCTGAGAATTGAACTCGGAGCGTCTTCAAATTATATTGTGTCGTAAATCCAAATGGAAATTAACGAGGCTTAAGCGGATCCAGTATTGTATCGTGATTGCGTCGTCCATTATCTAAAAAAGCGACGGATATCTGTTTGACGCTGCGTAGCAACTTTCTCCTTTGTAAGCAGATTTTCGTACCGGGTAAGAACTCGAATAAAAGAGGTATCGGCTTTATCACGTTGCTCCTCAAAAAGACGAAGAGTATAAAGGCCTTGTAAAGCCTCTTGGGATGTAATGAGTGGAATAGGCTCCTCAACAACATCTTCCTCCAGCTCATCAGTCTGAGGGAGTTCGAATTGGCTTAGAACAATATTATCAATATCCATCACTGTATCGTTGACTTGCTCATCTGGAGGATTCAGAAATTGATTGATATCCATGACATCTTGAACCCGGTTTGTAAGCTTCAGATCCTGCAGACTATTCTCCAAATTATGTATCAATAACGCGCTCTCAAACTCCTCCTCAGTCTCATCATGAAGAGCTTTCTTGAAGCAATTGGTAATTGTTGTTGATGTGACTTGATCTTCCCATATATTAACTGCCCACCGTACGGCACGAAGGATTGTCATTGTAGATAGAGGATCAATTCCACGATCGAATTCGTTAATAATATATCGAACCCACTGTCGCTTCCATAGAGCCTTCCAAGCTCGGATAATCCCTTGATCAAGAGGTTGATATTTTGTTGTTAAATTAGGGGGAAGCCATATAACAACTGTATGCTTTAGATCTGCGGTGACCTCCTTGACTGCAGCTTCATGCGCAGAAAAGTTATCCATCAATAGAACCACGTGCCGGCCTGCCATTTGCGCGTCGAACGCATAAAGCCATTCCTTAAAGATATCCGAAGTCATCCATGCCTTCCCATTAGACCGCCAATGGATACCAAGATTATGAGGCTCAATATGAGCGTGAGTAAATGCTCGTGGCTTTTTTGCATTGCCAATAACCCAAAGAGGGATTCGCTCCGAGCCATCCGAATTGCATGCAAAAAGAATACTAATTCGTGCCTTATCTTTCTTGCGGCCGGGCAGGGAACGTGTTGAGAGACCCCGATCAGGGAATAACTTCCAATATAGACCGGATTCATCACAATTAAAGATATCTTGTGGAGGATATGAAGCAAGAAGTTGACGAATCTTGATCATTTGATCTGCAGCATCTATAGATAAGCTTGCAGCTTCTCCATGATGTTTTCTGCTCTTTATATTATTCCGTGTTTGGAATCCAAATAGCCAGCCATTGCTAAATGATGGTGTAGGATCATGAGGATATAGATGTCCCCAGTATTGCTGCGCTTTGTAGCGTATAGCTTCCTGTGAGATAGGAGCTTCGGTCTCAGCTAATCTTATCCAATCCATGACAGCCTTCTCTAACTCAGGCCACTGCTCAAAACGGCGTCGTTTATCCTTCAATTGATACTCTTGGAGCTCGTCAATGAACGCGTATTTCGACGAAAGGATTCGTGTTACTGTAGCTCGATCGATTGGTTGATTGTATGTATCTTCAAACCATTTTCTCAAATTTTGATGCGTGAGATGGTGATTGATTCGGTGTTGAGCGCGTAGGGCTGCTTTCCACTCGTTAGGGATAGCTTTTCGGCGTCGTTGAGCGCGTTGTTGCAGCATATTTGACGGATATTTGATGACTTGACGTTGGAAAATGCTGAGTAATCTTCCTGGTTATAAGCACTTTTGTATGGGAGCTTAGAGATGATGGTGCTTATGTCTTATAGCCAGGTATAAAGCACATTTGTATGAGGAATGAAAAATTTTCAGATTTTCGGTGCTATAAGTCGGGTTGTACTATAAGCCAGGGATCTTATATCCAGGGTTTACTGTATTAGCTTAGTATGCAGATATGACTGGCAAAATCGATTGGAATTTGACCCCTGTAGGAAAATCGTACTAACAAAATTACCGGCCGCACTCATCGCGAGTACTGCTGGCATTGGTGAAATCCAGCGCTAGGCCAAAGTCGCTTGATGTCTTTGTTTTGGATCCGATAATTACGGAGGAATTGAAGCCCCGTGGCAAGGCAACCATCACATTTGGTGTCTTGGCTAAGGACTTCTTAAGGAATTAATATGGAGATAGTCGTCATCACTGAGAACGAGAACTTCAACCCAACTCGTACCGACACCATCTCGTGCTGGCACCAACTCGTACTAGCACCAATTCGTTCTGACAATGTACGTTCCCGTTTAGTGTCAGTATGTGTTCTCGTTCAATGTTAGTAATATATTCATTGATCTCGGTATCTATCCGCGTAAAGAATCTCGTTTGGTGCTGTAAGATACCCGTTAAATGTAGTCGTTTGGTGCAATACCTAACATTCATCCGTTCTCGATAACGGTCTCGTGACAGTAGGTGGTGTTGTAAAAGGTTCTGTTCTGTAAGGCAGAAGATAGGTAGCAATTGATTGTGATTAGGCTGACATTAAGGTACATCTAATAGCAGACGTAACGCTGAGAGAGAAAACAAAACATATCCCTACATGCTCCAGATCTTTGTGGGGCCTATTACGTCACGTGATTCGGTGTGTCCAAATGGCCCCTTTTTAGTGAACCCTAACCTGGGATTTCTGCCACATTAGCAATGTAGTTAAAGTCCCAGCAACAGCAAAGCCAAGCACGACTCGCATTTGCAAATTGAAGCTCTCAGCAAAATCTTCTCGTACCGTGGCCTGCAGATTTTCTGGGAGAGTTCTGATGAAATCGGTCGATCTGAAAATAGACATTATCTCCTGAGGTTCCAATGAGCCCAACAAAGAATTCTTGATCCAGCTGTTCCCTACCGCCGTGACTATGGAGACTACTACAGCGCCTCCAAAAAACCGAAACTGGACGGTAGCTGCCGTGCCAACAGCTATAAACCAGCGCCACTTAGCTCAATGTTCTTCTACTCTGACTTCAATTCCGAGAATTTAGGTGCCCTTACCTAGATCACGTTTCTCCAGAACGAACGGAGTAAGCAGGGTGGCGGCCCCTAAACAGAATCCGAACCCTAAGCCGACAACCACCTCCAGGCCATACAAGCCATTCCAATCCAGTTTACCGGTAGGTGCTCGTGACGCAAAGATAATACCCAATATTTGTAAAATGCTCCCGCATATCATAAGGTATATCGGAGGAATCCGGAGGTATTTGGACAGACTAGCAGCGATGATAGATCCAACAGGTCCGGTCAATGAAAATGGGAGTAACCTGAGTCCCGCTTGTAAAGGACTCAGATCTACAGCATTCTGGTAGCGGATAGGAAGTTGGAAGACAAATGTAATACTGACGGCGCCAAACATGAATGAAGATCTAAAAGTTTGTCGTGTCAGGTGAGCTCCAATAGCGACTTCCAGGGTTGAACGCACATGATTAAACCCAGAATTACCCGGTTCTGACAGAACCTCCATGGGAATACAGGCTGTATGGGGTTTTGGAGGCGATTATCGTGCCAATATTGGCTTGCAAAGAAGGCTATCCACGCAACTGCTGAGGCACACAGGGGCCCAAGAGCCTTTGCGGTCCTCCAAGAGAGGAGAGAAGCTGCTTGTTCAAACCCGCTAACTATCAGTGCCACTGCGGAAAGCATCAAGAGTGCCCCAAGAAAATCAACATTTTCAAGGCGAGGTCGTTGCCTTGGCTCATTGTTTCCTTGATATGGAAAATCACGGGGTACTGTGAAAAGTAGCAGGCCGCCGGAAAGGACGCCAATAGGAATACTAAGAATCGTTAATACCAGTCACAATACCAATATTTTATAGCAAAGAAGATTCACTTCATACTTACTTGAGTAGAAATACCCATCTCCATGTCGTATTCTCCGTTATGAGCCCACCAAATATAGGCCCGATGGCGTTCCCTAGCGCGACCAAAGCAATGGCTGAAGCGGTATATAATGGATATTTTGGCGGTGGAACCAATTCATATATCATGACCATTGAGATTGAGTATATCCCCGAGCCGCCAATTCCTTGGAATGCCCGACACACGATTCTATAGTAGCAAAATCAGCATGCATCCTATCAAAGTGACCTGTAATATGGAATCAAATGAAACTCACAACTGGGTCATTGTTTGTGTTGCTCCACAGCCCCCTGAGAAAGCTGTAAAGATTATTACCGCGGTCATACATGTCGCCTTGCGGCCAACCAAGTCGCTCATTTTTGCCCAGATCACCAGACCAACTATCCGTTATATGTGTATTAGAAAGGGAAACCTTGCGATTAAAATTGTGTCAATAGCTGGATGGGCTCTTACCAATGTAGGTGATCAGATATGCTGTGATTAGCCAGCTGCTCGCTGCATAATCATCAAGTTCATTTGTGATAGACACGGCGGCTGTACTAACGATAGTAACTTCAAAATTGATGAGAAAAATGCCCAGGAAGAGCCTGCACGTACCGGTATGGTTAGACAAGATCATAAAAGACAAAGACAGAAAGATGGCCGCTCCGTATACCTTACCCTATTGTGATAAGATGGAGCTTCCATCCTGAGATATAGTTGAAGCCATTTTCACTATGCACGCTTTCGTTTGGGGGGAACTTTTCAGAGCTTGACACCATATCACTGTATTTCTGTTCTATTCGATAGGTAGCAATGAGCAAAAGCGACTGTGTGAAAGCAGTCGCCAAATTTAGTGGTTGTCAAGTTTACACAAATCAATATATGTATAATTGCCTATCTAGGAATACCCCCTAACCTCCATGAATTTCAATGTTTACATTACTAGCAGAAGATCAGGAAAGATTCGGCGGATTACCCTACGCGCTCTGTGGAACCTGGCCAATAGTATTATTACCTGAAACGTGTATCCATGTAAGATGCGTTCTGGGATTCATTTCAGCCGTATTTTGTCTGCCTCGGTAAGTATATGACCCGAGATAGCACTCTTTTATACAGAAGCAAGACTGATCCTGGAAAGCAGGAAATCGTGCATGGAGCTTTGCCTGTTTGAATTTCATGAATTCCGGGCGGATCCTCGTATTACGGTGAAACGTATAACCATCCTGCATAAAAAGCGTCTAATTATACATGCATATATGAGAGATTGAGTGGGAACGTGTATTGTATTCAAGTGTGTCTAATAGAATGAAAATATCTGGCATCCCTGTGCCATACATAACACAGCGTAGGAGTGCGCGCTAATTTAGTAAGAGTGATTCTTGGCAAATCTTTATATCGAGGAAAGCTCGCTATCCAATGAGGGCAGGCGAGTGGATTTATGCGCTGCAATCACCATATCCGGGATGTCAGATAATCCGGCTTTCAAACGAGGCAGAAAGATCGACTGTTCAATCTTACAGGTCTAAAAGGCACCTTTAGGCATATATCTGGGCACCTAGATTTCCGCCCAATATTTACCCCTCCTGATAGCTCACAAATCACCCCGCCAAAGGTGTCTATAAAGGACCCGGCTTTAAAGACTTGAAAGACAGACACAGAACTCAATACATACAATCTTGCTAGTCACTTCTTTTCTTTGATCCTAGTAAAACACTCTTCAGGATTGGCCTGGAATAAACCGACCAATCCGACAATTAAGAGTCTGACTACCCCTACCGGCTCTATATCAACATGTTGTCCAACGTTGCCACCAAGTATAAGCTTAATTCCCCAGAGGATTGGGACGATTGGCAAAACGAACTTCTTAATTGGGCTAGAGCCAATGATCTTCTTCCTATTCTCTAGGGAACTGAGAGATCAATTAAGAAACCTGTTTGACCAAAGATACAAGACTATCTACCTGAATCCCAGAACACTACACAAAACTGTGTAGGTGCAGCTTAAGGAACGCGTCAGAACTCTGCTCAATCAACCCAAACCACCACAACTGAAGATATAACTGATGATTGCACTGAGCAGAGGGCAAGAAATGACTTCAATCTATGTCTCAATAACTACAAAATGGAGTTCAGTGAGTGGGAGGTTCAGCGTAGAGACATTGATAAAATCTTTGAATGGATGAAGCAGACTGTGTACTACAGCTATCTTAAGACCTATGTGCACGTGACACACAGTTGGAAGGAAGCGTATAATAACTTGAAGATGCAAGTTGGCCAAGGATCGCGAGAAATCCAGTAATATATATAAGATAACTATAACCAGCACATAAAACCTTTCAGAGGTACTCCGCAAGATCCAGAGGCTTGGTTGATCAAGTGGGAAGAAATCATGCTTTAAGGAAAGAAGAAATCTATGTTCTTTGCCCAAGATACGGAGGACTGGGCATCTAGGTTTCTCGAAGCTATTCGACCACTAGATGAGGCGTGGGTAACGTCTTTTGAGCACTTAATCGATTCAAAGATTGATGATAAATCTCTTACCTATAAGGATCTCTTAAATGGCTTCTAGAGACTTATCCCACGACTCCGTACAAAACAACAATCCTGTATAATAAAAGGCTCTTTCGCCACTCATCTGAGTAAGAGCGACAACAGCGAAGAAGAAAATAAAGAAAGCTTGCAGTGAGGGAGAGCTATGGAGTGTGGTCAACGACGTTCATGATCACAATCATTTGAAGGAGGACAGCGCAGCGGATTTGCTCCAGATAAAAGAGGTAGACCTAAACTGACCTACCCTGCATGCGGAGGCATGCACTTTATTGACTTCTGCTTCTATATTTTTAGTTATAAGACTCCTTAAGAGTTTGAGCCAAGACTTTGGCTTCAACAAAGAGCTGATAGATGGCTCAACAGCAATGCACTATTAGCAAAAGAGGTAAGACGTGTACTAACCAAAGAACAGGGATAAGCTCCTTCTCAAAGGAAAGAACGATCTCGCTCTAGAAGTTGATCCTAAGAGTGACGAGAACCTATAACTCAAAATACTCAGAATGAGGTGACTTTCCAAGGAGAAACAGCAAGTTCAAATTGACTCTTTAAGACGGCAGTAGGCAGCTGCAAATCGACCTGCTATATTCATATGGAAAAGGATTTGGCTGCACTGTCAATTAATGAATATCCTTTAAAATATTCAGCTTTATTGGATTCAGGGTTATCAATTCACGTTTTCAATGAGATAGAAAGGTTTGTGAACTTCTGGAAAGCGACAGCAGGAGACTTCCTATGGGCAGGCACCCACCAAGTACCTGTCTTAGGATATGGAGAAGTGGATATCGAAATCCACAGCCTTGATGGAAGACTCTAAATTCTGCGCCTTTATAATGTGGCATACTGCAAGGACTTTGTGGCAAACCTGGTGTCTTTCTAACAACTAAGAAAGCATGGAATCTGGTGGGACACCAGAAGAGGCTTTAACTACCTTTAGAACGAGAAAAATCAAGTCCTTATATATATAAAAGAGAGGGAAGGTCAATTTGTACTTAAACATATCGCTAACGACCATCCTCTCGTAAAAATGGCCTTCATAATACGACGGCACCGCTTCAATTTGTGGACAGTCAGAAAAGAACGAAAAGCTGATGCTAAGAGATGACATGCTCGCCTTGGCCATCCTGGACCCCAAGCTATCGAACACCTTGCCATAACGACAAAAGGTGTAAGAGTGACTGGCCTATCTAAAGGTCCTACCACTGTACAGTGTAAAGCCTATAGAAGGGTAAAAGCTAGACGAATCATATAATGAGAAGAAAGAAATATTGTGGAATGACCTGGCGTGCATCTAGCGATTAATTTTCATGACTTTCAGAAAAGCTCAATGAATGGAGAAAAGACATTGATGCTTATAACCAATCGATTTAGCGGTTTTATCTGGGACTTTTATATGACGTCGCACAAAAGCGTGGAGATCTTAGAAACTCTGAAATGGTTCTTTGAATATCTGAAAAAGCACCATGATGTTAGTCCGATCAAGATTGAGATAGATAATAAGATATTCTTACACTGACCTGAGGTAAAGGAGTGGCTGATTACTAAACATGTTACTATTGAGCCCTCAACGGTAAATAATCAAGGACAAAATAGTGCTGCTGAGCGCTCAGGGGGTGTCATCAAGGATAAGACTAGGGCCATGAGAAATGGTGTAAAGTTACCTACAGATTTATGGTCAGAAATATATCGAGCCTCAATCTATCTTTATAACTGTACCCTGAAGTTCATGTACAACTGGAAAACGCCATACAATAGGTTCTATACTTACATTGCTTTGCAAAATGGAATTTGCATATAAGATCAGAAACCTCAGCTTGCTTACCTGAAGGTATATGGCTGTAAAGCATATGCCCTCATATTAGAGTATCAACTCAAGAAAAATTGACTTCAACACTTCAATCCGCGAGCATGGGTAGACTATCTCGTTGGATATAACTCAACAAATGTTTATAGGATTTGGAATCCTTCGACAGGGAGGATCGTGCAAGCAAGGGATGTTATTTTTAACGAGGATGAAGTCTTCAGTAGAGATATCCAAGATATCAAGGATGATCTCCTTCATGTGTCTATTGAAGAACTGACAATCTTGCTGAACAAGATAGATATCCGAGTATAGTCAGGTGAAGTCGAAGATAATGCTAACTTTGGAGATGAGATGGAGGATTTGGTGTTTAACGGAAATAGGCATAATAATGAGTATACGATAATAACAGGCTTGGTAACTGGTTCTGGATTTGAAGATTCAAGTCAGCTTAATTTGGACTATCCAAGCGGCCCATCCCTGACGCCAGGAGAAGGATTATTAGAGGGGATTGATAAATATGCTTATCCTACACCTCCAGATATGCCTCCGAGCGCACTATTGGCAGCTAGCATAACTATTGTCCATGAAAATGACCTCAACCTCTATTAGAGCTCTAAGCACGCAGCTGGAATGTCAACTGGCGGGGTCAAGCCCAGAGGGTCGCTCGTTCAGGAAGCAACCACCAAGGAAGGTCCTAGAGGGGCTCTTGATGGTGTAGGCACGGTCAGGTCTAGAGGATTGCGTGCTGAGTTTGGGGACAGGCCCAGAGGGTCGCCCAATCTGCGTGACTCTATGGTAGGTCTCAGAGAGGCTCATGGCAGGCATATCCTTGAGGACGGACCCAGAGGGTCACTTGAGAAGAACGGGGTAGGCTTCAGAGAGGCTCCTGTTAAAACCGTCGCCGCTGCTTTGACTACGCAACGAGGAGAGCTTAATCCTTGGAGGTTTGCTTTTCTAGTAGGCACACAACATCGTCAGTATGAGGTGAACACAGTCAAATTTGATCACGTGAGCCTTCAGCGATGTCTAAGGTCAGGATGTCGACTTCAGTCAGTTCTAGTCCGCGACCTACCGCCTGCTCCCAAGAGTCACCATGAAGTGGAAAAACATCCTTTAGGTTAGTTATTTGAGGAGGCTGAGAGAGATCACCTTAAAAGTTACGATCCATCTGGCTCTTGGACAACGGTGCCTATCAGTAAGGCAAAAGGAAAGCAGATTCTCAATTGTATGTGGGTATATGTCTATAAGTAGGACAAGAAAGGTTGTCTAGTCAAGTGCAAGGCACGATTCGTGGTAAGAGGTGATCAAGAGAAAAGAGATGATACAAGGGACACATATGCTGCTACTCTTGCTGCGAGATCTTTTAGGATATTTATAGCTATTGCTGCGCGCTTTAATCTAGAACTCAAGCAATATGACGCTGTCAATGCCTTTGTTAATGCTATACTGGACGAAGAGATCTTTATGAGAATGGCTCCTAGATATCGTGAGTCTGGAAAAATATATCGACTGAACAAGGCTCTCTACGGATTGCATAGATCACCACTCCTATGGTAAAAGGAACTTACCAGCACCCTCATAGAGTTGGGTTTCAAAACAGTGCCTCACAAACCGTGTTGCATGTTGAAATCTAGGATCATACTGTTCTTTTATATAGACGATATCGTTATCACATATAAGACGAGCCACCAACTAGAAGCTGACTCAGTCATGAACCAACTTTGTGCCAAATACAAAATATCTGGAGGAGGAGACCTGGAGTGGTTCCTAGGTATAAGAGTTATATGGGATCGAAGCAATAAGGTGATCTGGCTCAGTCAAGCCACCTATATCGATAAAATTGCAAAGTTAGCCAACACTCGACAAACTGATGACACACCAATGGCTTGAGAAGAATTACTCCTATACGAAGGAATGACCACCTACAAAAGTAACCATCAATATCAATAAAAAGTTAGCTCAATTATGTACATAGCAGTAAGTACTCAACCTGATGTGGCTTTTGCCATCTCACGGCTTTCACAGTTCTTGTTAAATCCTGGACCAAAGCACCATCAAGCTGCTGACAAGGTTTTATGCTACCTTGAATGTCATCGTGCGTACGCCTTGAGGCTTGAAGGAGGTGAAGATTATTCAGTATCAACAGACGCCTCCTTTGCAGATAATACACTTGACCATAAGAGCTCACAAGCATATGTCATGACACTTTTTGGTGGAACGATAGGATGGCAAGCGAATAAGCAGGATATGGTAACAACATCAACCACTGAAGCTAAACTGTTAGCTCTCGCTCAGGGGGTGAAAGAAGGCAAATATGTCCTTCAATTACTTCTGGAGTTAGAGATATATTTTAGAACACCTACTCTTTATATTTTCTACGATAACCAGCAAACTCTAGGATTGCTAGAGAAGGACGCTCCGCGACTGCGTACAAAGCTCTGACACGTTGATATTCATAATCACTGGGTACAATAAGAGGTGCAGAAGGGAGACATCCAAGTGCACTACATGCCCACAAAAGATATGATTGCCAACGGCCTGACTAAGGCACTCAGCAAACAGGAACACCAAAAGTTCCTCAATCAAATCGGAGTAGAGGATATCAACAGCTATCTCACTCCCCAGCAAAAGGATATGGAGAACCTAGATATTGAAGAATTACTTTCTCTCAATGACGTGCCCGACAACTTATGAAGCTATTCCAGCTTTACAAGCAGTTGCTTTCTGCAGCTGAGGGGGTGTGTCAGATAATCCGGCTTTTAAACAAGGCAGAAAGATCGACTGTTCAATCTTACAGGTCTAAAAGGCACCTTTAGGCATATATCTGGGCACCTAGATTTCCGCCCAATATTTACCCCTCCTGATAGCTCACAAATCACCCCGCCAAAGGTGTCTATAAAGGACCCGGCTTTAAAGACTTGAAAGACAGACACAGAACTCAATACATACAATCTTGCTAGTCACTTCTTTTCTTTGATCCTAGTAAAACACTCTTCAGGATTGGCCTGGAATAAACCGACCAATCCGACACGGGATAGCCGTAATATAATCCTGTCAATATACTACTACCTAAGCAAGGATGCCCATTTTGTCAAGTTTGGCCCGCTTTGGGTGGCTTGCTGATTAGTTTGCTTAGATATCTTGGTAACTGACATTGAAAGGGAGTGTCCCATGTATTACTCTGTCCAGATTTTTGAATTCTGCCTACTTATCTGCGACAATTCTCAATTGGTCTGATGAGGGTATTCTACTGACCGACGGAGAACGGTAGCTAATTAACTACAGCCTACTACGTAATACACAAGCAATCAGTCAGGTTGAAGGACCTTTATTCGAGATTCCTCCTTTCACAACGTCAAATTTTGTTTAATTTGTTCGCTTTCATCCTATCTATGCAGTTCATATAGTTGATATAGAGTTCCTCAACCAGGCCTTTCATACTATGGAATCCATAACTATCGCGAGACCATTTACAGGCATATATCTATGGCCGCACTTCAGCAAAGCATTTGAGTTCATCGCTGGCTACCCTGCTGACAACTTTGAGTTCGTTGTGGGCCAGACCCCATTGTCCACGTTCAAGGAAACCTTCCTTTTCGTGGTATTCTACTACGTGATCATCTTTGGTGGCCGCGAACTCATGCGAGACCGAACGCCTTTCCAGCTCTCGTCCTTGTTTTTGGCGCACAATTTCTGTTTAGCGGCCATCAGCGGTGTTCTGCTCGCTCTTTACATAGAGGCTATTGTTCCTACGCTAATCCGCAAAGGCGTGTTATTCGCTATATGCGATATTGATGGCGGATGGACGCAGCATTTGGTTGTCTTGTACTATGTGGGTGTTTAAAAATCTTAGACTTTCACGATTGGTAGATCAAAAGCTAATTATATCTGTCCATCGATAACAGTTGACTTTATTAACCAAATACCTCGAATTTCTCGACACTGTATTCCTCATCCTCAAGAAAAGACCCTTGACATTCCTGCACTGCTACCACCACGGCGCAACCGCGGTCCTCTGTTACACGCAATTAATCGGCCACACCGCCGTGTCATGGGTCGTTATCACCCTTAACCTTGTTGTCCACATCGTCATGTACTGGTACTACTTCCAGAGCACGCGCAGTATCCGTGTTTGGTGGAAAGAATGGGTCACTCGGCTTCAAGTGATACAGTTCATGATCGACCTTGGATTCGTCTATTTTGCGTCCTATACATATTTCGCCTCGACATATTTTCCCTGGATGCCCCATATGGGTTCGTGTGCGGGCGAGGAGTTCGCGGCTTTGATTGGCATTGGCGTTCTGACTTCGTATCTGGTGCTGTTTATTGGATTCTACTTTGCGACGTATAGAAAAGGTGTGAGGCCGCGTAGTTCGCGCGGAACTCTTCGTCGCATGTCTCAAGCTGAAGCTATTACCTCTAGCGGTGTCGAAGCTACTAAGCTTGCAAAGGGCAATCTCTCGATGAGAGCTCGGGAGATGTAAGTGCAAAGTGATGGTTGTCCCGTTTCAATATAGGGAGATGATTTGAAATTTTGGGACTGGCATGATAGGCTGCACGCATAACCCCACTTTCTCGTATGGAAGTATGTATATACTAGACGCATCCTTGCCGCTGTTTCAGAAGAAAGAAAAGAGAGTGCGAGTTGTAACTCCAAACCTGCAAACTACTGTAACGCGCGTTGGAGAATTGTTTGGTTTTAATGAGAGTGCTTGATATTGTAGGAATACCATACGTCTGGAGGAGCCGATTAGTCCGGACCAGGATCGCTATCTGTGTCTGCGAATAGAACGCATACAATGAGGAAGACAAACTCACTCGGAAAAGCGCAAATTGCACACTTTTTCAAATGTAAATGGGAATTCGAGCTGAGACATCGTCTGCTGGATCTCACATGCCTCGTGATCCGTCATCCGTGCCATTGAGGCGCGTGTGTGATACTGTAGCCGTAAAAATTTTGTAGTTCCCATTGATATCGGGATCGACGGGTATGCTACTCGCACAACTTTGTTTAAGTAATTTATGAATGCTATCCACTATTACTTTAGGTCCATTTATTGCATAGGGGGCATCCTGTGGGATTCTACTATAGTGATTGTTCTAGGGTATAACCTGTTGGTAATATCTTTCTGAATTAATAGTCCCCTATTCTTTCTCCTAGAATAAATATAGGCTTCTATTATCTCCATGAAAAGTAGCCCAAAACATCCATCCACGTTTTTGGGCTAGAAATATACGTAAACACGTCTCATCTAGCTCTTTACCAGCTTTTCTAGTTACCCAGATTCTTGTGTAGAAGCCTAAAGTTACCCATATTTCATTAGACCAAAGAATTCGATTCCATTGCTCAATTATCCAATTTAAATGCTCAAGGGCCCAGACAAGACATACACGTTTATATTAATCCGATAGAGGAGGCTTTCAAAGAGCTTTACACTATATATCCTCTTTTTTTAAGCGCTCAAGCTAGCGCATTCTTTCCCACAGATAGATTAAGCTCTTCTATAACTTTATAATAAGGCATACAGCGCATATGTTTCAAAGAAGTAATCCATTCAATAATATAATCAACTTCGGCTTCGGAGAGCTTAGAGGGGTTGCAATAAGCCTTTTTAGGAGTTGCTTGCTGGCTTTGACACGTAGACCTCGCCATGACCCGGACCGTGGGTCCCTCCTCGCGACCCGCGACCCTCACCGCACCTGAGGGTCATAGAATCTTTGGAGGGTCACCCGCCAAGCGACCCTCACGGCCCGCATATGCATAACTTTCTCACGCTTTCCCTAATTCAGATGGATAATTCTGCTGATAAACATTCATAAATTCCTGTTTTTTATACCTGTTTCGTATGTCTGACTATGAATCTATTGTTTTCTATCAAACCCCTACATATTTTTATGAAATATGTCTTCTAAATAAGCCTTCTTGCTCGGTAATCCTGGATTTACACCTTTTTTCTGCCTGGGAAAAACCGTTGTGGTGTGTATTGTGAAGAGTTGGAGAGAGAAGCATATAACAATGGGGAAATATATATTTTGATTGTAGAAGTATAATCTGAAGAAGTTACAACTTTGATATTCTTGGTTATTAGCCTCAAACTTCCTGAAATCCTGACTTAATTATATTGAACATCTATTATCCACTTTCTATATACCTATGCCGTGTCGAAATTGAGCGAAATATATCGATCATGTTCAATTATGTTCTGCCAAAGTCGTAGGGTCGCGAGGTTGACCCTCAGGATAACCCTCACGAACCTCAGGATGACACTCACGAACCTCAGGGTGACCCTCACGAATTTCAGGGTGACCCTCACGAACCTCAGTTCTAGCCAATTAGCATAATAAGTATCAAATGTGATCTGTCATTTTACCTCCTGAGTCCCTTGCCAAACTACAAAGGAAATCTGGTAAGTCTTCTCTTCTTCTAACTATCTTCACCATGTCCCAGTTTTCTGACGCATTCTCATCTACTTATGAGGGTCCACCCTTAGATTTTCTTGAATACAGTGCTGATGATAGTCCAGGTCTAAATCAGCTCTACTCCCCTATCTCATCTAGAAATCAAGATATCTCCCTTCCATTATCTGAGCTTTGAGTGGCACCTGATTATCTTTATTGAATTTGCCTGGACTAGATTAGATTATTCATTATGTACTCCCCAGAAATAGACAATGAATTTATGCAGTGGTGGCTTCAGACTAATTTTGGGAAAAAGAGACAGATATCTTGGGATGTAAAACGAGCTGCAAACTGCTAGAAAAACTTTGATTAAGTAGTATTTAAAAAAGATAGAAAGCCTAGAGTGATGTACCATTAATGTTGGAAGGTACTTGATTACCCTGCGTCAGCTCACTCAGGAATATCTTCAATAAACAAGCATTATAATAGGATAAATTACTGGAGAGTTACCTCAGCTGTAGGAAAGAAACCAAACATCAAGCTTGCGTTAGAGCATGCAGTATGTTCGAGATCTGACTTTGACATTGAGTAATGAGCATCCCAGTTCTGACCTCGACATCTAGGCGTAGAATGTGACGGTACGAAGATTTGATAAGTGAGTTTGGCAGCAGAAGCTTGCTCAGCTCCTCACTATATCATATCTTCCCTTTCTTTTTCTCAAGTACACCAAGTTCCGTGATTTGATCTCCTATGCCTGGCTAGCACTATTAATACTAGAAATTCCTTCTGCCAAGGTTATGCACCAGCAGCTTCAAGATCTCGTCCATGAGAACCAAAAGAGTATCCTTCAGAAACTCCCTTCTAGTGTGAAGCTATCACTTGCCCTAGATTGCTAGACATCTCCATTCCAACAGGCATTTATGGTGATTACAGAATACTTTCTCGACAAGAACTGGGAATATCATGAGATATTACTAGGATTTGAACACTTACATGGATCTCATTCCAGCGCAAATTTAAGTGTAGTGCTCCTCAAGCTGCTACAGGAGCATCAGATCATAGATTGAGTGCTTGCAGTAACCACCAACAACACTTTAAATAATGTTAGTCTTATAGTAAGTGTCTACGAGGCAATTGAGTCACTATAATCCTTAAACAATGTTGTTATCATTCAGGTACCCTATATTACATATGTGATCTAGCTGAGTCTCAAAGATCTCCTTGGGAAGATGAAGGCTGCTCTAAAGATTAATATAGCTGAGCAGACATGGTCTGATGATTGGGTGGATAGTCTTCATGCGAGATAGCAGAAACGCAAGATTGTGGACACTTTGAATAAGGTGCGACATCATGGCTTTTATCCTCATTCATTATTCTAATCTGTTTCTTAGGTTCGAAGCTTTGCAATTTATATCAACGCGAGTCCTCAGCGCTGAGAGTCATTCTACAACTTACAAACTAAGGAGCCAAAGCTTGTGCCAATCCAGGATGTTGCTACTTGGTGGAACTCCACGTTCTTAATGCTTATACGCGCAAAGAAACTCTAGCAGACCTTCGATGCGTTCTGCTCTTAGTACGACCAAGAGCACTTTGCCTTGAGTTAGGAGCAGTGGCGGCAAGTAGACTATCTTATCTGTATTCTCTAGCCTTTTTACCGATTTATGACCCTTCTCTCGAAGTCTAAGGATGTTACCATCTATCGGGTCTTTAAGGTCTACAATAAGCTGTTTAACCACCTAGAAAAGTCGATTAGACAGCTTAGACAGAAGAGGGTCGCTTGGAAGCAGGTGATGCTTGCATCTCTCAAAGTAGCAAAGAACAAGCTCTTAATCTACTACAAAGACACTGACAACATGGATGGTCATCTCTACGCCATTGGCACTATTCTTTCTCCACAGGATAAACTTTAGTTCTTCTCAACCGCAGACTGGGACCCAGAGGAAGGCGGAATTGATTACCAAGCAATCTATCACCAGAGCCTTGAGTCCTCTCTCGAGAAGTACTTAGAGAATCTTGCCTAGGAGCAGCAGATAGTGGATGCTCCCCCAATGAGTACGGCAATAGATAAATTTGATTTGGCCTGTGTTCGAGATGAGTCGCAGCAATCTTAGATTCGACAGCCAGTTCAGTCTGACAAGCTTATAAGGTATCTTGACAGCAGTGAGTGTCTCGTCTCTTAATATTAATGGGAATAATTACTGATTTCTCTTTTAGACACAGTCCCAAATGCCTAACCTCGAACCTAGTGGAAATATCACTAAGATGAATTCCCTGGAATGGCGAGGCTTACATGAGATGTTCTTTCTATTCCAGTTAGTGGTGCAGGAGTAGAGCGGCTTTTCAACTCTGCATGAGATATCTGCCATTATCGTCGAGGCTCTCTACAGCCTCAAACAATCTCAGATCTTATGATGTATATGTGTACATCATGGTTTGAGATTTATAAAGAGGAGCGAATAATGCTCTCTAAATATCTTTTGACTTAGGAGATACAGGCTGTAAAGGAAGAGAGAACTCAGCAACAAATCACTATTGATCTAATTAGTGATGATGAAGAGGATGAAGGGCTTTCTTCTACAGAGCTCTAAGAAACTTTGCAAGGCCTATCTGCAAAGGCACTTGGCAAAAGATGCCTAAGAGATATTACTGAGAATATAGAAAGTGATTAGGAGGGTGATAGTGAGGTTACATCTCTGCTAGAGACATAGTACCGAGTGTCAGGTAGAGTTCGCAAGCGTTCAAGGTTGCTTGATGGATATGAGATGTAGAATATGTAGTTTAATTCGTTTAATTCATCTGTTTAATTTGTTTAGTTCATTTTGATTTAATGCTTTCAGGGTGATTAAAGCTAAACAAGTAGACCTACAAATACTGTAAGTGAAATACTCAAAAATACTGTTAAAATCTACAGAATTTATACACCTCATGACCTGATGATGTTTGCATTGTTTTACTACCCTGAGGGTCAGGTCATGGCCCTGAGGGTCGGGTCGCACCATCAACGACCCTCCCCTTATGGAGGGTCAGGGTAGGGGCTGACGACCCAAGAACCTCCGTGGTCCGGGTCGCGGTCCGGGTCGTCAGGGTGACCCGCGGGTCGTGGCGAGGTCTATTGACACGTATATTGAACTTGGCGGTAGCTAATTTGAAGCTATTAAGAGGTTTAAATATATATAAATCCAGCATCTCGGAGTGCTAATACTTGTATCCGCTCATCCCTATCAAGCCGTACAGAATTCTGCTTTGGCTGAGGGGGTTCAGGGGGCTCCGGCGTGGCCATATTAATTGTTGATATCCGATATCTAGATTGTTGGAACTCAAAATGAGCTAAACCAATTTGGGAATAGGACAAGATTTGCGTATCAAGAAATTTCGAGAATTGGCATCACATTCCGACGCGACATTGAACATTACAAATCAACTTTACAGCCTATCTCTAGAAAATTCGATTTGCACAAGTGTCGACTTTTGGTGATATCACTTCTATGAAATCTTGTATATAAAAACAGGTTCAATACTCCTAGATAGTGGTTTTAGAGGAGTGCCGGAAAATAGACCTAGTTCCTTATACGTATTGTTTAGTGCTCGCTTTCGCTTAGTCATCGCTCTAGTAAACCAACGTTCCGACAGTTATGAGCCTGGGATCCCTGCGAATATAAGCACAAGTATCGTATTGGAGTATTGGATCGACACTTGAAGCTACTCGCAGACGTGAAATCTGATTTATCGACGACCGTTGGTTTTGGTATACATTCGACGAATGACCGAGTGTGAACCCTTGAAGATATCTGTGCCAGGAAGAACGAGTGAACTTGTTAGCTATGGATGAGAATAAGGGAACCGTTATTTTGAAGTCATTGAACGAATGGAGGAGATGGTTAGAGCAGTTGAGAACAAAGGCGACGAAGGAACGAGTCTGGGATTATGTGAATCCATCCCCGTTACGGACACACGAGGTGGAACCGGCACCGGAGAAACCAGTTAAACCCCCTTTTCCAGACAGTATAATGCCGAATCAGAACAAGGATCCAGAAGTTGAGAAGCTTGCATTGATGCGCTTCCAAATGGAATTACAGTTATATGAGCAGCATTATCAACGGTATAAGGACGAAAAGGCGAGGTACGAGAAGCACCAGGAACGATTGGACGCGGTATGATCGTATATATTCGACACGGTTGAACTAGGCCACCATCCCCGAATTCGGATGAAGCAAACCGTTCTCGAGATGACACAGGAATTGCAGGAGGAATTTGCTCTGCAACCGGAGCAGGAGCATGAACTGATAAATGAGAGATATAGAGATTTGCTTACTCCGAAACGCGGCATGAAGCCTAAAGACTGGATCTCGAAATGGGAGAATCTGTTATTGGATATGCAACTAACGGACTTCAATGAGATTCCAGAAAAGAGAATGTCGAGGGACTTTATTCGTTCATCAGCTTTTATTGCACCCAAGTTTGCTGAATCATGGACGACAACACTCATCGAATTGGATACCGGACTGGAAGTATTGCATAGGAAGATTGGATTAGACTCAGTACCAGGGATTCGCGATATGATAAAGATTTTCGAACAATGGGTCAAGGCACAACGCAACGTGATGGACCCTACTCGACGTGATGCATCATTCGCGATGTTAGGCGGTAAATCGGATCAGCCTGAGAAGGAAGAAGAACAAAAAGGGACTCAGCAATCCAATCAGCAGACTAATCATCAATCAAGATCACAACAGAAAGGACAATCGAGAAACAGAGAAAGAACGTGTCTATGTGGAGCAAAGCACAACTTTGAGGATTGCCCATATGTCAATGAAGGAAAAAGATCAAAGGATTGGAAAGAAGATGAGGATATTACCAGAAAGTTCAAAGATGTCGAACGCAGTAATACATCGCTGGCGAAGGCACTTAAGGCAGTCAAAGGGAAGCTTAAACTGACAAATTCAACCAATAAAAAGGAATCTGACGACGGCAAGAAGGACAACGAACCGGAAAGATCGAACTTTGTATATGATGAGGACGAAGTTCAGATATCGATAGGTCCATGTTTTGAACGATCAAACATGGCAATACAAGTTCAAACAATAGCGACAGCCACAGATTCAGACAAAGACCTCAAGGATGCAGTTATTTTGGATAACGGTACAACGACTAACATCTTCAATGACTTAAGACGGCTTCGCAATATGGGAAATGAAGAACGAATCTGTCTTGTTGGAAATGGCTCAGTAAAGATGTATGGACCAGGGGAAACGATCATCTATCTAACGAATCCGATTAGCAGACAGGCAAAGAAAGGGATATTGGTGAAGGAGGCATGGTATGTTCCAGGAATGCATACCAACATTATCTCTCAAGGAATGGCTGAGGAATATGGACTTTTCTTCAATGGTTTGACCCGAAGATTGGTGACAAAGAAACAAGATATTTGTGGACTAAAGAAGGAAGGAAGGCTTTATCTGATTGAATGGGATGAAAACCGGAAACCTAGGAGTTCTCTAGGAAACGACTTAGCACTTAGTTCTTTCGAGAGAAAAGTATTGAAGGACCCTGGGAATGTATGGTATAAACGACTTGGACATATATCGGAACAAGCCGTTGAGAAACTTCAGGAAGCAACGGAGGGTGCACTTGTCACTTCACCAAGGGCTTTAGGCAGGAATGAAGAAGGATTCAAGGAGAAATGTGAGATTTGCGAACTTTCCTCGGCAAAGAGATAAATAAGCAGAGTGGCGATACCACATCCAACGCGACCGTTCCAAAAAGTATTTGTCGATATCATTGTTATGAGCTTGGCAAGGAACGGAGATGTGTATGCACTTCATCTATTTGACCCTTTCACAAAATACCACGCCTTGGCAACAACCCCAACGAAATCGGTAAATTTTGACTTGTAATGGCTAATTGAGGATATTGAACAAACATTCCATGTTGTGATTGAAGTCATACATTGTGACGGCGAATCAGCAATCAATGGAAATGACTTTAAAGATTGGTGCAAGTCAAAACGGAAAACCCTTGTGACAACAGTTCCTAATACTCCAGAACAAAATGGGCCAAGCGAGCGAGCTGGAGGACTTATCACTACACGAACAAGAAGTGCGATCCAGGAAGCAAACTTACCGACAGGATTGTGGCCATATGTTATGCAAGCGATGGTTTATATCATCAATCGGACGCCCACAAAAGCAATCGGTTATAAGACTCCATATGAGATGGCGTATGGCAAGAAACTTACATTGGAAATCTGTACTTGCTTGGATCAAAGGCGTACGTGAGAATCGACACCAAGAAAAGTGAGAAGATGGAACCGAGGGCTCAAATCGGATATCTCGTTGGATACGAGTCTCACAATATTTGGCTAATTTGGACAGAGGGACCACGAGGGACCAAGGTCATTCGAGCAAGGGATGTTGTTTTTGACGAAACGAAGAAGTATAATCCAGAACATCCATTTGCTAGAGAGATTATTAGGAATGGTGTGACAAAAATCACAGAATCATTAGACATACCGAACCTGGAGGACTTCAATGAAGAACGAGTTGTGGAATCAGTCGACGAATATATGAATTTGCAGCAATCCTCCTCAATGAAATTTCCTCTGGAAATCCCAGTATTAGCTTCTGGAAACAGCCAGACAGTCACAACACAGCAACACATACCAGAAAGCATGGAAATTAATGATCAACCTGTCAATGAGCCAACACAGTCTGTTGTGATACACTCTGACAGCCATTTGATACCCAGCCCGTCAGCATCCAGTTCAACAGAGTCGATGCAAGGTCACCAGATGTCAACGAGCAAGGAATTGTTACTGGAAAATCGAATTAGTGAACAGAATCAGGATGACAAAATGGAAATCGACGACGTACATGGCCAGCAAGATAATCAGTTAGTTCGATTTGATGACACTAAAAACGAAGTCACATTGTACGGTGATGAATCCCAATTTGGCGAATCTGGGAGGGTGACTGGTGAGGATAGTGGTGAGGAAGAAGCTCAACAGGATGAAGGAGCAGAGCGAGAGAATATGGCTCTCACGGCCGGAACAACCACTAGTCCGAGTGGGCAGATTCCCCAAATAGGAAATGAACAGACACCGCTGTTGCAATTGACCAATGAGGAATCAAGAAATCCTGACGTCACGTTACCTGAGCTACTACTATCAACTACCCCGCAGCAAAGAAGCGCGCCAAAGGCCTCAGAAATCGGAGCTGACCTCTCAGAGGGAAATATTGTGACAGGACCACGCCGAAGGATTCCCTCTAAGCGTGCTCGAAGCCCAGAAATAGCGACATCTAAGGCGGAGAGGAAGAGGCACCGAGCTTTTTTCGCGAGAATAAAGTTATTGCAAGAGTCTTCAGCGTATAAAGTGTTTTTGGCAGCCGCAGAGAAACTTGATGGGTATGAGCCGCTTCATGAAGATATCCCACCAGAGCCCAGGAACTGGATAGGCGTCAAAAGACACAGATTTGCCAGGCAATTTGAGGAAGCTGGGAGAACTGAGATGGAGTCATTAAAGAGAAAAGGCACATTTGAAGTTGTCGACAGACCTGAAGGAAAGCAAATCCTACCGCTGACATGGGTCTTCAAATACAAATCTGACAAATTTAGGAAGATTGCAAAGTTCAAAGCACGAATTTGTGTTCGAGGAGACTTGCAAAAGGGTATGGATTTGGAAACACGAGCAGCAACACTTGCGGCAAGAATTTTTAGAATGATGATGGCACTAGCTGCAGTTTTTGATCTTGAGATTGTACAACTTGATGCAGTCAACGCTTTTGTTAACAGTGACCTGGATGAAGAGGTATACGTTTATTTTCTAGATGGCTTCAGAATTCCCGGAAAAGTCATACGATTAAGGAAAGCGTTATATGGATTACGACAAAGTCCGCGATTATGGCAAAAAGAGCTTACAGGAACGCTATTGGAGCTTGGATTTTCGCAAATTCCAGATGAAGAGTGCTTATTTGTTAAAGATGGTGTGTTTTTACTCTTCTTTGTGGACGATATTTTGATCTTTTACGACAGGAAAAATCGACAATCTCTCTTTGAGGAAATTGTTAAGAAACTCACGAGCAAATATGAGATTCGACAAATGGAGAAATTCGAGTGGTTCTTGAATATACGAATCGTACGGGATAGAAAGCAGCGGAAGATCTGGATTTGTCAAGATTTGTATATTACCAAGATTGCTAAAAAGTTTGGGCTAACGCAAAACAATACAAAGACACCAATTTCCATCGATTTACAACCGTCAGAGAGTGAAGCCATGAATGAAGACATTCACCTCTATCAAGAATTGGTGGGATCAGCAATGTATGCTGCAGTCATGACCCGACCTGATGTTACAAAGCCAGTGAACGAACTTGCCAAATTCACTACAAATCCATCAAAGGATCACATCCGCCAGATTAAACGTGTCATTGAATATCTCTATAATACACAATTCCTCGCTATCGAATTCTCACCACCGGAAAACAGCGATTCGGACGTTGCTATATGTGCTTCGGATGCTTCTTTTGGAGACAACGCCGATCGTACGAGCTCGGAGGCTTATATTTTCAGTTTATACGGAGGTCCTGTCGACTGGCGTGCCACAAAGCAACGATTAGTTACAACTTCAACTACCGAAGCGGAATTAAGAGCGGCAACGGAAGCAGCAATGAAGCTCTATGTTTGGAAACGTGTATTCAAGGCTATTGGTTTCAAAACAGATCGTGAGCTCTCCATTCAATGTGACAATAAGCAAACCGTGCTACTCTTGACTAGGGAGGACCCTCATTTTCGAACGAACTTACAACATATTGATATCTACCATTATTGGCTACGACAAGAAGTGAGGTGTGGTAGACTTCACATTGAGTGGGTTCCTACAAAGGAAATGATTGCAGATGGCCTTACTAAGGTGTTGAAAGGACAACAATTCTTGGACTGGAGAAAACACCAAGGATTAACGGATATAGCTCATTTAGTGCAAGAATGAAACCTCACGGTTTCCTTCTTGGGAGGGTATGTTGGAACTCAAAATGAGCTAAACCAATTTGGGAATAGGACAAGATTTGCGTATCAAGAAATTTCGAGAATTGGCATCACATTCCGACGCGACATTGAACATTACAAATCAACTTTACAGCCTATCTCTAGAAAGTTCGATTTGCACAAGTGTCGACTTTTGGTGATATCACTTCTATGGAATCTTGTATATAAAAACAGGTTCAATACTCCTAGATAGTGGTTTTAGAGGAGTGCCGGAAAATAGACCTAGTTCCTTATACGTATTGTTTAGTGCTCGCCTTCGCTTAGTCATCGCTCTAGTAAACCAACGTTCCGACATAGATATAAAATCACGGGACCACCGCCATACAGGTAGACGTCGGTATCGCATTGGGCCTAGCGTGATCGTAGCAAGGACATCAACCTCGCATGCCACGGATCTCAGATAGTTAGACTTCTCAATATCACTCTCTCTAGCCCATCATCATAAAATATGGGATATGAGGTTTTTATTCAAAAGGCGGTGAGCCTGTGGGGCCTCACCGCCTAAAATCGTACTAACAAAATTACCGGCCCCATCCAGAGTAGGTACAGCTACTACGGTTGGGATGGTGAGTGGCATGACATCTGGACCGGAAGCACGGACCGTAACGGACGAGCTCGGGCGGGCGGCGCAGCGTTCGTAGCCATCAGGGAGCCTAATTCCACCTGCAGCCAACCTTGTTACTGCAGGGTCCTGTTGGGAATTATCAAGTTCGAGCCAATAGGGTTCGGGGGCCTTATCGAATTTCTGAACTTCCTACCGTCCAGTAAGCCAAGAGTAGCCCTTCCTTTCTTAGTGCCTACCCATGTCAGCATTTCTGCTTAGCAACATATGTTGATCCTGCGCCGCATGCAAGTGCTGGCGGCAATGAGATCTAAATCCAATCCATGTTCAAACGATTCATTCCTTTATTATCAGTAACTAAGTTAGCTATTCTATTCCTATCTACCAACCCATGTTTCAAATCACTCCCGTAGGAGTACTAGGTATCTTCATTTGGGATGGCTAAATTCATGATGGTAAACGAGCGTTCTTGAATATCCAGTCCCTCACGTTTTCTATATCGTACATCGTATAACTCCAAGTAGTAAGTATTCAGTGTACACTATTATCACTTTACAATAATATCATTAAGTATATACTGTAAAGAATCTGACCGTAAGGTCACGTGACACTAGTCGTTCCGAGACTAGCTATAGCTTCAACCCCTGAGTTGTAGGTAACTAGAAGATAGACAAGCAATACACAGAGATTCAACGCATCGAATCATCTCCTTATTAATACTTACAAGCAACTGATCATTGATCACTATTACTGAACGATATTAATCCTCTGAGTCTATACGATCTATTCACCGATTTATTTACATATACCCAATTATAAATGATTTGATCTGTGATAAGACTAGTCGCACATGCTGCAAACCACTTGCAATTTTGACGAAGGTAAATCTATTCTATTATGGTTCCCCAAGCATCATAAGATAATGCCTTACAGCAGCATAGGTTCAACACCCCATCTAAAAATTGGCGAGCCGCACAAATTTTACTGCTCATAACTAGCCATCGAAATGACCCTGCGAATGATCTGAACACTCGACTTAACTGCGGAATTCATACGAGCTCCTGGGACTTCGTGCCCTCCTTCGTGTACATAAATCTCCCTTGTATCCGAGGCACATAGATCGCTTATTGCCTGCCCGTTTATAGTCGTATCATTGGAGCCCCAAATATGCGCCGTGGGAATGTTAATCATCTCGCCGTCCACATCCCGCGTCATGGCCCGGAGCTGACCGTTCTCGATTCTGTATACGGCGGGTGCGGAGAAGAAGATGGCACATTTAAAAGGGAGAGCTGACTTCTTCGAAAGCTGACCCAGTTGTCTTCTCCTCGCAAGGTACGAAGCGGCAATGATTGCTCCCTGTGAGAAGGCTAGGACACCGTCAAATGGGCCCTCTGCAGTCACATAGGAATCAAGCAATTCAAGAGCCCTCAGACAACTGTCCATATCCTCGATGTCGGCGTACGAGAAGAATTCGTCTGTCGATGAGGTGACCTCCCGAAGCTCCGGGAACATCTCTGAAGCTAGATGCCCCTCGACAAACTCATAGGTATGTTAATCTCCTAGTTCAAAGCGAATGGCAGCTGAGTTTTATTGAATATAGTCAGCTCGTCGTCGATGACCAGATATGGTGTCATGCCACTCACCTGTCTGGGTTTCAAAAATCTGGGGTTTGTTATTAAATGTTTATTTTTCATAGACATGTTCTCACTTACCTGTGAGTTAGTGCCCCAACCGTGCAAACATAGAAACCGCATCTTGGAAATGTTACAAAAGAAGGAGGAGCAAAAGTGTAAGAGTAAAGCCGAATGTCCCTGTTTCCCGGGCTCGACTGATGTTCGAGGTTCATTCAAGTTTAAATCATAGACAAAAGATATATTTGGCAGATACCTATCGTTCTTATTCGTGCTCACGCATTTATGCATATAAATCCCATTTTGAAAAGAGCCCAGGCAGTCTGGTAGCCTATAAACTTCTTGTCCAAGATACTCGCCGAAGCAAGCACATATTGCTTGCTTCTATACATAGTACAATTCTGATTGTAACCATGCGCCATAATTTGTGTTATTTGGGATCCAGAATTATCGCATCTGCAGCAGCCCACTTATTTTCGCACTGGCGCGCAGGGATTAATAAAAAAAAAAAAGACATCATCCCTGCTTCTACACTTATGATTAAAGACCAGTTGACGCTGACGCGTCGTCGTAATCAAAATGAATCTAGAAAGCAATTGATTATATACTTTACCGCCCGTTCCGGTTAAATGCTATGGCAAGTAACTGTAAGAAAGCAGTTATGAGCTAATTCATTTTGTACTGTTCTGTCAGTCCCATCATGTATCATGCACACATAAGGTGGCAGTGCCTCAGAATACTTACTGCTATGTATCCCCTGTTTCTTTAACTGCCTCCAAAAGTCTATTCTTGTAATAGGAAAAGGTAAGTTGATAGTATGAAGTTAATAGCAATATGCCTACTACCGCCAACACTTGAATCAAAGCCCATAGGGATAGGAATCGTGAAAACCCCCTAGGCCATAGATATCTATGGATTGCATGCAGCCTATAGCAACAAGACTTTCTAGATACCGGTAAGGATAGGAAACATAAAACCCCCCTAGCCATAGATATCTATGGATTGCGTGCAGCCAGTGGCAACCAGGCTTTAGGGATACCGTGACTTCAAGGGGCAATTGTGGGTAAATCCTTGTTTGGCATCTTGTCATGTAGCACTTGATTAAATATCCATGGCTACTCACTAATATCAAGCACACTAGGCAGGGGTAGATGTAATTTGGAAGTTATCAATAGCCCCCGTCGTAAAGACATACTTCGCGCCTCGTATTTTTTGGATCTTTCTATTATAGGTGGTCTACGAGTCTTTTCATACATGAGTACTTCTCTTGCGCATTAGACGGTGTACTTTAGTAAATGCCTCATAGGGAAAAGAAGGCAATTTGTCCGTTGTTGCATGCAGTGGGTAACCAGAAGCTTCAAGCAGGGTTAGAAAGTTGAGAACATCAACCCAGCAGTGAGAGGAGCGCTCAAGTGTGCCTTGCACAATCCTAGGCTGTTCAAACGAGGTACATACCTATCAGGATGCGAGATACCTATATGTATTTATAGATATTGGCGCTTCTTCTATTGGTAAACATGTTTATACACGTATTTTTGTGTCTACTACATGCAATTGTTGGTCAATCCGGTATGATATTGTGACTAATCCCGACTACATGAAGCTAACATAGTAACTTCAGTTAATGCGAGTTTCGGGGCGTATAGTTGGGGAGTGTCGACTGGATTGTTATCATACCCTAGATTGCTTCCAAGCCTACTTTGGCAATGCTGGATTAGAATCTCATTATCTATAAATTGTCCATACCTACTGCAGAGGATCCTTCTGTTCATGTTCATCAAAGCTCATGTTTCCTCTACTGAACAACTACTTTTCACTGATCTTTCCGCAATCAAATTACCAAACCTACCATGGCACCTTATTTCACGTCGAGCTTTCCAGAGACTAATGGCTCTTTTTCATCTGATTGGCCCTCTCAGAGACCATTCGATGGCAAAGACATTAGCCATGACGTCGCTATTATCGGATTCTCTTTCCAATTCCCTGGAGCCGAGTCCTCAGACTCTCTGGGAGCTCATGGCCACTGGAAAATGTGTGGCTTCTCAGTTTCCTTCGGACCGTATCTCTGCTACTAGATATCATGTTGTGGATGATTCGCGTCCTGGGACGGTAGGGATCTCTAGATACTTATCTCTTTTGTCTTGTACTAACTGATTGGGTTTCAGATCCGGCCACAAAAGGCTTGTTTTCTAGAAAGAGATATCAGTGCATTTGATGCCAAGCTGTTCGGCATGACTCCAGATGAAGCAGCAGGGACAGATCCTCAACAAAGAATAATTCTAGAAACTACATATCGAGCTCTTGAAAACGGTTCGTCTCAGCTTGCGTTCATCGCCACTAGCAGGCTTTAGTCGTAGTATGAAGTTGCTAATTGGCTTTCTAAGCTGGGATCCCTATGCAGAAGGCCAATGGTTCAGACACATCTGTTCACACCGGTTGTTTTACTGCAGATTACACTCTGGCATCGGCAAAAGACCTCGAGAATGCTCCAAGATATGCGGGGACAGGAATGGCAGCCAGTATGCTGTCAAACCGAATCAGTACATTCTTCAATTTGAGAGGTCCTAGCATGACTATCGACACAGCATGTTCGAGTAGTTTGGTAGCATTAGACATGGCCTGCCAGGATCTCAGACATCAAAGAACATCAATGGTATGACTATGTCAGTCTCATTCGTTGCGTTGTTTCCTTGCTGACATTTTCCGAGGGAATCGTTGCTGGATGCAACCTGCTCCTTGGACCTGATTTCTTTATTACTCTGTCCAGTCTTGGATTTGTGTCCCCAGACGGGGTAAGTCACGCCTTTGACAACAGAGCAAACGGTTACGGACGGGGGGAAGGTTTTGGTGTCTTGATTCTGAAGACCGTCGAAGATGCAATCAAGGATGGCGACACAATCCGCGCCATCATCCGAGTGACAAAGACAAACCAAAATGGCCGGACGAGCCTTGCGCAGCCGAGTAAAGAAATGCAAGCGAGTCTCATCCAAGAAACCTATCGTGATGCCGAGCTGAAAACGTCACTGACTCGTTTTTTTGAGGCTCATGGTACCGGAACCGCGATAGGTGACCCCTTGGAAGCTATGGCAATTGGCAGCACATTTGGACCTGGAAGAGATTCGGATGATCCTGTTATCGTGTAAGCATCAATATGCACTGTCCTAATCTGAATATATTAGCTAATCCTTGCCCTCAGAGGTGCAGTGAAAGCAAACATTGGACATCTAGAAGGCGCAGCGGGAATTGCCGGGATCATAAAGACAATCCTAGTGCTGGAAAGAGGTCTCATTCCACCAATTGCAGAGTTACAGGATCTCAACGACAAAATAGATGCCGAATTCCTGAAATTAAAGGTCTGTCCCAACCTTAGTCCTTTCCAAAAAGTGCTCGACTTCCTGACACATCATTTAGTTCCCAAGGGCGCTGACACCATGGCCGCGGGAGGGTTTACGCCGTGCTTCCATTAACAGTTTTGGTTTTGGTGGTACTAATGCGCATGTTGTACTAGATGATGCATTGCACTACCTCAAGGGTCGTGGCTTGGTCGCGAACCATTGCACTAACGCGACACCTTTAGAACACAAAGTGATAGAGCAAAAGCATCTCCCAAAGCCTGACATGGAGACAAAGGCTTTAGCCACCATGAAGGGACCAAGGCTCTTTGTTTGGTCTGGACATGAAAAGAGTTCAGTAACGCAAATGGTTGAGTTGTATCGGGTCTATCTGAAGAAACTGCAATCACAAAATATAGATGGTCTTGATACGTATCACGACATGTTGGCTTACACTCTGGCTCAAAGACGAAGCCTTCACAACTGGCGGAGCTTTGCGGTTGCCGATTCTGTATGCCAGCTTGTCGAGCGGCTGGTAACTCCTCGGCTCCCCAGTCAATCAAGAACTAATCCCAAAAGTGGATTTGTTTTCACTGGTCAGGGTGCGCAATGGGCTGGTATGGGCAAGGAACTTATTGTTTTTCCCGCATTCAGAAATAGCATTTTGGCCGCTGATAAGTTTCTTGCAAGCATTGGCAGCGTTTGGAAACCCTCGGGTATGTGTTTTTACATGGATCAATGAGAATGCAATTTTTACTGATAATGTTTGGATAGACTTCTTCTTTGATGACGACGAGATCCGAGCCAGAATAAACGAGCCGAGATTTTCTCAAATCCTGTGCACAATCTTGCAGATTGCTCTCGTGGAGCTCTTGAGAACATTCCACATTCACCCAACAGTTGTGGCGGGTCATTCCAGCGGGGAAATCGCAGCAGCATACGCTGTAGGAGGAATTTCTAGGCAGTCTGCATGGAAAATCGCCTATTTTCGTGGTCTTTTTTGCAGTGCGCTTGCCGAGTCTTCTGGCACAACACCGCATGGTGCTATGATGGCTGTTGGGCTATCCGAATCATCCGTGCAGCCATATATTGACGAAATTCTTCAAGACTCGCCAGGGAGGGGTGTCTTGGTTGCGGCTTGTATGAATAGTCCAAAAAACACCACTGTATCTGGTGACAAATGTCTAATAGAGCAGCTACAAGCGAAGCTTTTGGCCGATGCAATTTTTGCTAGAGTCCTCAAGGTCCCGGTTGCTTATCACAGTCCACATATGCATCGCATTGCAGCACCTTACAGAGAGGTGATCGGTAAGCTCGACCGTGGCGAGACACCACCAGTGTTCGCAACCATGGTGTCATCAGTGACTGGAGACATCATCCCTATAAGCGAGCTGGTGAAAAGTGAGTACTGGGTCAGGAATTTGGTATCCCCTGTGCAGTTCTCTGCTGCTCTTGGACGAATCTTCCAAGACTCGGCCAAGAAAGTTCAGAAGAAGTTTGATCTAAGCCACCGCAGCGTTGCCTCGGTTTCTGACTTGATTGAGATTGGACCTCACTCCGCTATGGAAGGACCAATTCGTGAAATCAAAGAAGCCACCGCTTCTCCTGCGAAGGATGGAATTTCATACACGGCTACATTGGATCGTGGCAGAGCTGCAACTGAGACCATACTAGAAGCGGCTGGAAAGCTTCATTGTGTAGGGTTTGATGTCAACCTCGGAAATGTCAACGCTCCATTCTTGGAACGTGACCCCTTTGATCATGCCCATACATATTGGCACGAGTCACGTATTAGCAAGAACATTAGGCTGAATCCCCAGCCATATAACGCATTTTTGGGATTGCCGGTGCCTGATTGGAATCCTCTCGAACCGCGATGGCGTAATATCGTTAGGTTATCGTCAATGCCATGGTTGGAAGACCATAAGGTACTGCAATTCTTGTTCTAGAATTTAACCCACTTTCTAACAATTTCGACAGGTTAACGGCGAAATTCTATTCCCGGCTGCTGGCATGATGGTCATGGCAATGGAGGCTATAAAACAGATATCCACCGAACAAACTATCACCGGCTTCGAGTTCAGAGAGATAGGTATCCTGAACGCCCTCATGATCTCCCAAGACGACGAAGGAGTAGAGGTCTTATTCCATCTCAAACCTTCATTCGATTCAATAAGCAAAACAAACTCTTGGGCAACATTTTCTTTATATGCATACCGTGGCGAAAACTTCATAGAAGTGAGTCGAGGCTCTATTAAGGCTCTCTCAGCCTCTCAAATCCAATCCGACATGGAGCACGCGCAGAACTCTCACGTTCATGAATTGCTGTCCTCGGCAAAGAGTTCATGTCTCACGGAAACTAGTTCTGCCGACCTGTATGCGGATCTTGAGAAGAACGGATACCAATACGGACCGGCCTTTCAAGGAATCGAAAGTGCGCGACGAGACAATTGTGGCCAGGCGCTTGGGCGGGTCTCCACGAACAAGTTCCTCCACGCTGATACCTCTCTTGATGCAAACATCCCAGATATCCATCCTTGCACTTTGGACTCCATTCTCCAAGTCTGTATTCCAGCGGTAGCTTGGGGCAACAATAACAGAACGGCGACTTGGGTGCCCACTTTCATCAAAAAGGGATGGCTTGCCAGGTCTGGATTCAAGGCCTCCGAGCAAAATGACATGCTGTATGTCCAGTCGTCAACAACGAGCAGAGGTACTAGGTTGGCAGAAGCAGATCTAAATGTCGTGGACACAAGTGGAAGCAATCTGTTAGGGCAAGCCGAAGGCATTGAGATAACCTTAGTCGCTGATGAAGACCAAGTCCATGGGGGAAACTCTTCTTCAACTGTCAGGAGACTATGCTGGGATATGATTTACAAGCCAGACCCAACTCTACTTGGCACTGAACAGCTGTCGCAGTATGCTATCGAAAGTCTCAAGCCGGAGACTGGTCCGACCGAGCTGATTCAAGCTCTGAAATTGTACATTCTAGCATCGATTTCTAGAGCAATAAACGAAGTGGCTGGTTCGGACATCCCAACACACCACATGCATCTTCAAAAGCAGTACGCTTGGTCCCAAACAATGATTGATACAGCAAATCGACAGCCTCCCTCTGACATATCTTACACATGGCATGATTACATAGAGGATACTCAATACAACAACCTTTGTGATCACGTCAAAGAAATAGGAGGTCGACTCGGTGACATATATGTTCATTTTGGTTCTCATCTGACAGACATGCTCCGCGGACGGGTGGACGCCTTGCAAGTCCTGGTACCGGACAACAGACTCAAGGACTATTACGAGCTATCCAATAATTTGGGTCAGTTTTTCAACCCCATGCAGCGTTATGTGGATGCCATGGCACATAAAAATCCGGGTATGAAAATCCTAGAAGTTGGAGCAGGAACTGGAGCTACAACAAGATTTATGCTGGACACGTTGGCATCGCGAACCCCAAACGGTGTCTACAGTCGGTTCTCACGATATGATTTCACTGATGTCACTGGATCTTTCATTGAAAGCGCAGAGAATGAGTTTGGTAGCATACCAAAAATGAACTTCGGGTTATTCGATGTCGAAGAAGACCCGGTGGGGCAGGGGTATGAAGAGGGCAGTTATGATTTGATTGTGGCCGCTAATGTCAGTTCATTTGAAGCCATACTGAGTCTCCACCTTGAGAACTTCATTAATACTGACAGCTGGGGCTAAATAGGTTGTACATGCCACGAAGTGCTTGCGAAAAACACTATCAAACATCCGCAAGCTGCTACGAGAGTAAGTTGCAGAGATGTTTCCCACTCGCGATTCAAGAGACTCACTTTAAGGTCTAGTGACGGCAAGCTCATTCTTATTGAAATCACTGCAACCACTACCTATCCGCTAACACAATATCTCTTTGGCTTTCTACCTGGGTGGTGGCTTAGTACGTATATATATCGAAAGTTGTATCTGACAGGGCTATAAGCTGACGTTGTGTTCTTCCTTTCTTCTTGTTTTAGGCACAGAACCCTGGCGACAGGACGGGCCTTGCGTGACGCTGGAGAGATGGTCCGAGGAGTTGGAAGCGAGTGGATTCAATAAATATCATTTGGCTTTACATGATTTTGAAGTCGAGGATAATCAAGTCACCAGCTTACTGATCTCCTCGGTCAAACCACCAGTCAACAACTCCACGGGGAAATATGCGGCCGTTATTGACAAGACTGCGCTAGTCATCACAGGCTGGGAAGAGCCATCTCTTGAGTCTTTCCTGTCGGAGTTGGTAAAATCGAGAATGGAGGAGATGGGAATGCGTAGTGTACGGCCAAGCAGCTTCCGGGAAGTTGGAGGCCTAGTGGACCTTGAAGACAAGCTTGTTCTAATTGTTCAGGACCGAGCATGGTTGTCACTTGAACACCTTGATCCAAGAGAGTACTACCTATTCAATACGACTTTAGCCCGTGCAAGGAACATCCTGTGGGTTTCGGAAGCGTCTCCTCCCACAGCGGCGCACGTCTCACCAATTGGTCCCGTCACAGGCATCGCTAGAGCGTTAAGGTCTGAGAAGCAGAACATATTGTTCGGAACTGTTACTCTCTGCACCTCTTCTAGTCCAACCGTTCTGTCTCTTAATGTTGAGAGAGCGGTGCAGAATTTTTTGCAGGGTACCAGTTCACAGACCTACGAGCGGGAGCTGGTTCAAGTAGGCGACTATCTGTGCATACCTCGTATATACGAGAACGGTGAGCTCAACCAGAAAGTTCATGACTTTACATTCGCATCATTTAAACCGCAACAGCGCTTCGGGGAACAAAATCTGAAGCTTCGTGTACGACGGCCAGGTCTACTTGATAGTGTCTATTTTGAAGAGGTCCCCGAGGCTGGACCCCTTGGCTCCGATGAGATCGAAGTCGAGGTAAAGGCCATTGGCGTCAACTTTCGAGACTGCCTGATTGCTCTTGGGCGCATTGACCAAGACATTTTGGGCACTGAATGTGCTGGTTTAGTCCGTCGTGTCGGCTCTGCATGTCAGCTGAGGCCCGGAGACCGCGTGATGGTGGGAGATGTCGATACATACCACGGAGTGATCCGATGTAAAGAGATTCTAGCTGTGAAGATGCCGGAAGATATGAGCTTGGTCGATGCGGCTTCAGTGCCCACGAACTTTGTCACCGTCTACCATGCGTTTGTCCGAGTTTCCAACCTCCCTCCTGGTGAATCAGTCCTTATTCACTCTGGTGCGGGAGGAACAGGACAAGCTGCGATACAAGTGGCACAGTACTGCGGAGCTGAGATCTACACCACTGTTGGCTCATCAAGCAAGAAACGCCTGTTGATGGAAATGTATGGAATCCCGGAAGACCATATTTTCAACAGCAGGGATCTCTCTTTCGTAGCAGAAATCAAACGTTCAACACAGAATAGAGGTGTTGACGTTGTGCTAAACTCACTCGCTGGTGATGCTCTGGTCGCTTCCTGGGAGTGCATCGCCCCCTTCGGCCGGTTCATCGAAATTGGGAAAAAGGACATCTTCTCTCACAATAAGCTACCCATGTTTCAATTCGCGCGAAATGTGTCTTTCAGCGCTATCGATCTCGCTTCTATGGCGCAGGAGAGACCCGACCTCATACAGAGTGGACTTCTCGGCATCACTAATCTTTTTAGACGCAAAATCCTACGGATGCCGTCGCCCATGAAGTCGTTCCCTATTTCCGATGTGGAAGGGGCTTTCAGGTACTTACAGAGTGGCATGAACCCTGGAAAAGTAGTGCTCGAGATTGATCAGGAGGCTATTGTTCCGGTAAGTGTGTGCGTTAGAACAATCTTCACTATTTTGGCGTCTAACAAGTTTACCAAAGGCAATGGTCAAAACTCGATCAGATTGGAACTTTAGCCCCGAAGAAACCTTCATTCTCGGTGGTGGTCTTGGAGCCCAGGGCCAGATGATATCCGAGTGGATGGTTTCCAAGGGGGCTCGATACCTAGTTCTACTTTCTAGGCGCGGTATCAACAATAATGCCGTTTTAGAATCCTTTGTTAGCAAGCTACAAAGTACCGGCGCAGTCGTATACTGCCCGAAGTGCGACGTTTCGGACCCCGAATCTCTTGCTGCAGTGGTGAAATACTGTAGAACGAACATGCCTCCCATCAAAGGATGTATTCAAGCCGCAATGGAGCTCAGAGTACGTTTAATGGCCACAAGATCCGTTGGGCTTGATTGAAAATGAATGATGCTGATCATTGATGTGATTCCACAGGACTCCGTTTTCGAGAATATAGATCACGCTGCATGGTCCGCCTGTCTAAGGCCTAAAGTCGATGGTTCATGGAACCTACACGAGCAGCTACCACGTGATTTAGACTTTTTTATCCTATTCTCATCGATAGCCGGTGTAGTGGGCTCACAAGGTCAAGCCAACTATGCGGCCGGGAACACCTTTCAGGATGAGCTGGCCAAGTACCGACTCAGCCGTGGTGAAAAGGCGATATCTCTGAACCTTAGCATGATAGCAGATCATGGGTATGCTCTCGAGCACGAAGAAGCCGCTCGGCGATTCGCAAAGAGCCGTTTTGTCCTAGAAATGACACAGCCTGAGGTTTTAGCTATGCTAGAGCATTACTGCGATAAACGTCTACAGCTTGACCCGGCTCACTCACAAATTGCCAATGGTCTCGAACTCCCAGAAGATATCAGCAACCGAGGCATGGATATTATGGGTTGGATGCATGAACCCATTTTCACCATCCTTCACCAGATGGGTTCATCTGTAGGTATGGCTAACAATAGCATTGACTCAAAGGACAAAGGCCCTAGTCTGATAAAGCAGCTGGAAGAGGCTCCATCAATAGCGGAAGCTGCGGACGTTGTGGCAAATGGAATAGCGGCCAAGCTATGCAAAGCGCTTTCCATATCACCGGACTCTTTTGATATATCCCAGCCTTTACATATTTATGGAGTGGATTCTCTCATCGCCGTCGAGATGCGGAACTGGTTTATGCAGGTCCTAAGAGCCGATGTGGCTGTCTTTGAAATTTTAGGCGGTGCCACTGCTAGCACGCTGGGACGCGCAGTGGCGGAAAAGGTGCGAGCCGTCGTATAAATGTTTGAGGACATTTCCTACTGGGGCCTGTATTTAGATCAGTGCTGTATCAAAGTGTTATGAAATGTGAAAATATCACATCAACTCCATTCTCGAGTAGTGGTTTGACGTTCTCGAAATGTCATTGAGCAGCAGCAGCCCGAAGAGCACGTTCACCTTTCGCTTTTGGCTGCGCGTAATTCCAGCCAACCGTGTAGCTGTTGGGAAGCATCGTAAAGTGACTATAAATCATCACAAGATATAAACTCGAACTTTGTAGGTATGTAGTCGTATTTACAATTTTCAATAACTCGGTGGGAGGTTTATTATCTATTGATGTTCTCATTTGATCTTGGTAATGGTCTGTTTGGTGCGTCTTGTAAGAAGTCCTATGTATATAGTAACCCTAACCCTTAGTACTATGTCCTAGACTGGTCAACGTGATTCCTTGATGTAATTTGCCCACTAGATGACGCATGGACTACAGTATATGAGATCACTATTAAAGAGAAAATTAAGGACGGCACTCTCACTAGAAGGAAGCTGGCAAATGCTTTCCGACGTAACTTTTATAAAATCTAGGATTGACGACCATCTTGTGTATATAGAGGATTATTTGCGGTTCAAGGAGAAAGGATCAACAACAAGTCTGACAAGGAAAGATACCATTATAGTTGACAACTAAGCCATTCTCTAGAACATAAGCGTGGACGTACTTACTCACGATCTTGCTCTATTGGACCTTCTTGCAAGAAGAACCAAGATCCGGAGCAGTATCAGACAACCAGACCAGTTTGTGAAGCATGTGAAGGGTGGCATCTTCTTCGATTCTGCTATTATCTATTTAAAAATCTAGCTCCTGAAGAGTTTATCCCAAGATGGGGTCCCCAGATGAGAGCAAAGAAATTCGCAGAGGATCACCCTAACCTAGTTAATAAGATAAAGAAGATGCACCTTGAAGAAGGTGCTCTAAACACACAAGTACAAGGTCGATCTCGCCCTCAAAGCAAGTCTCAGGAACGACAAGAGTCAGCTTTGCAAAAGACTCAAGATAATACAACTATTGAAGGAAGTCTAGAATGACTCCCTAGATCGGCAGTTGGCAGGTGTAGAGCAGCATACTTTGTTCATATGGAAAAGGACCTCGCTGCATTGTTAATTAATAATTATGTTGGTTGCTTCATGCAATCGAGATGTGTCAGATAAGCTGGCTTTCCAATGAAGCGATCAATCCGAAACTGTCATGTGTAAGAGAATGGTCTCAAGTTTACCCCATGGGATAGCTTACAAATCAGCTCAGGAGAAGGTCTATATAGACGCGGCTTTGGAACATGATGTACTTAGAAAGATAGACACAGAACTGAATGAATACCCATTGAAATTGACTCCATTGCTTCGTACGTACGTACATGCACCTTAGTGCACCCACAAATTATCTATTAAAGCACTTAGCTTTACTAGACTCTGGCTCTTCAATTCATGTTTTTAACGAGTTTGAGAGATTCATCAACTTTAGGAAAGCACGATATGGAGACTTCCTATGAGCAGGCAGTCACCAAGTTCCAGTCCTTGGATATGGAGAAGTTAATATTAAAGTACATAGCCTAGATGGAAAACTTCAAATCTTAAGGCTTTATAATGTTACTTATTGTAAAGACTTTGTGGCAAATCTAGTTTCCTTTTATTAGCTCAGAAAGCAAGAAATCTGGTGGGATACTCAGAAGGGATATAACTGTCTCTAGAATGACTCTAACCAAGTTCTTGCTTACCTAAGGGAAAAGGAAGGTTAACGTAATCGGTAAGCCACCCGCCCATGTAAGCAACCCGCCCACCTCCCCGAAAAATAACTCTCTATATTGATTTCAAATCCCATTTTTCGAATCCGCATATATTTCTCATACAAAAAATTAACTAGCAGTACGACTAGGACATCGGTTTATTTTATGCCCTTCAGCACCACAACCACTGCAGCGGAATTGACGGCGTACGATTGGTTGAGAAGCTGGGAGCTCCGGCTCAGCCGGAGCAGTAACAACAGCTTGAGATGCCTTAACCTGACCTTGTACGAGCGCTTGAGCTTCTTCTCTAGTAATCCCTTGCTCAATAGAATATCTGTTTATTAGATCTTTTGCGCTTTTGCTTCTCTTTTTCATGCGCAGCTCGTAAATCACGGTTTTCTTTCCGTACGAGTAAAGCATCATTCGCTAGTATTTCGTAGGCTTTTGATAACCGTATAACTGCCTGATTGATTTCTTCATTCTGATTCAGGCTTCCTGTACGCTTATTTATACGCTTATTGATTGTAGTTGACTGGCGTACAAATTGGCGTATATTTTGAGGTGTTTGTAAGCAGGATGATGCTGTATTGCTTGATCGACTTGGAGGAGGGGTTGGAGTCTTCAATTGAATATTGAGATGTTGAAGAACTCGATCTGGATTGAAAGGCACTAATCCGGTGGCTGCGAAGCTATTCCGAATAGTTTGAGCTTTATATGCCACTGTACGAGCCTGTGGAAATGCTGTTAAGAAGTCGATTTTGTCAATATGATTAAAACCAAGCCTCATTCGTTGTTCAACAAGCTGCCCATAATATCGCTTTAGAACCGCAAAACAGCCAACATCAAGAGGCTGTAAGAGATGTGAAGAATGAGGAGGCATACAGACTGGAATAATCTTATGATCCGTACATGTACGGTCAAATTCTGCAGTCAAATGGCTTCCATGGCCATCAAGAATCAACATACTATATGTTCCCAATGTACGACCACTAGTAAGAGGAATAAAATGGGTTTTAAGCCATTCTAATCCTATCTGATCTGTAGTCCAGCCATTATCGCTAATATTGATTCTCCAATCATCCGGAAGCTCATCAAACCAGCCTAATCGTACGTTTTTCTTTGCTTTGAAAATCACGTACGAAGGCAGAGCCCATCCGGTTGAATTTGTTGCTTCAATTGCAGTCACCCATTCTCGATTTCCAGGCTGTAGAAGCTTTGGCTGAGCATATCGATCGCTTCCAGTAATAACCTTTGCAGTTGCGCAGAGTCCCATAGCAAAGCCCGTCTCATCAAAATTATAGATATCTTCTGGTAAGATGCCGTACTCAGATATTATATCTCGTACGCGGTCAAAATGGCCTTGTATAATCTTTGGATCTTCACATTTGGCACGTTCGTAGTTGTATTTTCGTGAGAATTTGGATTCAATCTCTGGGCGACGTTGAACAAGATTATATACCCATTTATCTCCAACCCGTTGATCTCCATGTTGTGAGAGAAGATAATTAGCCATATCTCGTACGAGAAAGTGCCGGGGCGGTAATCCACGTTTAGTTAAATCAAGCACCCATTTGACAAGCGAATCCTCCTCAGATTGACTCAATTTATGGTTGTTGGCGCGTGTTATTTGTCGATACGGCACTCCTTTCATTCGATCTTGAAGAGTTGTACGAGCAACCATATAGATTCTTGCAGCTTCACGAATACTGCGAATTCTTCCATTTTTTAAATCGGAAATAGCTAATTCGATCTTTCCCTCATCCTGAGTGGATTTTAGGGGGTCTTTTTTGCGAATTGGTGGCATTTTTACGCGTTGTAATATGGTAAATTGTGGGTGCATAAAGCACGTGTACACGTTAATGTACGTACGTACATGAATGGTTATCAGGTACTGCAATTCTGTATGGGTTCAAAATGTGTGTGATTGTAGCTATCTAACTCACGCCCCGACGCGGTCTTACATCCCTCTATCCTAGACGAGGTCACGTGACGCCCTGCGGCTCAGTGCGTCGGAGTGAGGCATCTCGATTGCTCCCACAAACCAACATAAATCAATATAGAGAGTTATTTTCTGGAGAGGTGGCCGGTTCGCTTACATGGCCGGTTCGCTTACCGATTACGTTACGTTACGTTAGTTCGTACTTGAATAACGTAAATCCCAAGCGACCCGCCCACCCTCTCCGAAAAATAACTCTCTATATTGATTTCAAATCCCAATTTCAAACCCACATACAAAAATATATACAAAACTCTAACTACTAGTTTGATTAGGACATCGATTAATTCTATGCCCTTCAACACCACAACCACTACAGCGAAATTGGCGGCGTACGACTTGCTGAGAAGCTGGGAGCTCCGGTTCAGCTGGAGCTATAGTAACAGCTTGAGATGCCTTAACCTGACCTTGTACGAGCGCTTGAGCTTCTTCGCTAGTAATCCCATGCTCAATAGATATCTGTTTCTTAGATTTTTGGTGTTTTTGCTTCTCTTTTTCATGCGCAGCTCGTAAATCATGGTTTTCTTTCCGTACGAGTAGAAGATCATTCATTGTCGTTTCATAGGCTTTTGACATTCGCATAACTGCTTGATCAATCACTTGATTTGGGCTTCCTGTACGCTCACTTATACGTTTCGTAATTGTAGTTGACTGGCGTACAAATTGGCGTATATTTTGAGGGGTTTGTAAGCAAGATGATTGTGTATTGCTTGATCGACTCGGAGTGGGTGTTGGTGTCTTTAATTGGATATTAAGTTGCTGAATCACTCGATCTGGATTGAATGGCACTAATCCAGTGGCTGCGAAGCTATTCTGAATAGTTCGAGCTTTATATGCCACCGTACGAGCCTCTGGGAATGCCATTAAAAAGTCCAATTTATCGATATGATTGAATCCATCTCTCATTCGTTGCTCAACAACCTGCCCATAATGTCGTTTTAAAACCGCAAAACAGCCAACATCAAGACGCTGTAATAGATGTGAAGAATGAGGTGGCATGCAGATTGGAATAATATTATTCTCAGTGCATGTACGATCAAATTCTGCAGTCAAATGGCTTCCATGGCCATCAAGGATCAACATTCTATATGATCCCATTGACCGGCTATTAATATAAGGAATAAAATGGGTTTTAAGCCATTCTAATCCTATTTGATCTGTAGTCCAGCCATTTTCACTAATATTAATCATCCAATCACTTGGTAGATCATCAAACCAGCCCAATCGTACATTTTTCTTTGCCTTGAAAATAATGTACGAAGGAATAGCCCAACCAGTTGAATTTGTTGCTTCAATTGCAGTCACCCATTCTCGATTCCCAGGTTGTAAAAGCTTTGGCCGAGCATATCGATCACTTCCGGTAATAACCTTTGCAGTTGCGCAGAGTCCCATAGCAAAACCAGTCTCATCAAAATTGTAGATATCTTCTGGTAGGATCCCATACTTAGATATAGCATCTCGTACGCGATCAAAATGTTCTTGGATGATCTTTGGATCTTCGCATTTGGCACGTTCATAATTATATTTCCTTGCGAATTTGGAATCAATCTCTGGGCGGCGTTTAATCAGATTGGTTACCCAATTTTTTCCAACTTGTGGTTTGCCATGTTGTAAAAGAAGATAATTGACCATTTCTCGTACGAGAGAATGCCGGGGAGGTAATCCACGTCGATCTAAATCAAGAACCCATTTGACAAGTGAATCCTCCTCAGATTGAGTCAATTTATGGTGGTTGGCGCGCTTTTCACCCTATTCGATGCCTTGGAGTCGATCTCGGAGAGTTGTACGAGGAATATCATAAATCCTTGTAGCTTCACGAATATTGGAAATTCTTCCATTTTTCAAATCAGAAATAGCTAACTGGATCTTTCCCTCTGTCTGAGCTGATTTTAAGGGATCTTTCTTGCGAATTGGTGGCATTTTTACGCGTTGAAATATGAGAAATCAATATAGAGAGTTATTTTTCGGAGAGGTGGGCGGGTCGCTTGGGTGGGCGGGTCGCTTGGGATTTACGTTATATCGAACATGACCATCCTCTTATAAAAACTGGTTTTGCAATACAACGTCATAAATTTAATTCCTGAACATCTAGAAAGGAAAGAAAAGTAGATGCTAATCGCTGGTATGCTTGTCTTGGCCATCCAGGACCTGAAGTCTTGAAGTATCTCCCTGGAGCTGCTAAAAGTATCAGATTGTTATGAGCTGACCTCATGACCATGTTCGGGCGAAGCCCTCACGGATATTGACATATAGAGTTTCGCTAGATTATTGTTCGGCAACCCCGAACATGAAGCTATTCCCAGATTGCGAACGGACACCCAATATCCGGCCGGATATTGACAATAGCGCTCTCTGCCGATCCCCGGCAGCCCCGACAATCTCAGCAACCCCGGACATGAGGCTATTCCTAGAGAGAAGCCCGTCGGAAGCTCCCAATTCCCCTTGCCTATATAAGATTGTATACGCGTGAAAAACTTGTTGTTTTCTTTCTCTTTCCTTTCCTCATGTTATGTTTTCTACTCGAATATGCCCTTATAGTGAGCATTAGATGGGACTAGCCCGTAACACAGATTAACTATAATATCTAAAGGACCAACTACTATTGAATATAAATCATATAGAATATTAAAAGCATAGAGAATAATTAGACAAGAAGAACAAACCCTATGTTATTAGCTCAGTTAAGATTGAGATGGACAATGAGATTGCATAGAGACCTGAGGTAAAGCATTACCTTGAATATATAAAGCATATTATCCTCTAACCTTCACCTGCTCATACCCAAGCGTTAAATGGAGATGCTGAGTGCTCTGGAGCCATTATCAAGATAAAAGGAAGAAATATAAGAAAAGATGCAAAGTTACCCTTTGATCTGTGGCCAGAAATTGTGCGCGCTGCAGTCTACCTTTATAATCGTACTCCTCAGTATACTTTAAACTGGAAGACGCCGTACAATTGATTTACCACTCATGCTACTTAGAAAAATGGAATTATCATTGAGAACTAGAAATCTCAACTTGCATACCTTAAGGTTTATAGTTGCAAGGCGTACACACTTACAACAGAATATATGAAAAAGGAGAATTATCTTCAACATTTTAATCCAAGAGCCTGGAGAGGATATCTCGTTGGATATAATTCAACAAACATATATAGGATTTGGAGCCCAACAACTGGAAGGATTATAAAAACACGAGATGTATAAGGTTTTTAGCAGAAATATTAAACATCTCAGAGACAATCTCCTATATATGTCAACCCAGGAACTAATGCAGTTACTAACCAAACTAAATCTTAGAACAGATGCAGATTTTGACAACGAATATGCAGATTTAATGGACCACATAATGAATGTGGTATTTGATGGAGACACAGTGAATATTGAATCTGATAGATTAGTAAGGTTAGCAACTAGTTCAGGATCTCAGGAATCAAGTCAGCTTGATTTCTGTGATCTGAGCGGCCCAACTTTGACGGCAGGAGAAGGATTGTTAGATAGGATAGACAAATATACTTATCCTATACCTCTGGAGACGCCTCCAAGCGCTCTGTTGGTGGCTAGTATAACTGTTATCTCAGATAATGACCTCGACCTTTGTTAGAGCCCTGCGCTCGTAGCTGGAACATTAACTGATAGGGAATATACTAGTGGTACTCTCATTCAGGAAGCAGCCACTAGAGAACGCATTGATGGTGCTTCTAGTAATGTAGGCATGGACAGGACCAGTGGTTCACGTGCTGATTTTGAGGAATGTACCGGTGGTGCTCTTAATCTGTATAACTCTATGGATTATCTTGATAAGACACATGGCAGGCAATTCCCTAGGGATAGGTTTGGTGAATCACTCAGGAAAAATAGGAAATGTTTTGGTGAGACTCCTATTAGAACTAATGCCACTTCCTTGACTACGCAATGAGGAGAGCTCAATCCTTGGAGGTTTATATTCTTAGCAGGCACATGACATCATCAGTACAAGGTGAACACAGTTAAATTTGACCATGCAAGTCTCCGACGACGTCTGGGGTCAGGACGTCAACTTCAGTCAGTCCTAGTCCGCGACCTGCCGCCTGCTCCCAAGAGTCATCATGAAGTGGGAAATCACCCTCTAGGTTGGCTATTTGAAGAGGCTGAGAAAGCTCACCTTAAAAGCTATAATCCATCTGGCTCTTGGACAACAGTGCCTATCGGTAAGGCAAGAGGAAAGCAGATTCTTGATTATATGTGGGTATATGTCTATAAGTAGGATAAGAAAGGTCGTCTGGTCAAGTGCAAGGCACAACTCGTGGTAAGAGGCGATCAAGAAAAAAGGGATGATTCAAGAGACATGTACGCTGCTACTCTTGCTGCGAGATCCTTTAGGACATTTATAGCTATTACTGTGCGCTTCGATTTAGAACTTAAGTAATATGATGCTGTCAATGCCTTCATTAACGCTATACTAGATGAGGAGATATTTATGAGAATGGCTTCCGGATATCGCGAACCTAGAAAGATATGACTGAACAAGGCTCTTTATGGACTGCGCTGATCACCTCTTTTATAGTAAAAAGAGCTGACAAGCACACTTATCAAACTTAGATTTAAAACTATGCCTCACGAACCCTATTGCATGTTAAAATCTAGAATCATGCTATTCTTTTATATGGATAATATTGTTGTTGTATACAAGAAAAGCTGTTAACTAGGAGTTGACTCAATCTTAAAATAACTTTACGCTAAATACAATATATCTAGAGGAGAAGATTTGGAGTGGTTTCTAGGTATGAGAATCATATGGGATCGAAGCAATAAAGTGATCTGGCTTAGCCAAGCCACCTATATCGATAAAATCGCTAAGTTAGCTAACACTTAATAAACTGATGATACACCAATGTTCTAAGAGAAGTTACTTCTATACAAAAGAATAGCCACCTACAAGAGTCAACATCAATATTAGCACAAAGTTGGCTTGATTATGTATGTGGCTGTAAGCACTCGGCCTGACATCGCTTTTACCATCTCACAGCTTACGTGGTTCTTGTCAAATCCAGGTCCTAAACACCATAATGCTGCTGACAAAGTGTTATGCTATCTTGAATGCTATCATGCGTATGCTCTAAGGCTTGGAGGAGGCGGAGATTTCTTAGTATTAACAGATGCCTCCTTCGCAAATAATACACTTGACCACAAGCTTAAGCTCACCGATGAGAAAGCTGGCGCCCTCAAACTCAATCCATCTCTTACATTTTGAAGATTGTACAGCTTGAATCCGCTATCTGTGATATTGAGCACTGGTAGGCGCTTAAAACAAGCAGAGAAGGTTTTGTTGCGCAAATCCCACATCCTTTATCAAATGCAAAAGTTTAGACCCTGTATTGATGTTTTGAAACTGCTCCTCTTGAAGCATCCTGACAACAAAATGGCAAGGGAAGAATTAAATTGAGCTATAGTTCGCATTGCAGAGCAAGAAAATGGCAATTATCAGTTTGACAAGATGCTCATCCAAGCAACTGAAACTTGCTCACCATATCTGGACCACGCTACCTATGTCAGCCCTGTTTGTATCAAAGCGACCAGGTCTCATGGACGTGACTTGTTCACAACAAAGGAAGCTAAAGCTGGAGATTTTCTTTTACGCAAGAAAGCATTTGCATTCTCTTTCGTCACGCAAGAAGAATCTGTTGGCGACCTGGTGCTGATGATCAATTCTGAAACCAACGAGCAGACAATGCCCGGCCAGGCAGCGCTTCTGGAGACGTTGGTTCAAATGCTTCGACAAAGTTTTTCATTGGTTTTCTAAATGGCGGAGCTATATCATGGATCTTATCAACTAGTCGAGGCTTCCGAAGTCGACGGTTCTCCGGTGATTGATACGCAAGTACGCCCCGTATTATCATGATGATTGATATTAAAAAAGCCTTAAGATTTTCTCCTAGCTTGTATCATGGAACTCAAATATCCATCTTCTCCACGAACAATCAGTCAAGGCAGCTGAATTTGCAGTTAAGACTTTGCATTCGCTTGGTTTCGAGGTAAAAGGAAGCGACATTCCCCATGTACCTGGCACTGCTTTGACTGTGGACAAACGGGGGCTTATGGTGGAAGATGTGATTAATTTTTTGATGACTCTTTCACATGCGTATCATTTAGTCGCACGAAATCTTGTGCCTCAGGCATTGGCATTTGCAAAGATCGCTTACAAGATTTGCATTGGTGAGGACGAGACCTTTGCGAAGACCTATGAAGAGAATTCGTCTTGAACCACCTCATCGGAATAGTTCCCATAAGTTTGTCCCATGTCGTTTGTGTATTTTTGGCGTCGTCTATGTTCTATGTTCCATCAATCACCCCAGCTCAATTACTCCTCAACAACAGTCATAACTGTCCTTTATTTCTCTTACATATGGCTCCCTTATGTGGCTAGACTTAAGAGATCATATTGATAGATAATTTATTGATACGTGGTTGTCAAAGTAAACATCTAAGTCTTCAATAGACCTGGCAATATCCTTATCACATCAAGCGGTGTTATCCACAAGCAGAGGAGTCATTACTGCTACATCGTCATGCTTTACGAGATGTGGCAATATTTTCCAGCAATTACCTTTGAAAGAACAGAAGTGAACTTGGAAGTACTCAGATCCTTGCTGGACATACCATGCATTGGGGTAATTCAGAAAGATCGTGAGAGTAACTCAGTAATTTCCCCTGTCCATAAATCATTTAAAAGCTTTGATTAGGGTTGCAGCAGCCAACATCGAGAACCCACTGCATTCTTTATTGACACTACATGACGTTCTGGGATTCAATGTTTCGAAATAATTCAACTATATATCTTTAAGTTGCAAAGCTACCTCTTCTTACTCTTCACCGTGAGATAGCTTCTTTAAGGAATTGTCTGAGGAGTAACACCACTGAGCGAAAGAAATCTAAGCTTGTTTCTGTGACTCGTAGAAAAGCTGACGGAGTTTGCAGATGGAAACTTCATAGTCGTTCATCAAGTTACACACTTCGATGATGTACCTGATATGAAGTGTATATGCACATAGGTATGATGCTGACGTTTGAAAGAAGCCTCTCCCAATATATACGCACTAACCCCTACCTGGGCAGATCTTTACCAGCCTGCCTTAGCACTTTCATAAAGTTTGCATATACAGCATGCATTGGAGCACAGGAAGAGATACACTAGGCAATAGACACGTAACCGGAAAATTTCTCTACAGGGAATTGTCACATCTCAGTGTAAGACGGCAACCCTTCCATCCGTCTAAAGTCATCAATCAAGATATCGCGTCCTAGATGCCGCTTGAGCAATTCGTGTGTCGCATATCTCTCCGGAACGTTGCCCTGCGCATCGACAAATGATACATGCCGGTTGAAATCACTAATCCGTTGAAGTTCATTGGCATGTCGATGGTGATGAGGGCACCCGTCTACTCCAATCAAGAAGATGGTTACATGCGCCCAATCGAGACTAAGTAGATCCAACTCAAATTCATCCATGTCTATGGCTTCACCATCCAGGAGCAAAAGTAGTCTTAGCATGGGTGTTTCGGGACCCGCTTGCCATCCGTAGACAGGGTGGTAGGAGGCTGATTGAGAATGTTTCTGAAAGTGCAACTCTTTAACTTGTTGCCATCCAGCCATGACACGCGTTCCTCCGCCAAAAGTTATGCCGCGCCATACCTCATCATAGTTGCGCTGATTGATGGTCCCCAAGTAATTAGCTTCGTTAGCGAATGTGACGAGATCGTACCCATCCATATGATGTTGATCGCCGTGCGATAATGCCTCTGTGAAGCGGCGCATTACTGATCTGGCTACAACTACAAAGTCATTTAGTCACGGCTGATGTCTTCATATTAGTGAATGCTGCTCTTACCCTTGTTTTTCGGTTGACAGGATCTGACGTATTTAGTAATGAGATATTGATCATAAATCGGACGAACTGGGTCGAAATCCATGGACCCAGAGATATCCAAAAGAATCATGGTGTCATCTGTAGGTAGCTCGGGGCGATCAAATGGTTCAAAAGGGCCTGGCAAAACTTGATTGGAGTACTCTGTCGACGTATGCTGAAGGTTGCAAGTATCATCGGCAGAGGAATATACTGGTGGCGGTTCTACTGCTCGCGCCATCCTCTCTCTTGCCATTGTCATAACAGAGATGAGGTCCGGTTTCATCACATTTCCTGCATGGCCCTCGCGATGATTCAGCACCCAATATAATCGTTCTTCTGCCAAGTCCTCGAACCCCCTCCACCCCGGAGTAATGCCTCTCCATCCCGACGCCGCTTCTATCCTGAACTTAAGAGGATTTGATGATTGGATTGCCCAGTTCACAGGGATTGGCTCAAAGTACCCAGCTCTGAGTAGGTGCAGGTATTGAAGTGGAAACCTCGCTCGGAGATCAGCCACCTTCCTCAAAATACCTATTCTCTCCTGATATTCAATCACTATTTGTTTGCATTGATTATTTCCCCATCGTCTGAGTTCTTCTTTCAGGATCTCGTTTCTCAGGGTGTTCGACCTTTCATGCTCTTTTTCTTCTCTAGACCTGATACCAACTGCATTCCTGAAACTTGTGAGCTTAGACGTGGATCTCGGTCTTTTTCTAGCGCGTAACTCATGTCTTATTGATTTTGGGCTTTCAGAACCTTGCTTTCGTATTGATTCGCAGTCACTTTTTGATAGATCATGGTCATCAAGGGAGGTCTTTCTCGTGGCGGACAACAGTTCCCGTTGGTCCCATAAGCAGTGTTTAGGCTCGAGAGCATCGACATTTGCTTGCGCTGCTTCATTCAGCCTGCGGTTTAGCCGGTTTGTTTTACTAATGTACTGAGAATGATAGCTTGCTATAGGCATTCCTCGCGTAGTAAAAATTTGCTGTCGATTACCATACGGAGACCCGACTCCAAACTGGTATTCATTTGTACTGAAAAACATACCAGGAATACAATCGCTATAGAACTTTTCACCTGAAGAAGATTGACTGTTAGTATCATTTGCAAGCCTGTGTGGCAGGGTTATTAAGGTCATGATAATGTAATTTTAGAAGAACTTAACGTTTACCTGGATACATAACTGCCTTTGACCACCTCTCCTGCAGGGCCAATCGGCCCAATTTTCTTAATTTATACTGATGAATGGAACAGGCACACGGGTAATCCACTTCGTGTTCGGGCTCTATTTCACTGTTGTATATGCCATTCTCCAGCTGAACTTGCTGTAACAACTGAATCATATTTTGCTTCAAAGATATCTGTTAGCACGAATACCCTTAATTCATCAATTATTATGACACTGCGGACATATCTAACCTCATCTCTGGCCCTTAATCTGCTAGCTTCAATGAAAGCATTGGTGTGACGACCAGTAGTCAATCTACTCACATTCCGAGAGTCCAAAATCATTGCATAAGGTGGTGGATGACTCTCGGTATCATGGACAATTTCTTTGAAATTCATACCACTGCTCGCTCCGTGAGAGGTGTCAATACTATTGACAGTTGATTCTGCTACTTCTGTGGATAAGATTGATCGGCCACCAAGGAAGGATGAGATAAGGTCAAGAGATCTTGGAGAATCTCCGAGCAGGTTCTCTAGATGCCGAGCTGCTTCTGTATCGTCGAGGCTGTTTGTATATGTTATGATCTGTTCCAGCTCATCGTCACCCAATGGACGGAGATCACGTAGGGCCGATAAAACATGTTGATAGTTCATGTTATTGGATCTGGTGGTATGTATTGATATTTTTTGTGTTTGTCATCTAGATGTTGCCACGGATTTAAGAACTCCGTGCGAGAGGGGTAAGTTGATTAAGTATTGATGGGTACTCTACTAGGTGATCCTAAAGATGGGCATGTAATCCGCACGAAATGGTCACAACATCCATGCGACATACAAGAATGTAGTGAAGACTGTGAACCAAATACGTGGCCTCGAATTATCTTATAGGCGGGGCTGAGGCTATAATGCTAACAAAGAACTAAGAGGCTTAGCATATGATGCCCGCCAGGTATGTGGTATTTCTGTTTCCTTATCGCAAAAATAATAGGAGCCCCGTGATGTCTATTGGTGGGTTGAGAGCAATCAATCTATTTAGTCACTTGTGGCTGACACACTGACCCCAGTGGTGCATGGTATGATAGAGTCATAGGAGTACGTATACGCATTAATACCTTGAGTGTAGATACAAACGACCTCCCATCACTAGGTCTGCCAAGTAGTGGAACACCCAATGTGAATTCTTGATGATTCCCGCTAAACAGTAAGGACGAGCATTATGATGAAGTCGATGCACCCAGTGATCTTGGGTGGGATGGATGCACATACCCGGATGATGCTATCAAATTTACAGTATACCAGACAGAGCGTACGACTGCATATGTTTTCGAATTTGCCATCTAGTTGGAATCCGGGTCGGGAAAGAGTGGCCGTACGCTTGTGCACAGGTTCGGAGTTGACCGGAGTCGTGTAGGTTTCTTCATTAACATGCCCGACAACTGAACCATATAGACTGCTAGACCTTATAGTTGATGAGACTGCAATAATGCGATTTCGTGGTGGGCTACATCGGCAATGGAGATGTTGCTGGAAGGGAAAGGAGCAAACCAGAAACAAACAGTGCAAACATCTTATAACATTCAAGCCATGCGATTGGATGCATTCTTTTAGCCAATTAGCAGCCGATGCTTCCCGGCATGCAACGACAACGGCCGCATCGGGCCTAGCTAGCTCTGTTCGCTATCCATCCCCCCTCATCTACTCCTATTCTTTCCCTCTTCTTTGCTTCATCTTGAGCGAAAGCACCGTGTATCCATGGAGATACTGGAGACCCATCCTGGTAAAGAAGTTCGATATGGCGGAGCACAAACGACACTTCTGACGGAGGACTGGTCCTAATAGTCCAAGAGTAAATAGAAAAGAGCCAATTACATATCGAATGATGACTGTACTGAAACCACGAGGGCCTTGGCGTTTAATTGCAATTAGGAGTTTATTGAACCAAGTATTATCCCTAGCGGAGGACAAAGTGCGGACATCGCCATGACTGGACAAGGTAGTCAGATGTGCAAGGCAACTGCTACTGACCAGCGGTCAGAAACTGAGGAGCAACGCCAGTACGAAGAAGAGATCTTGGCTCACCAGCATTACGTACGACAGTCCGATGATTCGGAAGCAGAAGATGAAAAGCAATCACGGAAACATGGCTTTAGCGCCAAAATCCGCACCTTTTGGGATAAAAAGGTCAAGCCAGCGTTTCCTGAAGCGATCGCTGATATCAGTCTAGTCAAAGATGTGTTTACCACAGAATCACTGATTCATAAAGATATTCAGGACGCCACTCGCTACCCAGAAATCAACAAAGTAGCACATGTCAGGCAAGGGTTAGAGTTGGGACTTGAGGAAAAAGCATTCCTCGCGAAGAGGAAAATGCATGTCCGTGACCATTTTGCGAAATACATGGGTCTAGATCCGGAGCAAGTTCATCCAGATGACATTCCTGTCATTGGCTTTGGGGGCAGTGGCGGGGGCTATCGTGCCATGATCGGGTATATCGGCTATATGACGGAAATGAAAATGGCCGGACTCTGGGACTTGATAACATACGTGGCTGGAGTCAGCGGCACATGCTGGTCCATTGCTGCTTACTACACCTTTTCTGATGCTACTACCGAGCACATTATCGATCACTTCAAGAGCCGTCTTTCACCATATCATCCACTGTCCGATCCGGCTATACGCACTACCCTCACTGCTATCAACGGCCCTTATAACACATTAGGGCCCTTAATACTCAAGCAAATTAGTGGTCTGCATGTTGTTTTAATGGACTTGTATTCCGTATTCACCACGGGTTATTTATTTCTTCACCATAGTCAGGAATCGGAGGGCATCCGTTACAAGCCCAACGGCGATCGAGGCTGGTGGAAGTGGTCGGATGCTCACAAATGGCTGAATGATGGCCAGGAGCCATTGCCAATTATGACCGCTATCCGCCATGAAAGACCCTGGAAAGATTGGGTAGACAAGGAACATCCTTTCAAGGACGATAGTCCGTTATCACAAGAGCACGCAGAGACCGTGGATGCTTGGTATCAATGGTTCGAGATGACTCCCTACGAAATAGGCTGTGACGAACTCGAGTCCTGGGTGCCGACCTGGGGTTTTGGCCGGCCCTTTGACGAAGGCAAGTCTACCATGCAGCTACCTGAGCAGTCGTTAGCATTGTTACTGGGTCTTTGCACGAGCGCACCGGCGGGTCCGCTAGATGCATACCTTGCTACCATCAAGCGAAATCTCCCTTCAGGCTCACTAGGCAATGCTGTCCACGAGCTCGCTCTGAAGATTACACATATGTGGGGCAAACAGAGAACTAAGGTCTTTCAACAACACCATCCCTTACATGCCTGTAATGAACATAACTTCATGTTCCATATGACTCCGGTACCCAAAGGACAAGCTCGCCCACCTGGCATCGAAAACTCTCCTAGAGTACACCTTCTTGATTCTGGATTGGATAATAACTGTCCCACCTACGTATTACTTCGTCCAGAACGCGAGGTAGATATAATTATTCATATGGACGCATCTAGTGACGTTCATAAAGACGTGTTCCAGGAGCGAGTTGACCAGATCGGCAGTCGACGTGGTATACGATACACGAAGCGCACTTCAAATGTCGCGTCAGAAACATCATCAACACCAGTTCACTCCCGGGAGCACAAGGAGAAACGTTCGGATGATGCGTACGGGCAAATATACGATGGGAATCTCTTCTCACGCCCCGCTCACGTAATAGATTCGTACGGACATACTGTCACAAACCCGCCCGCTCCGATTTGCTACAAGGATAACACTATTATCTACATGCCTCTACTTGAAAACGAGGATGCAGCTCCTGGCTTTGATCCGTCGACAGCAAAATGGTCTGGCAGCTACAACCTTGTCTGGACCTGCGAGCAAGTGGAAACATTGATAAAGGTATCGGCAGCAAACTTCGTTAAGGCTCAGGCGAATATCAGGAAAGTCCTACTTGAGGTATATGAAAAGAAAAAGTCTACACGAGAAGCAACCCATCCATAGTTCTGCAGTGCGAAGATTTTCACCTGAGAAGATATGTCTTGACTAGGGTATTTCTTCATTTTCACTTAAAACACAGCTGTGGAAGCCTTCGCTGGAACATTAGTCCATAGATGCCCAAAAACTTGAACATAACAAGGACTTTTACGTACCTAGGTTGAATTTTCTAGGTATCCGAGGATGTATATATATATATTTGTATCTACCTATGTCCTATAGCGGCCAACCCGACAACCTTGGAATATTTATGTTAAGGGCTGACCCCAATATCGATAGTTAGGGCTACCCCCTCACAAATACTGCACCCGGACACGCTATTCTCTATTAGGAAACCACCTCTATCCGAACGTACCCTATCCGAACATGAAGCTATCCACAATTCCGTGCTTGAGCTAAGCGAGTTGGAACAGCCCCATTCACCCTTTGCATATAAGTTTGTATGTTGAGCGGAAGTTGTTTGTTCTCTTCCCTTCCTTCCTTTCCTCCTGTACGTACCTACTCGAGAATGAATCTATAGTAATTCATAAAGCGGGACTGGCCCGTAACAATTTATATCAGCCGCGGTCTCATGCCCACGCGGAAGCTTCCCTCTCCAAAAACCCAATCTACCGATTATGTAAAAAATAAAAAGACAAGCAAAGAGAGAAAAAAATAGCCTTTCCTCAAGATATAGATATGGCAAAAAGCTGGACGTTGCGCGAATCGAACACGCGATCTCCTCAATGCAAATGAGGCGCAATACCACTATGCCAAACGCCCGCCAAGAATGCCATCCTTTGATTGTCTCAGGAGACGGCAGACATTACTCATCATATGATTTTAACTATCAAGGGATTTATTATCGCCGCTCAACCTCGATGGTTGGTAAACGCTATCCATCCGAACCGTGGGCATTACCTTGGCTAGACAGGAAAATACCACACAGTGCGCACTACTATGAGCAGCTCATTACCCTCAGTCCGAAAACGTCGGCGTCCGGTGTTTTCTTGCACGGAATGCCGCCGAAGAAAAGTCCGATGTGATCGTGCTGTGCCATGTGGGCAGTGCACGGCGCAACAACAGGCCTCTCTCTGTGCGTACGAAGACAATAGCCGAGTCTCAGTATCAAATCGCGATTCTAGAAACATGTACATTGGTATGAAGCAAGATACGCGAGCTAAGGAGACGACCACGGAAGAAGCGCGCCATGTTAATAGTGTCTCGGAGATTGCGCAGTCAACTAACGGCACGAGGAGTTTCCAAGGCACTATATCGAAGACTAGGGTATACGGTAATGGACATTGGATGACTCTATTCGCAATGGTAAATGGGCACTATGTTGCATGCCAGCTCGACTGTGCTAACAAATATCACAAGGTAGAGGACCTTTCCATTCTGGAACCAGTCGGTGAGGTTTACGGCAAGGTGTTTCAACGCTCCAACTATGATCCCACAGACGACATTGCAAAAGCATTTAACAATTGTAAGCAGCTTGCTCGGGATCTCAAAAGACAACGTCCGAGCCGGAGACGTCTGCCTGCTGCTATTTATCTGTCCTTCCCCGACCCTCAAGTGATGGAAGAACTGATTCGACTGTATTTCAATATGTTTGAGTCCTGTTATCGTATAATCTATCAACCCTCTTTCATAATGGAATACAGGCGTTGTGTGAATCAGCTGGAGATTGCAGATAGCTCCTTTCTGCTGCAACTCATTCTCGTTATGACTGCGGCAGGCCGATTGCATGGCGATATCACTATTCGCAACGACATCGCCGCGAAGGCCCAAACCTGGATCCATATTGCTCAAACATGGATTTCTGCACCCCTGGAAAAAGATCGTCTCACTCTGAAGAGTATTCAAGTGCAATGTCTGCTACTTCTTTGCCGTCAAATATACCAAGTAGGGGCGGATCTCGTATGGATCTCTGCAGGCTCCCTCATAAGGATGGCTATGCACATGGGACTGCATCAGGATCCCAATAACCTGGAAGATATGAATGAACTGCAGAAGCAGATTCGGAGACGGCTGTGGTATACAATTTTAGAGATGAATGTGCAAGCAGCGTTGGATTCCGGGATGTCACCAATGATCCGGGATGCAGACTACAATACCCAACCACCGTCCGATGCTAGTGATAGCCATCTACTGCAAGTGGCGAAACAGCAGCAGCGGCCGCATCAAGAGGAAGGAGGAGAAGAAGAAACTGAAGCAGACGAACTTCACGAAGGTTCTACTCGGAGCTCCTTGCAGGCTATCCTAGTAAAATCCCTCCCCCTTAGGCTGGAAGTGACCAGGATCATAAACAGCTTACAGGAGGAACCTACATACGAGCATATCCTGACCATTGGAAATAAGTTAGCATTCGCCTGTGGCGAAGTCGTTGCTATGTTTGATCAAGCTGCCTCTACAATAGTTGACTTGCCTGCGAGGAGGTTTGCGCAGAGCTATTGTATCCATTTGATACGTCGTTTCCCTCTGTGTCTTCACTTTCGGTACGCCGTCAAATCTAGGAAGAACTTCCTTTATAGCCACTCGCAAAAGGTGTCTCTGGAAGCTGCACTCGACATAATTTCTCTCTTAGATGACCACGTTTATGGTCGTTTACTTCTTTCCGGTAGCGGCATGTTTCGCGACATCGTTACTCGAGTGGCAGTGCTTATTTTTCTAGAGCTGTGTCCAGACCCTGAAGCGGAAGTGTCCAATGCTGCCAAAAGAAGATACCGAGAACGACAGACTCTTCTTCTGCAAGATGCTCAACGCCTAGTACGATATGCTGAAGATAGAATTCGAGAGGGAGAAACTAGTGTGAAAACTTATGTGTTCCTTCGGCTAATGATGGCACAAGCTGAAGCACGTTTTAACGGCTCCTCCCTTACAGAATCCAATACAACAAAGGTGTTAAAACATGCGCTGGACAAATGTGAAAAGATGCTGAATGATCGATTGGCGGCAACGAAGATCAACGACCATGAGGCCGATTCCGGTCATTTTCTGGAAACGTGGACACTCAACGGAATGAGCGCTTCACATTCTGAATTTGAGATCGAAAATTTCAACGAAATTGACTTTGACTTTTTGAGTGAGCAGTTCCCTTCTCAATGGGTAGATCAGACATGGTTTTAGAGTCTACCGAGGTGAATAACTTATATATATCTTACAATTACTTGATAAGGCCTTCCACCTGGGCAATCGATAGACCTATATAGTGTAAAGAAAATGTTAAAAACCAGCAAGAAACGATATATTAAGTATATGGCTCATGCATTTCCGATTTTTTTTATAATTCTGTATTGATTTTTGAAATCTTTCCGAGATTTTGTTGAATTCCAATCATATATGATGTTCCAGAATCAAAGATCATGTAGTAGGAACTGCTTCATACAGGGTGGTATCCAATGTACTTGTGGAATAATTTAGGTGACTATTAGTGAATTATGGTAACAGCCGGAGGCACCGAGCATGAATTGCCATCATTCGAAATTAAATGCGACTTCAAATGCCAATCAGTAGTAGTACAAGGGGCAAACAAAACAGGAAACAGTGAGGAAAGGAGAAGAGTGGCGAGCATCGAACAGTCAACTGAGCAGTATCACATTCTCACTTTACTTTACTACTCCAGACGTTTCTCATCTACCATCTCCGGATACTCTGGAAGCTTCCATCCATTAGTATCTTCACGTAAGACCCAGCGAGCAAGAACGTCTAATCTCAACAACGAGGCAAACCAAAACAGTACATAGACCATGCCAACACCCCATTCAGACGAAGGAAGTGATTCCATGTACCGTGGATTATTTGTCAGACCCTTCTGGACTTGAGTCATCAAAGGTCTCAATTTGCGCTCGTAGCTGTTGAAAGCAGCGGTGATTGCATTGCTCTCGGTCCCTGCTTTTGACTGATTCCCATAGTGTCGCGCAATCTCACCAGCCAGAACATAAGCACCAGTCATGCCGCATGAGGTACCCATTCCAGTCATGACGGAAGGGCAATACGCTGCGTCTCCAACCAACGCAATACGGCCGGGTGACCAATGGTCAAGTACAATCACTCCAATTCGTTCACAATAAAAGTCGTCGGACGTTTCTAATGCCTTCAGGATCTCCTCTGACCGCCATCCAGTGCCATGGAACACTTCCTTGAATCCTTCTTTTTCTTTGATGATATCGCCTTTCTTGGAACTTTTGAGTCGCTCTGACGAGTCGGTGCTGCAGAATAGATATGCTTGGTATTTGTGGGGATCGTGTCGACGAGTCATAATGCCTCGGCTCTTTGTTGTCATGTACATAGTTGCATCGTAACCTTCATCTTTTCGAATATCTTCCTGGACGGTGAAATAACCCGCAAATGCTCCTAGTGTCTGGAATGGATCTGCTCTCAAGGTACCATCTGTAACTTCACTGTCGAGCATCATCTTCCGAGTGCGCGATCCTTGGCCATCTGCACCAATGACAATATCGAACCGTTCTTGGGCACCATTTGAGAATGTCACTTCGGCGAAATAGGTATTCTGTTCGATGGAGATTGCATGCATCCCAAATTTGTATGTGACATGGACCTTAGTGGCGTCGTAGAGCAGTCGGCATAAATCACCTCTCATAATCTCAAAATCGGTTGTCAAACTTTGCAATCCTTCACCAGATCTGTTTGCAGAGAAATAACCCCACGACCTGCCCTTCTTATCGACGAGCTTCATACCTTGCTCTTTGACAGTGGATCTTCGAAAAGTCTCCTCCAGCCCCATTTTTCTCAGGACCTGGATCCCGGGCCCACGAAGATCAAGTTGCAAGCCTGTGGCACGTAGGTCTGGAAAATGCTCAATCACTGTAATCTTGTGACCAATCTTCGAAAGCCAGAATGCGAGGGCATTTCCCGTGATGCCTGCACCACAAATCAAAATTTTTAGTGGCATCATTTGGTTTTTCAAATCTGATGTGGAGAGATACTTCGGACAAGTATAAGTGCATCAAGTTAAGAATCCGAATATCTCAGAATCCCGTATTTATGGCATTCTCGGTTTCATCACCGTATATGAAATGTACACTTCGGCCGAGTCCAAGACCATTTTTCGTTGATGAAGCTGGGTGGTTTCTACCGTCTGCTTTCTTTGAACCGATAGGGCCGACATGGCCGATATGCCCGTAGCAGACAAAGTACCTAGGGTTAGGGCTCGGAGCGCAGTTGACTTAGGACAAAAAGCTGTAACTCGTAGGTAATCGCATTGAAACTCATTGAATATGCCCGTTTAGATTATATCACGAGGTATATTTAATTTCGTGATGTAAGCAGCCCGTGAGAGTTTCCGATAATGGTACGGCAGCAATGTCAAAGGTGGTGAAACCGAATTGTAATCAACTGCCTGAGGCAACAATGAGCACAGCCCGGCTAAATCCTTGGATAATTGGCCACGAACGCTCACTCACTTTGACTCATCCTGACCCATGCATATGTTACCTTAGCTGTAGAGGATTGTGGCTTGGTAATGACTCTTCTAATAAATCTTGGCTTTGAAATTTGGAATAAATATCCTTGTACGGGACGAATATGTTTACTTTAACATTTTTCAGAAATCTGAATCCAACTACAGCAGTTATTTTCTGTGTTCTTCACTTTTTCTTCCTCTCCAACTTCCTTCTCTTGATATCCCAAGTGTTTTCATTGCGTTCTACTTGTCATGAAGCCGACTCTTGAAGCGTTGCGGGATTTGTACCTAAATTCCTTTGATACAGCACTGTGCATTATTCCTCCAACCCATCTTGCGCAAGATATAAATCGCTTGCGAGAATTATACGACAAAGCATATGAGAAATGGCCACCGCATGTTAATCTCATCTACCCTTTTGTGGACCCTGAATCTTTACCTCAGGCCGCGGAGTTCATACGTTCGACCTTAGCACAGAATTGTACCGAACCATTTCAATTCTCTCTGGATAAGGCGGGCTTCTTTACACACAAAAATTACCATACAGTTTATACAGCATGTAGCGGAAAGTGTCGTGAAGAAATCGAAGCCATTCGCCGGCATATTTTGTCTGCTCTTGGTCAACCGGATACTCATTTTGAGCCACATTTGACTATTGGCCAAAGCGAGGCAAATGATGGCTCTGGTACCGATTATCTTATCTCTAAGGTCAACTTACTTCCTCCGGTGGAATGGCAGGTATCCGAGATTTTTATTCTGAGACGCGAAAAGTCGACCACATTTAGCTCCACATTCAACCATATGAGGGTCTGGGGATCCCTCAGACTTAATGGCGGCTGTATACTGGCGGTTCCAAGCACAACACCTTTCATGAAAAACATTGATCATACGTCGAATTCGAGTCAACTCAAGGCTTCTTACCAATTTTTTCCCGGGAGCCCTGACTATTTAGAGCCACAATGGAGGCTTGCTCGGCAGACCACTTCCCCCGGTGAAGCGAGAGTGACTCGACTCTCATTTAAAGTATCTTCCTACAATGTACTGGTCGATTCGGCTCATCCATTATCAACTGAACGTCACCCTGTCCTCCTGGAGAACTTGCTGGAGAGTTCCAGTACAGCTGATATTCTGCTCCTACAAGAAGTCTCAGATAATATGCTCAGTTTCCTGTTGCAGGATGACAGTATACGATCTCAATACCCCTTTTGCAGTCATGGCCCACCTCGGCAACGTGATATCGCGCCTCTGCCAAGTTTTCGTAATATTGTCGTTCTGAGTCGCTGGAGATTTCAATGGGAGTGGCTCAAATTTGAGAAGCCACATAAAGGGAGCGTGGTGCTCCAAGTACAAGACATAGGGACATTTCAAGGCACCGAATTTCTGCCTCTAATAGTGGCCGGAGTTCATCTGACCTGTGGACTCACTGATGCGTCCATCTCTGCAAAGCAAGCTCAAGTCAGAACAGTCATCGGCCATTTACGGAGTTCCTACCCAGAAAATAACTGGATCATTGCAGGAGATTTCAACATACCTTCTTCGTCGTACACAATCGATGCTGCTCTGAAAAGGAAAGCAATAACAGCAAGAGGTGTTGCAATCCTATCATCTTTGGATACACTGTTTGCAGAGTCGAAACTTACAGATTGTTATTTCGGAAGTCGAGCTACTGGATCCTATCCAGTAGCAGGGCTCGTGCATTCCACCGATAAATTGCGCAGTGTATATGAGGGCGAAGAGGGTGCTACGTACGACCCGTTAGAAAACAGTCTTGCAGCAGAAAATTCCGAGAAAAGCTTTCACTGTCGCCCGCAAAGATATGATCGTATACTTATAAAAGGTGACGGATTTCAGGCAACGGGATTTAATCTGTTTGGGCTTCCGAATGAAGAGAGAGGGTATAGCCTAGGGAGCGATCACTGGGGGATTCGTGCAACGTTGAACCTGGATGATTCCTCTGTGAAGAACACGTCGAGCGAGAACAATGTAGCCATTAACGTCATAAAGGCTCCCACTTCCCTAACGATTGACGTACAGTTCAAGACTCTACTCTATGGTTTGAATATGATTCCTTCCGAAGAAGAGTTTGCTCATCGTCACCAGATGTTCAAGCTGATAGAGAGCGCAGTTCATCAACGAGTTTTCGACGCCACCGTTGAAACTAGACTGAATATCTCTTTTGTCGTGGTGCCCGTTGGCTCCTACGGATTGGGTGTATGGGATACCTCCTCCGACATAGATTGTCTTGTTATTGGGACGATAAGCCCTCGTACCTTCATGGCCCTGATGGTTCAGAAGCTACGACGACCAGAGTGGCAAGAGATTCATATTCTTAGGAAAATCAAAGCGGCTTCTGGCACAATGTTGGAACTACAAGCTGGGGGTGTTGGCTTCGATTTACAATACTGTGCCGCAACTAGTGTAGCAGAAAGGTTGGATTATCCACTTACTCATCACGGAAATATTGAACGCTGACCTCATTTTATAGTTGGCCGAAAGCATTGGAACTTCCTTCCTCTGATTCAACTTTTGACCTACCTATGCAGTCCTTGCTCAAGCTGAACGCCGTCCGAGATCTTGAGTATCTCCAACGTACCATTCCTGATCTTGCCACCTTCCGCAAAGCGTATCGATTTATCAAAGCATGGGCGAAATGCCGCGGTATCTATTCATCAAAACTCGGCTATTTGGGCGGTATTCATATTACCCTCCTTCTCGCTCTCGTTTGTAAGCTGTCTTTTCGAGAGTCTGGGGCGACTCACGAGTCAGATATCCTCTGCACCTTCTTCTCTTATTATGCACATTTCGATTGGAAGAATGATCTGGTATACGACACCACATACTACACAGTCGAACCAAAGTATCATCGATCATCTAGGGAGCCGTTGGTGATTTTGAGTATCCACCCCCCCAAAGTCAATGTTGCCCATGCCTCAACAGTGCCCTCGGTCAAGACACTCGAAGAAGAATTCGATCGTGCAAACCGATTGATTTCTAAGGCAGGTGTTAGTTGGGAGGATATTGCGGGACAAACAGGTATTTATCAATTCTTGAATGCCTATCCTAGCTATATCAAGGTAGATGTCCAATACTGGGCGAAAGCCGTAGCAAAAGGACGTGCGCTCTTTGGCTGGTTGGAATTCCGTTGTGTTTCCCTTCTTGTCGATATCAACCGGCGGTTTGCTAACGTTCATGCCCGCATTTGGCCTGCTCGATTCACCAACATGAAAGAAGAAGATACTGAAGACATGGAGGAATATCAGGGTTGTTTTCTGATCGGTCTGGCAAGGAACGAGCAACCGTCAACAGAATCTGCGACCGAGTCAGACCGGAAATCTGCACATGTTTCGCTTCTTTCTCTACTTAAAAAGTTTGCAGAACAGATTCGAGCTGATGAAACTTATTTTGATCAGTCTTGTTCTTGGGTTGATGTCTCACTTGCTAAAGCGAGTGATCTCCAAGCTCTTCGCGTTGACAAGTCACATTGGTCATATACAGATGCAACTCAAGCCGAAGATTTCGACTCGGATGATGACGTTGAAGAGTTTTATGATTCATTTTCTGTAAATCACACTGCAGAAAATACAGGATTAATAGAACAGACCAACCCACAAGTACGATCTTCTCGGTCTGCTCTGGGCGTGCAGGTAGTCGAAGGACCTAGACTCCGCCCAGCTGTCGATGTTCTGAATCGGCTTCGTTGGGACGCGTCATTCGATTCCGCTGATTATGTGGTTGGATATATTGACCGTTTTATCGGGGAGAAGGAGATACCTATTGACCGCTGGAAGTCTGAACAGACCCACGAGGAGTTTATTCCAATGCATCGGGTCCTGTACTTTAAACGAAAGAGCGATGGCGAGCGTGTCTGGGACCGGGAGAAGAGGATCGATCTTATATTCAATACTGGAGCGGCATATAACAGCGTATAATGAATATCGGCGCATCCCGAATTCTGCAGCAAAGGCACAACAAATTGCTTTTCTTTTCTAGGTGATGGTATGGTTCCAGGTAACTGTAGTTTGGCGAATAGACTTTTGTTCAGAGGTTGGCTGGTACTTCGACGGTCTCAAGATGATCTAAAGCCCTTTCTACACGATCGTGAAAGTAGTTTCACCGATTGACATACTCTAATATTTCAACACGTCATGCGCAAATTAGATCACTAGACAGTGAGGGTATAGCTCTACAAGACCAAACTGATCATGCTAAATCCAGTAGTTAAAATGCGGCGGAGAAGTGCAGATACTGTGCTCTGATCAGATCCGCGACCTTCTCTGCCAAAGCGTATACTAATGCTTGAGGATGACCTGGAGGTAAGTAAGGGAAGCTACTGGCGTCGACGACTCGAAGATTTTGAACGCCGTAGACACGAGCATGACTGTCCAGAACAGCCATTGGATCGCCCTTCTTTCCCATCTTGCAGGTTGCAGACGCATGATATACGGTGTTCATACTCTCCGCGGTGATTTGTTTTATTTGAGAATCTGTGGTGTAGTTCGAACCTGGGATGCTTCAGTCGGATCAGCTACACCGAGATGAGCGAGGATATCCCATATCTCGCGTTGCCGTTTAAACGACTGAATGGCCAAGTCTCGGTCAGTCTGGTCAGCCAACCAGTTGGGATTAATAATTGGAGGTTCAGTCATAGAATTACTCTGTATCTTAACTGTTCCGCGAGAAAGGGGCGCCACTAGAGCAGTATTCAGTGTCGCATAATTGTGACCATCACGGGGGTCAGCCGTTTCTTTATTGAGATTGTATCCGTTGTAGGCACCAACTGGTAACCATCAATCTCTGGCCAGTCAGACGGAAAAGTACTGTCGAGGACTCCCCTAGACTGGTTGCTGAGCTGAGACCGGTACGGTTCTGGAAGTTTCTCCCAACCGTAGATGCCCGGACCAAAGATTGATAGAGGACCAGTAGCGTTGTTGATATATGATTGAACACTTAGTGCCGACAGCGTGGCATTGTTCAAGCTTGCAGATGCTGTGTGGACATTGACCCTATGAGCGCTGCCAAATATCGGGTGGTCTTGCATATTTTGGCCTACTCCTATCAGGTTACTGATACAAGTTATGCCAAAGTCAGCCAATTCATCACACGGGCCGATGCCGGATACCATGAGCAGCTGAGGAGACTGAAATACGCCTGCAGATACAATAACCTCCTTCCTAGCAGTTAGTGTGAAATTCATTGACTGGGTCCCAGAGAAACAAGCAGCAAACACTTGTACGCCAGTTGCAGTGTTGTTGCTATCGAATATGATCTTTCGGGCTAGAGAGCTCTTGTAGATTGTAACAGGTAGACCAGCATTCAAGGCATGCATAAGAAAACTTGATTCAGAAGTTTCCCGCCAAGCGTTACGGGAATCAATGGTTAAAGTCGCATAAGCCGAACCCAGTAGTTTGCCGCTATCCAAGCCTTCAATTTCAGTCATATTCACCTTGATGAAAGCCTGCTGTGCCCAAGTTCCAAATGGGTCAACGAAGTTGCTAAACGATACCTTCAAAGGACCGCCAGTGCAGCTGAAGGCATTGGGATCTTGCTTGTTGGAAGAATTGGTGTATAGCTTCTGACCAGGGGGAGTGTAATTTATGGATTTCTGATAATAGGGCAAAAAGGCTTCCCAGGTATAACTTTGGTCATCCACTTCGTCCGCCCATTGTTGCATGCTGTCCACCGTAACTCGTTGATACAGCATATAATTTCGCGCAGACGATCCTCCCAATGTCTTTCCACGTGCATAGTGTAACCGGCGATTACCTAACTCAGGCTGCGGAGTTTTGGCAAACCCCCAATCTACCAGGGGAGAATAGTTGTCAAGATCTGAGCCAGTGAAGAATGTTGCATAACCTGGAACAATGGACAAATTGCCATTATCAACCTCATAAAACCCTCCAGCCTCGATTACAGCCACGCTGGCGCCGGTTTGTGCCAGGCGCGTCGCAATCGTCAGTCCTGTGTTACCACCACCGGCGATCACATAGTCAAAGGTAGCGTTTGTTGCTGGAGGGCCGAAATGGCTACCAAGAAGCGGGCCCCGCTGCCCGTAATCGAAAAAATTGAAATGTTGCGGAACCTGAGCGTGAGTTCCGAGTATAGTGCATGTCACGAACACCAGCGTTGTCAATCCCAACTTGAATGATGACATGGCGAAAAATATTAATCACTGGAAAAAGAGCTGAATCATATAAAGAAGGTCCTATACTAGCTATGCTGATTAGACAATGAAAAGAGAAAAGAAAGATCGGGCGGAACGAAAGGGCGAGACAAATGAAGGAAGCTATATACAATACTCCTTGTAAGAGCTAGTTGATGTCAACCCAGCCACCTGGTGTCTACTTCGGCAGTCTTGGCCATTTGAGGGTGAGTATCTTGGTTCCTGTTGTTTTTTTGCTTTTCAAATATGAAGTGCGGAGTACTACCAGCCACGCATTTGTGGGCCCGATAATGAAAGTAACCCATTCCAAGGACAAGCCCACGAGTCGTCGGCTCCAACCACGTCGAACTTCAAGCTTGCACGTGGATTGGAGGAAGGTAACCAAGACATTGAACGGAAGACTTTGAGCCTCTGAAAGCTGGCTGGTACATAGTTAGTTACAACGGTACAAATAGAAGTCCGAGGCAAGCCTCAGTAAATAATAACTACGGGCTATAGTTAATCCGTGCAGTGTCTTTCCGTGATCTGGTCATGGAACCAGACGGAATAATGATGATGGGCTAGAGAGAGTGATATTGAGAAGTCTAACTAACTATCTGAGATCCGTGGCGTGCGAGGTTGATGTCCTTGCTACGATCACGCTAGGCCCAATGCGGTACCGACGTCTACCTGTATGGCGGTGGTCCCGTGAAATAATAACAAGGTTGCCGGCAGACCTTAGATCTCTCCGCGATTTATGGGTCTGCTTGATCCAATCAAATCTTGGATTGCCAATCATGAATCAGCCAGAGTTTCTTGGCAGAAAGCCATCTGTACAAAAGTGGATCATGAGCGGCATTAGGGTTTAGTGCACCTTTGTGCCAATCAAGTACATTACTTGAGATGACAATCTGCCTCTACCTGTTGGAAGCCTGGTGTTAGATATCTGTTGGACGGAATGGTATTTTTCAGATGATCCGGATTTCCAACAAGGTATAGAATCCAAAAGCCATCCTCAAACATATAAACCTTCACCTGGTGCACCTGAAACTCGACTTGAGACGTCATGGTTGTATTCCTTGGAACAGTGAGAAGCCCTAAGTCTGCTAGTTGTTACACATCTCGTCAAAAACATCTATATATACCCAGATTTGGAACCTCATGTATGGAGAGGGAGAAGGGGAGGAGGACAGATACAATTTGTGAGCAAACCTGTGTCACAAGCTCCTACAATATATGTACGGATTCCAACACTACCCTTCCTTTTTAGGCTTCTGGCGTCTTTCAATCTCAGGGATGATTGGTTCGCTAATTCACGCCATCAATATCTTTTTCCTAATTTGGAATAACTAGTGGCCTTCATGACAAATTAAGTTCTTACTTCATTTTCCAGGCCTTCATACGGAGTAACTCCTTCATTACTCGGTGTATACACCTTGTTCTTGTGAAGCGTCTCAGATCATTTTGTCTTCTTTGTGCTATGTACTCTGTACAATACAATTGAGCCATATGTGCTCAAATACCATTCTCTTCTATATCTCCAAGATTTATTGAACTACCTCAACATCGTGTATTCTTAGCTGTCTTGTCCACTTTTCCCCTTTAAACTGATGTGCCCAACCGGCATCTCTATAGCCTATTCACCTACATGGCGCCCATCCCGGATCAAGGATGGAAGATCTATGTCGGAACTTTGACCACAATTGTGCCAGGTACTCTCGCGGTCTGTGCAAGGTTTCTGGCTAGGTGGATAGGAGGCATACAGTATTGGTGGAACGATTGGATGGTGTTGATTGCTCTCGTTTGTATCCTCAATCTTATGGCCCTGTGCTTGGATACTCATTAATGCGACGTTCTATTTGCGCAAAAACAGGTCGATTGCTGGACAATGGTTGGTCTGCGACTGGCAGCAGTTCAGTATTTCGGACACGGCATACATGCAGTGGACTTGCCCCAGGAGACTGTCATCAAATTCAACAAGGTACGTGTTAGGCTTAACACTTGTCGAAATGCCAGTCTTAACGTGGTTAATCAACAGAGCTTCATTGTCGTGCAAATGTTATATTTCGCTGATGTCGTCACCACAAAAGCAGCCTTTGTTGGTTTACCTTCGTTAGATCGCAAGATCTAAGAAGGACAGCTAATCCAACAAGCTGACTGAGCCAGTAATACTGAATTCCTAATATTGCGACTAATCCTCCGTACGCTATAGCGCACGGATAAACTATATCCCATTCCCGCGCCGAGATAGGTAAGATTGCTATACCGACAGCCTTCTTATTCCTTTACTACCGAATTTTCGGCGTCATGTTTGGTTCCGGCGCACGTTATATTTCCTTGCGTTCTTACTTGTCGCGTTCCTCATTACTTGCCCGACCGTCGCCGTGGCCGGATGTCATCCCGTATCGTACAACTGGAATAAACATCAGCCTGGGTCATGTATAAACGAAGTTGAATTCCTATCGAGGAAATGGGATCGCAAACATCATTCTTAACTTTGTGATTTTCTGTCTGCCAGTCCCTATGACATTGCGTTTGAACACGACTGTCCGGCAAAAATTGATTATATCTAGTATTTTCATCCTAGGATTCTTGTAGGTTCTCTCTTTTAGAGTACCCCTTAAAACACGGCCGTGTTGAAAGTCTTCGGCAAATCCAAGCCATTCTGCTAACTATCGCCAAGTGTCTACGTTGTTTCTAATATCCGCATCATCGCTTTCAGTGGCTCCAACCCAAAAGACATGACTTGGAGCACCGTCCCGACAGCAACGTGGTCTTCTATTGAACAAGCAGTTTCTATCATCTGCACTTGCTTGCCGACTCTTCGTCCTTTATTCACGAGCTTCTACGGTTCCACCAGTAGTAATTCCAAAAAAAGAAAATAATTACCACACTGATGCTCGAGAGAAATCGTCAAGTTATAATATGGCGCTCTCACAGTTTATCACCTTTGGCGAGGCTAACAGTACGGCCGAATTTGCCGAATTATCTAATCACGAAGACAACAATGGCGATGATGAACAACGATATATGATTTATGTGACTATATTCCTCGATATCGGGCTCTGCTCAGCTGTTAAAATTACTAAACTCTGTTCACCATTAATGTAATATACTTACCGCGTCTTTGAATATGCGAGTTTCATTCTAATTTTTAGGTTCGTTTTACATGTCCAGGTGATAACTCCGCTCTTAACATCAGCATTCCATACCTAAGCGTATATATATGTAACTTGGAACGGTCGGCTTGGATGCATGTGATGAGTATATGTTTGTCGGATGCTATATTCGGAACCTACTTCGCTATACCCCTCCCGAGGTCCTCATCCCATCTCTGGTTGCAGCGAAGAAACAGGGTTATGTCGTACACCAGGCGACTTGAACTGACGGTAAAACATATTTCCACTCTTTTAGCCACTAGCTGGAGGTTGCCTGGAATGTTGCGATCCTCGTTGATGTACGCTTGGGTCTCGATCGAGTTCTAGTATACGGCTGCCGCATCTACGGATGTCGCATGTAAGGCTCGCAATGACCTATTCACGGAAGTTGAGAGCGAGGACTTCCACGATAGGCGCGATCTAAAGAATCTCAAAGATTTCCCTGCCAAGTTGTAGAAGAAGAAAGTCTTCTTTCTCAGTTCGGTCACGCCGTTTTGGTGGACCGTCTCGTTGAGGTTTTCGAAGCTATTGGTCGTTCTCGTTCTGAGGCGAAAATTTAACCAGCACTCAAGGCAAATTGATGCAGATATTATTCTTGCAAGACTCCTGTCTAAAACTCTTGGGCTCGGGACTCTCACATTCATTGTGGCTTTTTGATTCCTATCAAACCTTAATTTATAGTTTGTCTGGCTGATCCCCCTGATGGCAGCTGTGCATCCCTGTAGATAGGTGCATTTGCTCCCAAGTTTCGCTTTTAGATACTAGGCTATGCCCAGCTAGGACTGCTTCCTCTTCTGTCCCAATCTAGTGCCATCACTTTTAACTCTAATAACTGTTCAATTATATTATAGTATTTCAGCCGCATCCTCTTTTACACGTCAAGGAGATACTGCTAGATCCATTGATTATGTATACACAGACGGCCCATCTCACAATGTGCGACATCGATAACGGGCATTGTCCGAGTAATATGAGTCAAAAACTGCCACCCATTGGACAAGGCGAATTGATCTTCGCTTTTAGAGAGGCTGGCATAATCAACTAGGCCGGGTAGTTAATTGCCAATATTTACAAAAGAAGATTGAATAAGCCAACCAGTAGTCGGGGTCGAATGAACCCTGCTATGTCACTTGACTTTCCGCTTGACCGTGTGCAACCCTTGTACTTCTGGCGTGGCTGGCTGAACATTTATCGTCAAAACATAGCAAAGTGATGAAAGTGGTGGCTCGGGAGGTTGATAGATCTTCTATCCCGCGTCATGTCTATTCTCGTCATTCTTCTTGATTTTCCGATCTTGCTATATCATCAATATCTTAAGGTTATTCAAACAATATTTTTAGTATACACACTACAAACGGGGTTTGCGGAGACTTCCGGTGCCCACCTCTGTAGGTAATAGGATTATGCCGGAGAACACCTACTCCATTGTACGAGTATGATGCTCCTTTTACGAGATTTGTTGTTTTGATGTGGAGCATTTTGAAAGTATGCAGTGAATGAACAGGAAAAAGGTAAGGTAAGCAGTCTGTATGCTAAACTTATCTATAGCTCGCAGGGCTTTTCCGACCCAGCGCTATTTGAGATTGTGAGTTCCTCTTGGAGAAGGTTTTTCTGGTAATTCAAAATCGTGAGCTCCTCTCGAAGTTTTTGAATCTCATCGGTCCATGCTTGGCCTTGACGTCGAAACTTTTGAGAGAATCCATCCTTCCGCTGTCGTTAGTTAACTGTCTAAGATGTGTCGGATTAGTCGGTTTATTCCAGGCCAATCCTGAAGAGTGTTTTACTAGGATCAAAGAAAAGAAGTGACTAGCAAGATTGTATGTATTGAGTTCTGTATCTCTCTATCCCTCAGGTTTCAAAGCCAGGTCCTTTATAGACACTTTTGGCGGGGTGATTTGTGAGTCATCAAGAGGGGTAAATTTTGGGGGCTATAAGATAGGGCTTCTGATTGTTCACTTCCTTTTACTGCCTCCGGATATCCGAATTATCTGACACTGTCTTGCTGGATATCCGGTTTATCTAACAAGATGAGGAGGCGAAATAACCGAATATTTTACCCGTGGCAAGAAGAGACTTTACAAAACAAACCAAATTTTGGCAAGGCGGTACGTATAGACTGCCATAAACTCAGCCAGCCCCACCAACGATTGATTTAGTGTCCTTTGATAAGCGGTAGTGGTAGGAGGAGACACCGTACTATCAGTGCTGGGATTTTTGGAGATGTCTGAGTTCCTGCTTGTTACTATCTAACTGTGACGGTGTCCAGTCTGGTGAACCGTAGCCTAAATGATCGCTAGAAAGGCTGGCTTCTCATTATTCAGTCGCCATTGCAATAAGCCTAACCGACATCCAGCTGGCCACTCGTGTATTCCACACAAATGATCATTTTGATTACCTTTATATCTTAACAAAGTTATATATGTTACTTGAAACTAGTCGTACAGCTAAGCGATCATGTCTGTAGACCTGATACCCCAGTATGAGGCGTATGAGAGCTTGGAAGTGGAAGACTGCAGATATATATTCTTTATACACACCATGGCGCTGGGCAAACTAGAAATTCTAGTTCTACAGTCAGGATTGGTAATCATACACTATATCTTGCGTACAGTAGTGGAATAGGAGCTTTTCTACGAAATTGCATTATCGAAAGTAACCTCACCTACTTTCCCTTGGTGGTTACGCTGATTCCGGGGTGTAATCTCAACAGAATACAGTAATCACCAAACCCCAGACCCATCTTCCATCCCTAGTAGCAACGCGGAGTTTCCCATGTACTCCGCGATAACCGAGTCACATGAAAAATATGGAGTAGTGCAGTCAAATTTCGAACTACTCTTCTCAGCTTCTCCATGACTTGGCAAAATAGCTACTAGTGAATTTCCAATATTGAACGACGATGATGGACAATATAACAGAGAGGACATAAAATGAAGACGCTTATATCTCAATTCTCGTTGCCTCAGTCTCCCAGATTAGGATCTCTTAGAACGAGTCCGTCATGATGATCGATCGTGGAAGCCGCACCACTGTTCGTCCAACTATCCACATCACAGCACCTTACTGGATAAATGACCCCTGCGCCCCTGGTTATGACCCCAAATCCAAGCGTTACCATCTTTTTTACCAATGTGAGTAGCCCAGCGACTTTCCCACCGTGAATTAAAGGCGAACAACTGAGTCGCGCTTGTGAAATAGGTAATCCACGAGGAACTGAATGGGGAAATATGTCCTGGGGCCATGTAACCAGCCCTGATCTACTCCAATGGAACCGTTCGACCTACCAGCCGACCCTGAAGCCTGATCAGGAATATGACAAGGAAGGAGTTTTCACAGGTTGTTTCGTACCACCGGAGGGTACGATTGAAAGACACCTCACTGTCTTCTACTCCTCGGTCTGTCATTTGCCTTTTCATTGGAGCACACCTCCATATCCGCGAGGTGCTGCTGGTCTAGCCATGGCCGTCTCCAGCGATAATGGGAGGACGTGGAGCAAGCCATCAGAAAATCCGATTTTGAAAGGTGAGCCCGACGGTGTACAAGTGACAGGGTTCAGAGACCCTTATATTGCCGCTTGGCCAGCAATGGATGAGCTCCAAGGACGCGACTCACTTTATGCTATCGTTTCTGGTGGAGTTCAGGGCGCAGGGCCAACAGTGTTTCTGTATGCTGTGTGCCCAGACAACTTGACTCATTGGGAGTATTTAGGCCCTTTAGTCAGTTTGCCAGAAAGATTTCAGCAGTCGAAAAATTGGTCAGGGAACTATGGGATAAATTGGGAGTGTGCCAACTTCATGACTCTCGAGATAGAATCGACGACGCGACAGTGTTTGATTCTAGGAGCTGAGGGAGACGTGGAACGGGATCATATTAAAGACCACCGACAACCTCTAGGTGGGCCAACGAGAACCGTTCGATCCTTGTTGTGGATGTTTGGAGACCTCACTATGCAGCACAATGGAGTGGAATTTCATTACAAGCTCGGCGGGTACCTCGATCACGGCTCCTTGTACGCCGCAAATTCTTTCATTGATCCTACATCTGGGAGACGCATCATGCACGGTTGGATACCGGAAGAGGACATCACTTGCGACTATGCCAGCCAGAAAGGCTGGAACGGTGCTATGTGTATTCCACGCGAGTTGTTCCTTCTGTGCCTGGACAACGTCACAGGGGCACTTTGCACCGAACTTTCAGAAATCTCTAACGTGGAGATAATGAATTACCCCGGTGGTTCAACATCTTTGTACACCTTTGGAATTCGCCCAATCTCCGAGTTCATGCTGCTCCGAGACGACTGCTCCCACACCTACCAGCGCGGCTCTTTCTGTCTTCCCCGCTTCCCACTGCGTCATGACGAAATTTGCACTATCCAAACCCCATGCTGGGAGCTAGAAGCCATTATCTCCGTCGGCTGTAACTGCGATACCGTCGGATTTTGTATTGAATCGGAGAAGAACTCTTTGGTTCGCTTGTCTATTATTTTTTCTATTGTGGAAGGGGCCATAATAGTTGATCGATCCGCGTCGACCGCCAATCCAGAGATCAGCACGTTTCCAGAGAAAGGAAAATTCACACTCTTTTACACTCAGCCTGATAAAATGGTGGACGAATCGCAGCTAGAAAAACTGCGTCTCCGCGCTATCTTCGATGCTGATATTGTTGAAATCTACGCAAATGATCGGTTCGCATTGACAACAACTGTGTACTCTGGATACTACAGGTCCGGAAGAAAAGTCTCAGCTTTTGCTACAGGGCGCGAACACAGCGCGTCATTCGAAGAGGTCCGGGTGTGGGATGGCCTGTATCGATGTAAGGATCTACTGACTGTCGACTAACGAGGGTAGCAGGCAGGCTTTTGAATATTGAGCTCAGGTTTGCCACGAGGACCAAGACACCCGCCATCAGGACGTTGGGCAATAAGAGGACCTCGGTGATAAGTAAAGGCTCGCTATACAATCGGTGACTATCGGAGGTTCCAGACATAGTTTACTCAAATTGAATAGACAGAAGCAAACATTATCCCCATCCCAATTACTATTACTCCAAAGGATTTAGAAGTAACACGTGATGTCACACAGCTTCGATATTACTTGCACCACGAGAAACTCGGGAGCCAGGTGGGTACGCTTCTTGCTTCTCGAGGCAAAATCACGTCGGCCCTTTCAAAACTCCATGAATATGCACTCGAAGTCTACCGCGCCGTTCTTGGCAGAGAGTAGGACTGATTCCTGTAAAGAAATAATGAATGGGTCGTATAGTCACAGAGGATTGTTATCGTCCAGTAATAGTGATCGTTGATCAGTTGCCTGTAGGTTTTGATAAGGAGATGATTCGATACGTTGAATCTCTGTGTATTGCTTGTCTACTTCTCTAGTTACATACGAATCAGAGGTTGAGACTTACAATTAGCCTCGGAATTGTTATTGGAATCTTTTAGTACTAGTCCGAACAGGGTTAGGCTCTGATAGGAGCGTACAATCTGGGTGAGGAATAATTGACTCTGTTGTACACGTCTCCTCCCAATTCTCTAGCGAACATCTTGATCCTCTTTATATACAAAACATAGTGGCAAAATATCACGGATTTATGGAATAAATGACAATCCTGACTCCAAAATGTAGGCCTGTAGGTAGTCTTTCCAAGCCTGGGTTCGGCGCTCGTATTCTCACGGATATGTTGTTTTTCCGAGGATTCACGGATTAGCGTATCAAATATCCAACAATTGTCAGTGATCACGTGACCTCACAATCATATTCTTTACAATTCTTATAGTCTAGGAGCCGTTGACTCAACGTCTGTTGCATGATTGTCAAGGAGGGACTATTGATTTCTGAACCCCAGCCTGCTGTAGTAACCGAGAAAAGACACTCGTGAAGTAGGTCAGGACTGGTATTGGTCAGACAAGAATTTTCTGTGGCTTTTAAAACCACCATGGTGGTAATGAATATGCTGTTTTCTGAGTAAGTATCTGATGTGAGGCGAGCCGCAGCACGATGGCTAGTCTGAGGCTTACCTCAGAAAAAGTGTCCATTTGTGAATTAGACAGTTGTGGAACGCAAATGTGATGCTAGGCATCAGTTGGATGTAAGAGTCAAAGAATCGCTGGCAGTGGCTGAGCAGCTGGCCTTCGACTACACCATCCTGCATTGCCTGGTAGACAGCCGGCCAGTATATGGACAACTTGCAGCAGTAATACTGTACACGGAGGAAGTTCGATAGTGACCCAATGCGATTTGCGCAATGTTGACTAGAGTCTCTGGGGAACCGAATGCTATCCGGCAGATAATCATACCATTCGTCTAATTGGCGTTCCAATTCTATGGCAACTCCTGGCGCATACGCTGATTGACCTGTTGGACCCAGCGTCACTGCGGAGTTACACCGGTGCAGCATTCGCCGCATCGCTATCTCGGCTAGAAAGAATGACTGGGCCTGGTCTGGCCTGGTGCTGCGAGCTGAATTTGCGCTCGCTGGGGAATGACTACCTGGACTGGTGGACAGTTCTTCGGAAGGGAATTGCCATGTATGAAGACAGTTCGGAAGTGGAACATAGTTATCGAGATCCCAGATGACGCTCTTGGCAACATCGAGCTGGACGCTCAGTTCGCTATGAGACCATCATTAGCATCGGGGAGTTTCCCGACTGGTTATCCTTTGCAAACGACTTGCCTTTCCAGTAACAGAACCGCCCAGTACGATCGGTAGGTCAATTCCAGCATTTCAGGGTCCGTGCCTTGTAGACCACTTGATGACAATAAGCATGGTGATTATGAATCCGCGTAATTGTTGCAGTAGTCGCCTACCTTTTAAAGAGGTTCTGAATCTTAAAGGACGCCACTAGGCAGTAGTCATGAGCCTGACAGGGTTTGAGAAGGCAAGCGTAATAAATGCTCAAAAAGATCAGGCATTGGACAGTAACTAGAGAGCATTCCGCAACAACCAGCGGCAATGATGAGAGAGCAGTTGCGAAGAACGGGTTCTCCCGGTCGGATGTGGGATCGTGTGCCACCGCACAGCCGACAGCAGCCACTAGAAGAACTAAACATGCCCGGGATGATGGCTTGAGAGGCTCAGACAGAACCCGGAAGTATTCCTCTGTGAAGTTTGATGCGAGAATGGGATAATAGGCATGAATGCGCTCCGAAAAAGCAGCCAATGCAGTCACGGTCTGCTGGTGGGAAACGAAGAAAAATCGCGCGTCGGAGCTGTTCGTTGAGCCCATGAGGAAGTTGATTCTCTCAAGCCGGATGAGGTTTTGGGGGAAATCAGGCTCGAGATCCAACACGACCATAATAGACCTGGTTGCGAGCAGTCGAAATGGAGAATCTTCATGGGAGCTGAGCGCGGCCGCATCTTCTTGATCTTCCTGCACCGGTTTCGGTTGCTTTGTGAGCAGACTAGTAATGTAGTCCAGGCGCTGGTTCACGATGGCTAATTCCGATTCGATCCTAGGATGACACGCAGCGGGTGTCTCAATAATCGAATCATGTTTTAGGAAGGGGGTATACGTACTTGTTTGCAGGGCTGGAGGGAAGCTCCTTATAGAAGCAATCCAGTCCGCGCACTTGGCAGGGATTGCACGAGGGTCTCAGACCGTCGCATTTAGTCCTTTTCGACCGGCAAGTATCGCAGGCGAGAATCAATCTCTTCCGGGCCTTGACCATATTGACAGGCGGCATTGAAACATCAATCGATAGTTTCCTTTAGTTGGCAGAGTTGCGGAGTAGTATCAGAAGACCGCGCGGGGCTGCACGGGTACTCCGTACATAGCATTTATAAGTCAGCCCCCGCAAGATCGGTGGGGAAAGTCATCGCGGAAACTTCGGACGACTTAACCAGGGCGGAGTGTTCTCACGATTCCGCGGACACTGCCTTGGTATTCAACAAATGTGGTTCCTTGGGTGACCTCCACACAAAACTTGAGAATCATAATAACCTTTGCTGAGGGTGAAGGATCTTTTAGTCTGTGCTTGCGATTGAGAAAAATATAAGAAATGTCCAGCGAAGCGTTCACTTTCTTTCCAATTTTACCACCGAACCAAAAAAAACAAGCGACACCCCTTCATCGTATCTCAACATCGCTCTGTGTGCCATCCAACTATGAATTCCCCTTCTGGAAACCACCTCCTTGCGGATATTACCACACGCAGAATTTCCCGTAGCGCCCGGGTCTCTAGCTGGGATCAGAGCGGGCTGAACGAAGATGCCTTTGTGGTCCTGCCCGGTGAAACGATGTTGCTCGCTGATCTGGAGGGCCCTGGTGCCATCACGCATCTGTGGTTTGTCCAGACGTGCAGACAGATTCTGGGACCCGGGTTAATCCCCTATTCGAAGTCCGGGGTGGCCATGATGGAGATTCATAACGCCCTCGGCCTCAATTACGAAGTCAACGACCCTGACTACTATCGTAAAGTGCTCATCAAAATGTACTGGGACGATTCCGAAACTCCTAATGTGCTCGCGCCGATCGGTGATTTCTTCTGTCTGGGCCACTCCATGGCTGCGAATTTCCAGTCGCTGCCATTCACTGTATCCGTAAAGCCCTCAGAGGAGAAGAAATTTGGCGGGGCAGCCGCCTTCAACTGCTACCTGACAATGCCATTCAACAAGCGTGCTCGCATCGAGATCGAGAACCAGAACGATGAGGCCTACATTCAGTACTTCTACATTGATTACGAGCTGTATGCCAAGCCCCTTCCTAAGGACACGCTGTACTTTCACGCCCATTGGCGTCGGGAGAACCCAACCAACGGATGGGCCCCGTCTGGTATTCAGACAAATAGTCTGGAGACGCAGGTCAAGAATCTGGACGGCAAAGATAACTATATCATTCTGGAAACCGAGGGCGCTGGTCACTACATCGGCTGTAACCACTCAGTCCTCCACTTTCAGGGGACTTGGTGGGGCGAAGGGGATGATATGATCTTCATTGATGATGACACATGGCCGCCCAGCATGCATGGCACGGGAGGGGAGGATTACTTCTCCCAAGGCTGGGGTATGCAAAAGAATGCCTACCCATTTTGCGGCACCATCATCCACGAGGAAGACGTGCCTAATTACCAGGTTAGCTATCGCTGGCATCTGGCCGATCCGGTCCGATTTAGCAAGAAGATCAAAGTCACTTTGGAATCTGGTCATGCCAACCACCTTCGCGACGACTGGTCCACCACTGCCTACTGGTACCAAACATTGCCGGGTCCCAAGCTAGAAATCCTACCCGTGGCGAGTCGTCTCCCCCGGAAGCCCGAGATTATTCCTCCCGCCCCGGATTTGTCTGAGCTGGAGATTTCCAAGCTGAGTTTGGAAAAGATAGAGAAGTTGGCACAGCATAGGGAGAGGTATGATATGTTCGTTAAGGACCGGAAAGAATGGTTGGAGCGACGGGCGAAGGACTCGAGAGAACGAGCGATGAACAATGTGCAAATCTGCAAGGATATTCGTCAACGATTTATAGAGAGTCTCGAGGAGTAGATCAAGGCCGTCAGCTAAAGGCCTGGCGAGGTAACCTGGGAGAAGTAATTTAGCTTGTGGTTGTAGCACATTATCACAAGAGTGCAACTCCTCGCCCAAGGTCTTAGCTTCTGATCTCCTCAAGGACATCATCCAGTATTCTAGCAGTAGAATTTGCCAGCACTGGAATGTATTTTTTTCGAGAAATGTTAGTTTTGGGCGATTCTAGCAGTAGAAATTTTGGCCCTCACCAGCAGAAAGCCCTCGCTATTCTTAGCGATGACATAGCTGCTGTAGCTTAACGCCACTTCAACGCCTTCATCAGTGGCATCACTCCTACTCTCTCCCCCACTAACCATCCCCAGCCCCTAATCCTGTCCCTGTCCCCCTTCCCCCTTAACCCCCTCCCTCACCTCCCCCTCTGGTCTTGCTCAGTCCTCATACACAACAGTCACCAAGCCTCACCCGGTCAAGTCAGCTACTGATGCACATCAAACAAAACCACCAAATAAAAAGCTCACACCTGATGCCAAACAATCTCTCCCTGATCACTGCCTCTTCGTGCGCCTGTGAGGGCTCATTCAACAGTCATATTGGAAGCTAAGTACAAGAAAACCAAACATGGAGAAAGAAAGAAAAAGCTAGGAACATGAGGCTATCTGCAAACAAGATGTATTGTGTCGTGACCACGTGACGGAATCATGAACCCTCCTACGTTACCCTAGCAAGTGACTACGCAACCGGACTTTGCGAATAACCTCATTGATGACCGTCACAGCGCCTCCTAGTTGACCACGCTGCCAAGAAGATGGACTCTTACGCCATCTTCTCCAGCCTCCGATTCCAACTAGGTACTAGCAGCAATGCCCTGAAAAAAGTACAAGCTATAAAGACCGGGTTTGCTCTCTGTCCTGCATGTAACGGAGCTAGGAAATCAGGGTAAAACGTATGTCATAGGAAACTAACAAGACGTGAGCTGGGAACTAGAAACTATCTACAGGAGAGCAGGCCCGTATTTATGCCTGAGCATGCCTCCAAAATCCTCTCAGAGTCTCCCGACAAAGCCTGCAACAAAGGCTCATGGATGAAGCTATTCTTAGGGATATCCTTAGTGTTGTGAAACCTCGCTTCCTTTACCCGCTCCTGCATCCGTGTGCAAGAATAGTTGTCTAAGGCAGTCTCTGACGGTAAAACTACAACACCGAGTCAGATCCACGACACTCTCCTTAGCACCTAAGCTAAGAAATCATCACTAAATTTATTATGTCTGTTGGTTTATAGGGAAGGAACACGAAGACCAATCCCCAAACCGTGGTCTTACGAAGAGGCTTGCTCTGCACGAAGGGAGCACTAATATGGAGTCAAAAATGGGTTCAAATTCGTTATCCCGAGGAAGACTCCGAGGGGTGAAAATAAACTATCTAAATACTATGAGGCTCAAAACCTTACGCCAAACAAGGCCCGGATCATGCCGTCAAACCGTTTGCTGAGTCTCCCCCATTGAGCTTAATTCGACGTTGCTCTCCGTCAAATCTCCATGGGGTGTCATGCCAACAATCGCCATTGGGATTCACCGCGGTTCCAACAATGTCCCTTTTCTTTTCTTTATTTTTCTTTTCTTTCATCTTAAGTTCTATCTGTGAGGGCCCAATCAATATGTCACGGATCTGACTCAGAGGTCTGCCTTAGGCAGCGGCACCACCAAGCAAGCAGAGGCGGTGAGGGTTTACGACACCAAGGACACCTCTGAGGACCTTTGTTCTATGAGTTTCACGCCTTGGGAATAGCTTCACCAAAGGCTTTGTTGATGGGTTTGTTGTATTCTTTTGTTTATGTCGGAACGTGAATATCAAACCTAGCGCGTTTCGGCACTGGATATCAGTTAGTCCAACGCGGCACGTGCGTGCCGCGTTTATATGTAGCTAGCTATCCCCCGTCCCCCTTACTCCTGGGGGGTGTGACGGCTGCAAGAATCGCTGTCGTGTGAGCTCGGTCCTTTGTAGTGCCGCTCCGTGGTCTCGTTGAGCCCTAAGCCCTAGCTGGCCGTACAACGGGATATCCCTTTGTTGTTACGACTTCCTATTTAGGCACCGACGAGACGATACGCGCTTACAAAGGGCTGTAGCGAGCTCACACACAGATTCTTCCTTTCTCCTTCTTTTCTGTATGCTTAGTTTCTTGAAGATGAGCTACCCTAGAGTTTAGGCCTGAGCAAATGTCACAGGGGGCAGTCATCAATATCAGGAATTCCATACCATATTGATCAGGCTCGTCAGCTCGTCGGAATAGCTGTTCTACGTGACTAGTGCTAGCGACCTAGACGTAGATAAACCGACAGTTTAAGATCTTTGTACAGATGTAGCAGGCATGGTCCGTCAGGAAGCGTGCCCTAGAGCAGGCCCTACGCAGATATAAATATAGGCTTGCTCCCTTGTAGATTAGTTTCGGCTCTTCAGCTCATGTCTTGTTAGTCTTCTATGCTATACATCTTACTCTATTGACCCAGCTCCATTACACAATATCAAATTGGAATCTATGAACAAGAAAACTAAGCATAAAGGAAGAAGGAAGAAACTATCACCATAGAGCTATCTCAGGGGCTTGATATGTTGTCTATTGGAATCTTCAGGTACTAGTCCGAACGGGGTTAGGCTCTGATAGGAGCGAACAATTTGGGTGAGGAATAATTGAATCTGATTTGCACGTCCTCTCAAATCCCCTCTAGATACACATCCTGATCCTCTTTATATACAAAACGCAGTGGCGAAATATCACGGATTTACGGAATAAATAACAATCCTGACTCCAAAATGTAGTCTGCTTTTTGGCGTTCTTGTTCTCGCGGATATGTTGCTTTTCCGAGGATTCAAATATTAGTAAGTACATCCGGATTAGGATTAGCGTATCAAATATCCAACATTATCGCGTGACCACGTGACCAAGCTTTTTTGTTGGAGCTCGGTTACGCTAGGATGGATACGGAATATAGGCAAATAATAAGAACTTAGAGTTGAGAATTTCTATGTATTGATGCACACTCTCTAATACAAAACTTGTCAGGAATGTTGACCTCTTTTATATGTGAGGTCCTGTACAAACTAGATCATGAGATGACATCCAGTCGAACCTTCTAGATATAGCCATATAGAGCTGATTGGATGTCTATATCTCGTCAGTATGTGAACCTAGTTCTCGAAATTTCTTCATGTTAGTAGTATGATGGATTCCCAATTAGGGATAGCGTATTGCGTTCCAACATTTTTACCCTCGTCCCATAACCCTATTTCAGAACAACGTTCCTCCGGCTCCGTTGCTTCAGGAATATCAAATCGAAGCTGCTTCTGAATAGCGTCCTGCTTAGCCGTCACACTATCAGAGTTGAACGGGCCAGATTCGATGATGGGGAGGAGGCGGACCACTGCAGCTGGCAGCAACATCCAGCCTCCATATATTGAGGCCAACCATCTGACCACGGCAGTTATGTAAAAACGCCAAAGAGTCACTTCTTGTAACTAGCTTTTGACACCCAGGGCTTACCCCCTGGCAGCCTTTGTCCCACTAGGGAATGGGTAGGCAGTGATTAATCACTACCTACGGCCCTTTAACAATGACACACACACACACACACACACACACTTGTCATCTGTTTGCTGAACACTAGAACCATGATTGAATTGCCAACGTAGCCTTGATAACCACTTTCATCAGTGTGGATCTCTATGTACTCGTTCTGGACGTACGCGAATCGGCGTCTACCAGACTACTGCCTGCCACAGTCCAGGGAGGGCCTTTCTTTTTGGAAGAAGATCAGCGAGTGGGATATTCTGAGTGTCTAGTTTGGCTTTCGTATATTCTGTGAACTGGTACCTCAATATAATTACGACTACTTTGCTTAAGTTACATCGTCTCCATCGAGATGTGTAAGTTAGCCAGTAACTATTATGGAGGTGGGAGTCAAAAGTGATAATAATACCAAGAATAATACACAACGCTAGTGTTTTAATGATATATAGCAATACACCAAAATTACTATAAATCGATGTAGATACAAAATATTGAATATACAAACAAGAATTCCCAAGCCGTCCAGCAATCTAGATGCCTTATTTGACATTTTTAAGACTGTTCCAAGCCCTCCCATTCATCCTCTAGATATGCCCGGAATGAGAGCATGCCTTTGCGCCGGCAACGTGAGCGTACGTCACCCTGGGGACGCCCCTCCGGATACTCATTCTTACCTTCCAGACGGATAATTTCTTGTATATGGAAAGGGATCCTCTCAATCCACGCTTGGATACGATGCTGGGGAAGCCTTTCCCATGCTTTTTCCCATACTCCAACTGCTGTCTTTCGGTCACCAGGTGCTCCTCGGAGAGTTGTACGTTTCTTGAGCCAAAACCACGTTGGCTCAATAGCATTCAAATCGGGGGAATTACCAAGCCAAAGCAGGCGCTGCACGTCGTGGAATGAGTAAATCTCTTTTTAGTGGAAATGGGCATGCGCAGGGGCATTATCTTCCATTACAATCGTGTCTAGCCTAGAGCGCTTACATTCCTGTGCAAAAGGAAGCAGCTTTGGCACAAGCACTTCCTATTATATATATTAGCTTTAGAATCACATTTGTATGGGAATTACTAGACCTTTTGATAACGATACCAATCAATGCCACCCTTGCTATTCCGGACTAGCTTTCCATTTTTCGCAGTGAATCTAAATGTTGGCTTCCGGCCAGGACGGGGGCGTAATTGAAGCCTTGAAAAGGCACCATTCAATTCCCATTCTTCTCGAGCTACTTTCTCACGCTCTCGATTGATAACTTCTAACTCTTTCTCTGCTTTTTTTTGCTGCTGCTGCATTCTGCGTTTGATAAATGTGACAGGGACCCTTGGCATCATAGGAAAAGCAACCCAAAACATAAATTCGCAAGCACCCTTGTAACGACGGCGAATAACAGTAGGATCGTAGCATTCAAAAGACCTGCGCCATACGCAATTGGAGCCTCGCCGGTGGCCTAGGACGACAGAGATCTCATCCGTCCATATAATATTCTTAAAATCTTCAAGGGTCCAATGTTGATGCTAAAGAGCAAATGCGAATCTTGCCTGTTTCATCTCTTCTGTCAGACCAGGTTTCCAAGTTGGCTTGTGTGTGTACGGGAATCCCCAGGTGTTGAGTATCAACACCGGAATATTAGCTATTCCGGTTCCCTGGGGATATCCCCTTTACCTGCATGTAACTATCCTTCGCCTCCCTTTTTGGGGATCAGTCATAATATTCGAATAACATCAATATTATCAGGCTCATGGGTTCTTTGGAATAGCCTTACTGCGTAATCCTGTGCTTCGTGTTATCAGGACGTAGCTAAACCAACAGCTTGCATTTACTAAAAGAATTTAATTTTAAAAGACGCAGAACAGAAGATTCAGAAATACCGGCTTCATAAGCGAGATATTCAGCAGACTTCTCACGACCAGCTCGATCCTTAGTAACACTTGCGATAATTGAGGCCTCAATAGCTTCAGTAACCACTTTGGGGCGGCCACTACACTCTTTATTAGCGACGTGCTCATGCTCAATACGAGGATTAACCGTAGGGTCATATCCATGCTCTTTAGCGCGTTGTATAATCTGATAAACGCTCACGCGAGGGATATTAAGTAATGTAGCAACGTCTTGAGGCTTCATTTTTGCAATCATCACCAAGGACACGATTTGGGCGCGGATTTCCACTGAATATTCCTCCCTTGCCATCTTGATCAAAAGAAATGTATGAATCGGCGTAGGAAACAGCGTAGAGCGTATCAGCGGCGATCAAATCCTTAATATTCAATGTTGTTAGTAAACTGACAGAAAAGCGATGTAGAAAAGGAGATATTTGCTATACTCTATACAGATAGCTCCGTATAATAATATCAAATTGGTGGGAATAGCTTCAAATTGGCAAAAGCAAAGAATTGTTGAAAGGCGGGATAAGCTGAAAGTAGGATACTAAAGTTGCCTAGTAATAATTAGGGTAATCTGAGTACCCAACTTTACACGCTAGACCTGCAGCTAGCAGATTAGTGCAAATTAGCGTATTATTTTCACTTCTGACTCCTGCGAAAAGGTAACTATTTTGGGACATGTTGGATTAGCTAAGCTGATCGTCAGCCAATAAGAGCGAGCCACACACTGATCCACCGAATAGGGGATATCTTCCACCTGGACTGTACTTAGAGACAAGAACAAGGACAACAAGGATCAAGGATTCCATACTTTTTGCATACATAATATGATACGTTGAGATATACCACTTGAGATTGTTACGTACAATCCAACAGGATATCCCTGTTATTCTCGCGGAGACCGGCTGGACTCCGCGGGAAAAATTTTAAACTCAGTCCGGAGTCTCCGATCCATGATGCCGAGTTAATTTCCGCCACTCTCTTGGGCGTTCTACCTACCTCGAAGGCCCAACGGTTCGCATCCTCAGCAAACCCGAGCCACCCCGACTTCCCCGGATTTTACTTAGATATATAGGCGGGGTAAATAACACCATGGTAGCTCTGTTTCCTCATCACGTTGACTTGGTAAACACCGGCACTCTACGAGAATCTTCATAGGCAAAGAAATGGAGAGCGCTGCAGAGATTGAGATCAATGGGCAAGCTTCTATCCGCGTCCCAATCTCTCCTTGATGGTGAAATCACTAACATGCAAAAGGGTCGACTACTCAGTGATTGAACCGTCTCGTAGATGGCGCATGCTCCTTTCGCAAAGGCGGTTCTGCTTGTGGTGTAAGTTCTCCTGCAAGCCCTTGTGGAGGTCGCGATTGACAGGAGGCACACCTTTAGGTCTCTGGATTTCTAGCGGGGTTGTCATGCAAGGATTCGATATTGTGGCCGGAGGTCAGCTAGCTGCTTTGCCGGAATTTCAACGACGATTTGGATATTCGCAGCCAGACGGTTCCTTCCTAATTCCTGCTCACTACCTTTCCGCTTGGAGCTCGATCGCTCCTGCATGCGAAATAGTTGCCACCTTTATCTTCGCTCCACTGCTTGAGAGGTTCGGGCGGAAACCAGGAATTTTAGTTGCCTCCATCATTTCCACCGCAGGTGTCATTCTCCAGCAGCTGGCAACTGATTGGCGTGTGCACCTGGCTGGTCGAGGTGTCAATGGTTCGTATGGGTTCTGGGAGCGCTGATTAAGTTAAAATCTACTACTTTTGTTACTGATGCAGGCTTAGGTATCGCGATTGGGATTATGTTCACCATCTCTCCACTATGGATTGGTGAAACTTGTCGACCGGAACTTCGGGGTTTCTTCCTGTGTTTTTTCAATACTAGCATTGTCTTCGGACAGTTTGCAATGTCGGTTTGGTATTTCCCCGTCATATTGAAACTTGTTGCTGATCTTATTCTTAGAGCCGTGGTGGCTAGGGGCAGTAGTCACTTAAGTGGCAAATGGTAAGTTCGAGCATTTGTTCTCATTTTGGTCGAAACATATTGAGTGACCATGGCAGGCAATGGTGGTTACCGATAGTGGCAATGTATTTCTTTCCGGGTAAGGCCCATGATTTTCCTCCTATATTGTTCTAGTATATCACTTTCTTACTTTAATTTCCATTTTGCTCGCTCAGCTATTCTCCTATCTGGTTGGTTCTTCTTTCCCGAGTCTCCGTACTGGCTGGTGCGGCAGAGAAAGAACAGAGAGGCCCTGATATCTCTCCAGACAATATACGGCTTCAAGAATGAGGCATTCTATACAGCAGAAGTTCGCCGAATGGAGTCGGAAAACGAAAGAGAGATTTCCACCCGTGATAGCCGCGCTGAGGGCTCCTACAGGTTTCTCGGCATCGATGTGTCTACTGAAGCTGAATGCTTTAACCGCGCTAATCTCAAGAGGACCCTTACTGCAGTTTTTGCCGCTAGCGGACAGCAGATGATTGGAGCCACCTTCGTTATCGGCTACGCAACATATTTCTTGGAATTGATTGGGATAAAAGATTACTTCGATGCGTCCGTTGCCCTTTATGTGGTGATGTTGCTATCTAGCATGCTAGCCTTTCCTCTGTCCGAAACCGTCGGTCGGCGAACGATGATAGTGAATCCTCAATTTTTTCTGTGCTTCGCACTTTTACTAATTGGTCTTTTGGGTTGCATCCCAAACCCAGAGAAAGCAAGCTGGGGTATTGTTGTCCTCATTTATATCTGGGCGATCATATATCAGCTTTCCATTGGAGCCGTAGGCTTTGTGTTGGCTTCGGAAATTGCTACAGCTCGCCTGCGAAGTACGACTCAAGGCCTCGTCACCATCACCAACGCGTTGTGGGGGCTCATCATGCAGTTTACAGTCCCATACATGGTATGACTGCACGCACTCTCTTAATCCATGTCAAAAGTCTCAAAAGTTTGCGGCACTAACGATGGATTTGTTTACTCAACAGATTAGTACTGATGCAGGCCACCTGGGCGGTAAAGTTGGATTTATCTTCTTCGTGACAGGGTCGATCGCAGCCACTGGGGGATGGTACCTCTATCCTGAGACTAAGGTATGGCGAGACCACTTGAGAAGAAAAACCGTTTGATTATGGCTGACGAAAATGCCCAGGGTATTTCCTTTGAAAAGATGGACGAGCTTTACGCAAGCAAGACCGCTCCTCGACTCTTCAGCCGAGCCGTGGCCGCCGCGCAGGGTGACATAACGCCCCATACATCCAAGGTAGAAGGAGTCTCTGAGCATGTAGAGGTGACCAACTTCTCTTCGTGATGGGAAAGGGTTTCACGTCAGGAGCATATCAGGTATTCTTTGATTTATCTAAATTCTGCCGCATTGGACTATCGTTTCTTGTGTTCTGCTCTCCTTTGAAATGTGGTGCTCTTGCAACAAGGTTTTATGGGTGAAGAACAAGACCCCGTCAGTGAGAGAGAGGAAGGGGGGTTATTTGTACGGTTGATATAGGCATATTTTGGTCGAATTTTCTGTCTCAGCGTAACATAATTGCAATACAATCACTATCGACAATTACGTCGTTCTTTGGCCAAATAGTACCATTTGTAGCGCAGTGATATAAGCGAATAACAGTATAAAAATTTCCTTATACTAATCAAAGAGGGCCATGCCTCATGGAACGTTCATCTTCGTCCCAGAACAAGCGTACTGGTGGTATTTGGCATCTACAGCGATTGGGTTGATCATCTCCTGGTCATTGCATAATGTGATCGCATGGATGAAAAACAAGGCCTTCATGGCACGATGGTTGTCACTCGCCTATATTGGGACCGTGTTCCTAGCCCAACCCTACTGGGGAGTTGAAATTTTCGCCAACTTTGCCTACTTCAACAACATTGATGCCGCTTTCTACGAGAGTTGCGACCATTGGAAGCACTATTTCGGTATGATCACAACGGAGGGGAATATGTTTCTTGTTTCTCTACGTCTAGTCTTATGGGCTAATATATTGGGCTGTCCAGTGACCCCTAGTGGATCTTTACGACATGTAATTTCTTTTAGGTGGTCAAGACGCATTGTAATTTTGATATCATTGATCTCGTTCGTGAATCTTCTCACTTTGGCTTCATGTTGCCATCAATGGGCCTCTCAATTGCATTTCTGATTCTTGATATTTTGAGCGTGACTGGAATGTTGCGGGTAACTACGACCTTGGGAATCAATCCTTTCTGGAAGGTGAGAGATTTCTTTCTTTTGTCACCTAGACAAAACAACATGCTGAAAGGGAGCAAATCACCAGCTGTGTTTTATTTTCAAATGCCTTTGTGACACCGTTATCCTAGACGATTTCAAGACTGTGCTCGATAAACTCAGTTCCCGGCGGATGTTACAACAAGGAATGCACCCCTTAGGTTAGTTCTGTTTCTAACTAGTCTCTAATTACTTTGTTACTTCCTATTCCCTGGGTGTAGGATGAACAAGCTCACTGAACTGATCGGACTCACATCAGACTCCAGAAATCACTTAATGTTTACCGATGAGCGCACGCTTCAAGGCGTCCACCGCAAGATCTCACCATTGAAAAGTGCAGTGAGCATTGCAAATTGTGCATAAGTCAAATATTGTTATCCGGAGAGATCCGCATAGACACGTACAATGAGAGGAAAAGAGATACACTGCAGTATGTAACGATGGAAAACACACTGCCTTGGATATGGATGCTAAACTTGAAAACTGCTGTTCAGCTGTGAAACACTTGCATGCCCGTTAACTATGCGTGTTATTTATTCTTGAGGGGCATTATCTATTCCCACGCTGGCAAAATCTCAAAAATGAGCTTGGAAAAGCGAATATTTCCCTAATTGGGAGGTCACCCTACAGAATGAGAATCTATCCCTGCCAAATATACAGAGTTTTCGCTAAAGTCCGCAGCAGTCGTGTGACGTAGCACTAATTACTTACTCCGGCCAGCCAGAGCTTGTTAGGTACCTCAATATAAGCGTCGATCATCTACTTAGATGTCCTCATTATAAACTGTAACTATATCACGAGATCCCACGCTTTACTTGGGAAATATCCCAATCCTTCCTTAGGATGGTGTTGGTTTACCTTCATTAGATCTTGCGATCTAATGAGGACAGCTAATCCAACAAGCTGACTGAGCCAGTAATACCGAATTCCTAATATTGCGACTAATCCTCCGTACGCTATAGCGCACGGATAAACTATATCCCATTCCCGCGCTGAGATATTTCCACAAGCCACCAATTGTAATATTAGAATTGAGGTTATCTAATGTTGGGCTTTTGACCAACTAGACCAAAAAGCTGCGCGCATACTAGATGATCTAGTATGGATGTAAATAGCTGGCAAAGGTGATTATGTGATGTGAGGTGATATTCCCAACATCTAACCCATCGAGGCGTGCATTTAGCGTTGTCTCGTGACGAGCGAAAGCTCCCATCCCCGTTAATGTGGCCGGTTCACTTGTGAAATTCGGAAGCAAGAAACGAGGTCCTCCATCGGACCATCGTGCTCCGGTAAACAACGCGCCCATGCATCAGAAATTGACAGGACCGGGAAAATAACGGAGCACTAGCGTGTAGATTATCGCGTGGATTCTAACCCATGCAAATGTTCGACTGACAAAGCACGCCATCAGCATCAGACGCACCTCGGGAATCGCGGGGTCTGAATTTCTAGCATCCCTCATTGGTTACAAGACTCCATAAATGAGTTCTGTGGTTGTTGTTACTCCGTACAGCGTCCGTGCTTCTCCATAAGATTCCCTTTCAGATTGATTCCCAGCCGCAATACGGAGAGAATGCACCAGAAACCAGGTTTCCCCGTATTTTAGAAACATTCTGGAAACGAGGTGACCCGCCGCCTCCTTACATGCAATTGGACGGCGAACATTGGCATCGGCCAAGGGTCTAAGCTCGGGATGCCGGCCTTCTCGAGAATCGGCAGTACTTGTCCTTTCCCATGTTGGTCTTTGGGACACCTGGAAAGACCCTACAAAAGATAACGACATCACATTGTACTTACAGTACAGACACTGAACCTTCGTGAAGGAAAAAATTCTGTAGGCGAATGTAAAAAGTCCATGAGTCTTAAGCGTCACTTGCCGCGGAACGGTCAGCGACACCGGAGTCCTCTGGCCTGCAATACGTGTCGAGAAAGACGGACAAAATGTGATGGCCAGCGGCCTAAATGCTCGTTCTGTATGCACCGGAGCAAGGACTGTTTCTACGAAGGAAACCCAGACCCTCCTTCCCTGTGAGTGAAGTACCGCGCCGCACCAAGCCAACACTCGGTCAGTTTCTAATCTAGATTTCAGTTCTGCAATAGAATTATCGAGGATTTGGAAACAGCTGGACCACATCACCCGGCTCATAGAACCCAGAGCTTACGAGCGTGCGTGCTTAATCAAGGAGCAATTGCAGGGCGATCTCTTTGACGACCAGGATCCATTGACCGGGTTCCCGATCATGACCATCAAGAACCAGTCATTCCTGGCGCTTCTCAAGCTAGATCAATCATTACCGGCCCGGCTAGAGCAGATGGAAAGGAGTCGTCAACTATATCACTCTCCTCCGTGCAGTGTCCCAGCTGTGATGATAGATTTTTCTCAGGCATTAGAGTAAGTGGCAAAGCAATCACTGATCTCTTTGGCGGTTGGCCTATAACTAACATCAAGCGTCTTGGGAATGCAGGTTTTTAAACGCGTTTGCTGAACATATCCATATTTGGTATCCGATTCTTGATGCGGATTACATGGATGAATTTCTGCAGGCGATATCAACCCCCTTACAGCCCTCCGTAGATTCTTGCCTAGCTCTCCTCGTTTTAGCTATAGGTACTCTGGCTAGACAAGAGTCGATTGCGCATGCGCAGAAGAAGCTCCCAGAAATCATATACATTCAAGCAGCGGAAGACATGCTCCCTTGCCTTCTGGCAGATAGCAGCACCAGAAGCATACAGTGTTTGCTTTTACTTAGCGTGTACTATCTCTGCCACGCCCAGCCGTGCCGAGCACATGATTTGGTGGCTATAGCCTCACATAAAATTCAAGATAGTCTGATAAAGTGAGCGCCCAGACTTGAAGGCGAAATACGCTCTTGTCTAATATTGATGGCCTATCCTAGTCAACCCAATGATGAGAATGATTTATCGCGGTCATCAATTATTGGAAATTGCTACTGGACTGCCCTTTTGATTGAAAGGTTCTGACCCCTATTCCAACAATTGCTATTAGACAATATGGCGTTAGAAAGATCGAGTTTGGCTGACTGAGTTCAAAGTGAGATCACTGTCCAGCTAAATCTGGTCGACAGTGGTATTTGGAGTATGGATTCAGTTACTACAGTCCCAGTCAGCTACGAGACCTGGATTTGGCACCCATCTCTCCCCCCAGTCAGGGCAACCGGAGATGAAACTGAAAGCATAATACATGAACAAGCTCTGCGTCACCACGACTTGTCGTATTTTATGGCGGAAATTGCGATGCGAAAGATGCTTCAACGTTGCACATCGTCTTTTCAAAGATTGTCCCAAGCCAAATTCTCATATGCGCCCGTAATTGCAGCAGAACTCGAGCGGCAGTTGCAGGAGTGGTACGATCTTCTTCCAGATGAATTGTCTCTCAGGCGTGATAACAGCGTTCCAATCCCTCCAAGTGGTTCAGCGCAAGCGGAATTCCTGCATACGCAATGTTATGCATTCAAGGTTTCAATATATTGGCCAGCGGTCTATCAGGCAATGGTTGCTGGCGAAGCCAGTGATGACCTCCTTCTTCACTGTCGGGGCTTCTTTGATAGTTACATTGAGTTCATCGCAAGTGCGGCTGTTTCTGTCAGCATATGCAAACCCAATATCTGGACATTATATGCAAGGTAAATTGTTCTATCAAAATATCGAAGGGAATTCTTACTGGCTAACCGACCGTCTCATATAGCGTGTTTACAATTTCAATGGCAGCCCTAACAGCATCAGTGGCACCGTGTCTGCTCAGTGCAGTCTCCTCTAGAGTACTGCAGAGTTTGGAAAAAGCAGTTCAGCTTTTCGGAAGCGTGACAGAAGTAAGTCCCTCACTGGCCATAATGGGGACCATTTTGAAGGAGAGAACTTTCCATCAGGCATCGCCTCCTAGTTAGGCCTGTATGAAGTCACTTGTACATTGTTCGTAGGAAGTCCACTATATTATTCAACGTTATCAGAAATAATTGTTCATGTTTGGTGTCATCTCACTCCTTATTATCAACGACCGCTCAGTGAGACCGGTTAACTCGGTAGCATTGGCAAAGAGAACAAATCGCATGTCACTGCTTCCCGTGGAGACCCTCCCATAATGCCATGCCTGATACATGTTTCCGTACCGGGGAATGGAGAAACACGAGATCTCCGTGCATTGAGATTGGCGGACAATGTACGTGATATCTACCGGATCGGTGACTAGGCAGGACCGGTAGTCAACGAGGGCGAGGAGTTCGCTAATTATATCCTTCACCACTCTCTCCAATCGGCACGTTGTCACCGAAGGTTAGGCGGATCCTATAAATATACGGAGTAACACAGGCCATACCTCGTGGCTGATTTAACGCCCAACACATAGACGTACAGCACGTAGCATTTTCAATCAAGCGCATCAAATGATAGGACTGAGCCATCGGGTGGACTCTACCTCAGAGCCACTTGCGATTGCTTTCTCTCTCTTTCGGTGAGCAATTTCGCGGACATCTCCACCCCTTCGCGTGTACACCGATCAGATTGGTTTGCGAATGCTTGCTTTCTCTCTTCCATGATCAATTTGATCAACTTCGCGGAGAGATATCCACCCGTCCGCGGGTTCACGCTACCTAGATTGTTCAGCTAAGTGCCACCTAGAGCTCTTAAGTCCTGTTTAGCTGTGACCAATGGGAGTGACTTACAGAGGTTCCCATACACTATTGTTATCCCTTGATAAATATCAAGCCGCCGCTCCCTCCTTAAAGCCTTATCACTCAAAAACCTATTCTCCTTTCAATTCTCTAAAAAATGGGGTTTCTATTCGAAAATCCTAAAGAAAGCGCTGGAAAGGTGTGGCCTGCAATTCTGATCAGCGGGTTCGTAGCGTTCGGGGGAATTCTATATGGGTGAGTTCGGTCTTTATCGACGTCCAGGACAAGATGCCTTCGGTCTCATGCTGATTGCTTTAGCTATGACACCGGCACTATCAGCGGCGTTATCGCTATGCCCTATTGGTCTCAAACTTTCTCAACCGGCTATAGAGACAGCACCGGCAAATTGACTATCACATCTAGTCAGGCGTCAGCTATAGTGTCGATCCTCTCAGCAGGAACCTTCTTCGGTGCTCTTAGCGCTGCCCCGATGGGCGACATCATTGGGCGTCGCTGGGGATTGATTGTCTCGAACGGTATCTTTGTGTTTGGGGTCGCCTTACAGACAGCTGCAACAGCCATTCCGCTCTTTCTTGCAGGACGTTTTTTTGCGGGATTCGGAGTTGGGCTTATCTCTGCACTGGGTTAGTATAATTTTTTTTCCCTCTTCTCTGTATATGTTGGATAGATAAGCGACGGGAAAAAGGACAGAAAAGAACTGAACTGACGCTTGTTGATATATACTTAGTTCCCCTTTATCAGTCAGAGACTGCTCCAAAATGGATCCGAGGGTTCATCGTAGGCTCCTATCAGTTCGCAATTACTGTCGGTCTTCTCCTTGCGTCGGTCGTGAATAATGCGACTCATGATCGAAATGACTCCGGGTCCTATCGCATCCCAATTGCAATCCAGTTCGCTTGGGCGATTATTTTGGTGATCGGTGTCCTTTTCCTCCCTGAAACACCTCGGTATCTCATCAAAAAAGACAACTACAAAGGCGCTGTAAAAAGTCTAGCTAGACTTCGTCGCCTGCCTGAGGATGATCCTGCCCTACGCGAGGAGCTTGGGGAGATCCAAGCCAACCATCAGTATGAGATAAGCTTAGGGAATGCTGGTTACCGTGAATGTGTCCGGGGAAATCTGGCAAAGCGGCTTCTTACTGGCTGTCTCCTGCAGGCTTTGCAGCAATTATCAGGTATTAATTTTATCATCTACTACGGCACACAATTCTTCAAGAACTCCGGCGTGAAAAACGAGTTTGTGATTAACCTGATCATCAACTGTGTGAATGTCGGTTCTACTATCCCTGGTCTCTACACAATTGACAAATGGGGTCGGCGACCAGTCCTGCTCCTGGGGGCTGTTGGAATGACGGTCTCACAGCTACTGGTGGCAATTCTCGGCACTACGACCACGAGCCAGGACAGCGTCGGCGACATTATCGTTAACAACGCGGCTGCTCAGAAAGCCGCAATTGCCTTTATCTGTATCTATATTTTCTTCTTCGCAGCTTCATGGGGTCCGATAGCTTGGTGAGCTCAATCTTCCTCTCAATTCTCATGCTACTTTCAATCGTCTCCCCACCCATTCTTGAGGCAGGTTTTCTAACCGGTGGGTAAAATAAAACCATACAGGGTCGTAACCGGCGAGATATTTCCTCTCAAGACCAGAGCCAAATCGCTCTCTATGACCACTGCGACCAACTGGCTCCTTAACTGGGCATTAAGCTTTTCAACGCCTTACTTGGTCAACTACGGGCCCGGGAATGCGAACCTACAATCCAAGATCTTCTTTGTTTGGTTTGCTTGCTGCTTCCTTTGCATAGCGTTTGTTTACTTTATGATCTATGAGACAAAAGGTCTGACGCTGGAAGAGGTGGACGAGCTTTATAGCGAAGTTAAGGATGCAAGAAAGAGCTCGAGTTGGAAGCCAAGCATCACCTTCATGGAAATGACAGGCAAAGCCCAGGCATTCGAACACAAGGAAGCAACAGAGGAGCAACGCGAGTTTGACAACAACCACGAAGCTTTCCCATGATCGCATAGGCAGAAGAGAGGAAAGCTAAGTGTTCAAGTTCATATACAGCTGGGAAGGGTCATCGACGGTAACTCTGAACCTCCAACAAAGAAAATATTTTGCATGGAAGGCCCTAAAAATCCAGCATAATTTTGAATTAATGCTGGCAACATCTCAAGACTGTTACATGAGAACTGGTAGACATATTGTTAGAGAATTTAGTCGCTTCAGATAGATTCGTAGGCTTCAGTAGATGCTAGTCAAACATCGTATACCAGGGTAAAATGTTAGTGTGATACATTGGGCTAAGATCAACTGAAGTGGATGGAATTTAGTTACTGGGACAGACTCTTTATTTCAGGCTGAACAGCTACATTCCCTCTAATAAAATCATCTTGTCCAGTAGTACTCCTGATCGTATGTTTACATATGTGATCGTGGCCATGATGACCAGGGAGCCGGTCATTAGATCCTGTGACCAGGCCTCCAGAATGAGCGCGGCTGGATCATCGACTGGTCGTGAAATCTTTCTTTTGACGATGATAGACGCAAGTCCCAAATCATTTGGTTGTAAATAGATACTAGAGTTACACATAATGCTGGCTGGTAGATCCGGATGACTGTTGTCAGAAAGATCGTCTTGATTCTGTCGAAGATCTACTAGCCACGTTAGGGCAATGCTTGGGCACCTACCTAGTAAGTACATCTCAGTCAATCAGAAGTCACCGTATAGGGGCTCAATTTGTTCTCATGTTTACCCCTCATGACAGCTCACAAATCACCCCGCCAAAAATGTCTATATAAACCCTGCTTGGAAACTCATGTATACACAGAGATGGAGACAACTCAATACACACAATCTTGCTAGTCACTTCTTCTTTTCTCATCCTAGTAAAACTACTATTCAGGATTGGCCCGGAGTAAACCCTCCAATCCGACAACCGTATGTGATTTTCGACCCCATGGGGTGGAGCTTCTACCTTTGTATCTGTTGGCTTTGCTACGGTCCGTATCATGAAGCATAAACGGTAGCAAGGCACGAGCACGAAGCGGCCTAATGAGCCTGACAATATGAAGCTATCTTGATTCCTAATATTGTGACTGATCCCCCAAGAGCAAGGGGGACGGCGGATAGCTAGATATATACGTGTCGGAAATTTGGTTTACTAGAGCGATGACTAAGCGAAGGCGAGCACTGAACAATATATACGTATAAGGAACTAGGTCTATTGTCCGGCACTCCTCTAAGCAGCTATCCAGGAGTCTTGAACCTGTTTTTATATACAAGATTCCATAGAAGTGATATCACCAAAAGTCGACACTTGTGCAAATCAAACTTCTAGAGGATAGCTGTAAGGTGATTGTAATGCTCAATATCGCGTCGATATATGATGCCAATTCTCGAAATTTCTTGATACGCAAATCTTGTCCTATCCCAAAATGGCTTAGCTCATCTGAGTTCCAACAATACGCGGCACGCACGTGCCACGTCGGACTACTGTAACCAATATTCGGTGCCGAAACGCGTAGGGTTGATATTCACGTTCCGACAGTATCTCATTTATTATTTCCCATGCTATGACCGGAGAGACGGGTCCATGCTTAGCTTCTCAATTTCTCCGCACTGGAAGACCTGGAGAAGGAAACAACGGTTGAGAGACTAAGTACAATAAATGAACTAATATTGGTATGGAATAGCCATCGACGTTAAAAGTTGGCCTCGCGGAGAGGAGGGCTATTCCGCGATGACTTGACCAATCATAATCGTACAAACTAGTTACCATAGCCATTAGACCTCGCTTAATCTAGCACGATAAGCTTCGTCGAGGCAAACGTTTCCATTAGGAGGAAAGAAGAAGCAGCTTCAAACAGGTCAGAGCATTATATCATCCGACTGTTCTGTGCGGCAAGACAAACTGGAATGGGATATACTACTGAGATCAAGATTCAATTGATTTATCGTATGTATGGCCATGAATGCCCATCGATCCGCCTTCTTCGCTTGCGAGCAATGCCGGGAGCGCAAAAGAAGATGTGACAAAGCCAAGCCCAAATGCTCCTCTTGCACCTACCTAGATGTAGAGTGTTTCTATAAGCCAGCTTCGGATCCTAGGCCATCACAGTACGTCTTTGCATAGTGCTCTTCAATTTCTATCTCTTGAGTGGATTAATGATATCATACCAGACTCGTCCAGGAACTTTCCAGCATTCGAGAAAGGTTGGATTATATTGCGCCATTGGTTGAAAACCTCGGGAATCCGCCTACATTCTGGAAACGCACCGAATATCTGCACCCTCAACCACAGGCTCCTCCGATCAGCATCAAATCCCAATCCCTGATGCAGACAATTGGTTTGCGGTCAGACTTTGCAGCCTTCCTCTATCAGTTAGAAAAGGCCGCACCATATACTCCTGTGACTTCCATGGAACTTAGTCTTCTCCGACTACAGGAAGACAAAGTCACCGAGTAGGTTACATGTCAATGAACAATTGAAGAAAAAAGACCAAAGTCCCTAAGTCAGTCTCGCATATAGGATTATACGCGTATTCACGGAAAGGGTTCACGTGTGGTACCCCGTTATCCATCTAAGCATCACCGATCACCTCGTTGAGACGAACAGCTCATGTTTCTCACCTTCGACCAAGTCCTGCTTAAGTCTCCTTGTTATATCAATTGCATTTATTCTGAGTACGGCACAATCAGAGTCTATCCACTTTGAAGTTGCCTTGTCAATGCTTCCAATAGTGCTCCAAGAGGACAGCGTGATCAGTATTCAGTGTTTAGTTCTCTTGAGTATATACTTTGCCTGTCGAATGCAACCACGGCAATCCTACGGCTATATCCGAATCGCATCTTTTCGTGTACAGTCCCTCCTTAGAAGGTATGTTTTACATCTCAGCCACTATGAAGGAAAACGCAGCCTTGAGGGCAAAATAGACGCGCCATATGCGGCTAACTCGCAGTCAGAAACATGTTTTCGGAGATGCCTATTGATTGCGAATTTATACAGCGTCTCTATTGGGCAATATACATGATAGAAAGGTCCGTAAGCCATATGTGTACGATTGTTTTTCCTTCACAACATAACGTGCCTAATAATAAAGCCAGCGAGATTTCAATGCATTTAAATTTATCTGCAGCGTACAGTCAGCCACGACCCGGTCGCTCCCATTCCCCTATTCCCTTTCCTACAAAACACAAGTATTGGAACATCCTTCCTGAATTGTTCCCATCTCGCTCATGGTCCACTCCGTCATCAGATCCCCCTAGTCATTTGCAGCATGATTCCCTCCACTTTTTCCAAGAACTTCATTTACAGCAATTGATAGACAAGTGCATCGACTCGGCGACAGGAGCGTCATGCACTGCCTACCCAACTGGCACGTCTTCTGTGGAATACGGCATCAGCCTGCAACGGTTATTAGATTCTTTGCCACCAATACCGCACTTCAGCGTGCTTTCAATGTCCCAGGATATGGCCACTCGCCACCAGCATGCTGCTCTTCTCCGAGCGAAATGTCACGCATACGAGATATCCAGCTACTGGCCAGCGATATATCGCGCTATTGTACTTAAATGTGTTGACTCCGAGCTACTCTCCTACGCTTCACTTTTCATTGAATCGATTGTAAACTTCTTGGATACGGCCAGTTTCGCGGTTCGGGTGTGTGCCCCAAAGTCATGGTCGCTTTCTGCAAGGTATGTTTGTGTGAAGTCACAGCCTCCTTTTTTGGGTTTGGCTAATTCTTAAATTTTGCATCTAAATAGCCTCTTTATCGTGTCCATGGTAGCTATTTGGACAGTGGATAACCTGCACCTCCAAAGCCCTCTTCCACTTAGTCTCAGGAGATATCTCAAAGATACCTTGGATACTCTCAAGCAATTTAGCGAGCTTAGCCCGTTAGTGAAACACATGGCAGAAGTGCTAGAGAATAGGTTGCAGGAGATTGATGTTCCTTAATATATCATGGCTGTAATAGGCGATTGTACGGAGCTACATGTCCTTGTTGACTAAATCAATACGAGAAAAGGAAGCGGTGAAATAGTGACGTAGAGTATGGTTATATTAGCCGGATATATGAACGATACAGTCTATTTCTTCGGGGGCTTCCTGGCCAAATAAAGTGGAGAGGAGTAAGCAAGAACTGGTTCCTTAAAAATTTGAAAACATCGTTCCTACTAGAGAATCCAATAAACGTGACCTGCTGCTACATGATCAAGCGTCACAATACACAATGTCCTTCCCATTATATGATGGTTAGTCCTCTGGGAAAAAACTGGATTGAGAGAATCCCAAGTCCAATTTAGGAGCATAAGGGCTGCATAACACAATTTCTATCATACATTTCAACTCCGATGTCCATGTAGGACGCACTTTGCTTTTGCGAAGCTGGACATTGTCGGTGGTCTCCCCTGTAGAGAAGCTGCGCATACGTGGCATTTTCGGAGGAAAGATTTGGGTCGTTATTGTGGTTTGTCCTTGTCCTCCAAAAACCTCCACGCTTGACCAATCCACAAAGATATGTAAGGTTACAGTGTTATTCAAGGCTGGGGAAAGAGGAGCATAGTAGACACTTGCGAGTGTGCTGTCGAATGAGACATCTCCGGATTTCGTTCGATCGATGAACACCTGCTGAGTAGTGGAGTCATGTTGACTGAAATCCTCAGAGGCTCGAACAATGATTCCAAACTTAAAGCTTCCAGCCGGAGAACGTCAACTGAATATCTACTGCTTTCCCGATATCACCTAGGCTGTGGATACCAGTCACGGAAGGGAAGGTCAATACACTCCCACTCTGGCTAATAGCCTTCCAGCTTTCTTCAGGCTCTTGAACCACTGCTATCCTCTGATCGACTGTTTTCAACAAAAGCTAACGAGGAATGGCCATTGCACTGCGCCAAGGGCTCGTTGGTATGGCCGCGCCGTACTGCCAGTTATTCATCCAGGAGATAATCGTCCGTTGATACTGAGGGATGCCATTGTAGCTTTGGGCAGCGTAGAAGTCTGGACCCCAGTCCAGCCAGTTTGCGTTGTCATTCGTGGCGCGGGAGTTGGCAAAAGAGATTTCGCCAACGTTGATATGGCCCCAATCCCCGGTCGCGAGGTCAATGATCTCAATCACGGCACTTTGATTCTGAAAGGCACCAACATCCCAGTTTTGCCAGGTAAGTGTTCACTATTGGATCCAGTTGTAGCGTGCACAATATTACCATCGATCTTGAGGCGAATCGCGGTTTGGTTAATATTATCCCCTCCTCCGACGAGCAAGTTTATGTAGTTGTACGAGATATCGAAGGAAGGGGATGTCAGAATTCCCGTAGTTGAATCAACATTTAAGAAGGTGTTCACCAGCTGATTTCCGAGGAAGCCTGTCACCGGGTTCTGACCTGGCAATGTACCGGCCACGGGGGAGGTTCCTATCAAGTCGCCAGTAGCCACCCATCCGCGATCGGCAAAGGAACGGTTTCCCTCGAAATCTTCAAAGACAATACTACCATCGGAAGGCCACCGCCATGAATACTGTTCAAGTCCGGTATGGATATGGACCCGTTAAAGTCGCCCAGAAAGCACTGAATTCCCGAACCCACAGTCCCCGGAGGGCCTCCAGGATTGACACCAACGATAGCAACCCATTCGACCTTTGAGTCATCCCCATCGACATGCAACGTAAAAAGGTTTGGACACTCCCAATTACCTCCAACGGCATTAAAAGGTCCAAATTCACTCTCCAAGTTCCATTGCTTGAGACTTTGGGGATGTATATATGAGGAACTTATGAAGTTTTGCGAGACTGATATAGCCACCCACTTTTCAATAGGCTCATACCAAAAGATATTGGGATCACGGAAATCAAGGTACTGGTCTTGGTATGGACTAGGAGGATCCAAGATGATAGGGTTGCCATCATCGTAGGTAGTCCATGTTGCCCCATGATCCAGACTATAGGCAATGGACTGCGCTTGCTGTTGATCGCGAACTTGCTTTCCGCTCGGCAGAACTTGGTGCGACGGATACTAAATAGAAATTTTTGTGGGTACATAGAACTGCCAACCTCGATCTCGTATGACACTCACAAAGGACGTATACATGGCGACCCATGGAGCATGTCCCTTGCCGAAACCACTGGTATTGTGTTCGTCGATGACGACATTTCCAGAAAAAAACATTTCTGTACTATTATTGGGGTATCCACGCGCGAGAAAAGCAACAGGCTGTTCCTTCCAATGAGTAAGATCCTCACTAGTGGCATGGCCCCGGGACATCGCCCCTCAAGTGTTCCCGCCTGGATTGTACTGGTAATACATATGGTAGGTACCATCAGCATACACAAGGCCATTGGGATCGTTCATCCAGTTCTGCACTGGGGCGTAATGGTATTGGGGACGGTAAAGTTACGTAAATGATTCCTTCGATTGGACTGCATCGACGTGGAAGACAAATGCCCCCAGAAGAAGCACCTCCAACTGCATGCCGAACTTCATCGCTTTCATGTTGAAATGTTTGCATGGACGAGGAATATGGGAATTATTATTTGGCTGCTCGAGGGAGGCAGACATTCTCTCTGGTTTATATTTGCCTTCCAGGGAAGACTCTCAATTCAGGGACGAAACGATAAGGAGTTGTCGCCTCGGCTATGTCCTCGCCAGTGGAGAGTGTGTGGGTTTGCCTGCTAACTTGACTTTGGCCTGAAGTCTTTTATGGAGACCACAGCCATGCAACCGCGACCTAATTTCTCAACGAGCAGAAAGAGAATAACTGCTTGTAGCTTACAATACGATCTGTAATTTCGCGGAGCATATCTGAGACTCCGCGAACACCGCCCCCGCAATGTCTTATCCCACAATTTTACCCCAGGATTTTCAATTCAGAGATGATTGTGCACCCGAGATGGAGATTAATCGGTTATTACATTCTGTTTACTCATCCAAAGCGTATTTTATCTGTTGTGCGTTTATAACTTACAGCATAATGGGAGGTTTCGCGGAACATACCTGAGATCCGATAATCATTACATATACCAGATGCCCTCCGCGATGCATTATCCTACTTTTTTAATTAAAAATTTCCGGATCATGGAGATCTTATGCAACCAAAGACCGAGGTTATGGGTTATGTTACATTCCTATTTCCTCAACCAAGGCGTGGCTTTCTCTCCTTTGCGTTTTACGATCATAGTAGTTTGACTGTCAGAATGAGATACGAAGAAACAAACTTATTTTTTTGTAGGTTCAGGCATGTGCTTGAGATAGTCAAGATCGTCATTAGAAGACTGATATTGGGAGAAAGATATTGACTGTTATTATGGAAATATATATATATGTATATTCTCATCACGTCCTCGACTGCAGAGAATGTAATTGTTTCTTCTCCCTACTCTATCTTAACTTTCCTTTTTTAACGAGCCCAGAGCTACTAAGTCCCTCCACAGCTGTATCCCAAATCATGATTTTTCAAAAAAGTACCGTGACAATCAAAACCCTTTCATTAGCTCTAGCCCTCGTTGGACCTGCGGTTGCGGATGACTATCGTCCAGCTTTTCATTTCTGTCCGGCGGAGAACTGGATGAACGAGCCTAATGGGCTGATTAAGATTGATTCAACATGGCACCTATTTTATCAGGCTGACCCAACAGCAAATGTTTGGGGTAATGAGTGTTGGGGCCATGCAACTAGCTCCGACCTACTCCATTGGGATCATTTGCCCGTCGCCATTCCAGTCGAGAATGGAATTGAATCCTTTACTGGCACCTCTTATTATGACGGCGATAATACGTCTGGCTTAGGCACATCTAGCAATCCGCCGTACCTGGCCTTTTTCACTGGGTATACCTCTTTGAACGAAACACAGGACCAGCGCCTTGCTTACAGCACGGATCTTGGAACAACATGGTTTAAGTTCCCCGGCAATCCAATTATATCGGCACCTCAGGAAGCACCTCATGATACGACTGGAGGGCGCGAGAGTCGTGACCCTAAAGTATTCTTTCATGTTTCGTCAGGGAAATGGGTTATGGTCCTTGCGCATGGTGGTCAGGACAAATTAACATTCTGGACGTCTTTAGACGCCAAAAGCTGGACGTGGGTGAGTGAGCTGCTATCATCCCAGATTGAGGGATTTTCAAATAGTATCAGCGGATGGGAAGTGCCGGATATGTTTTAACTTCCCATTCAAGGCACCAACGAGACAAGTTGGGTGGTGATTTTCACACCAGCTCAGGGATCCCCGCCTGGGGGCAATGGTGTTGTGGCGCTAACTGGGTCCTTTGACGGGGAAACATTCGTGGCTGATCCTGTGGACTCTTCAACATTATGGCTAGACTATGGGCGCGATTTTGATGGTGCGTTGAGTTGGGAAAACGTACCTGCATCGGATGGTAGGCGCATTATCGCCGCCGTGATGAATAGTTATGGTTCAAATCCTCCTACCAATATATGGAAAGGGATGCTCTCCTTTCCGCGGACGCTGACCCTCAAGCGAATCGGTTCCAAGCAGTACTTCCTTCAGCAGCCAGTCGCTGAGTTAAGCACAATCGATAGCACTCTCACAAGCATTCAGAATCAAACAATTGCGCCAAACCAAACGCTACTTTCTTCCATTCGTGGAACTAGCTTAGATGTTCGGATTGTTTTTCGCATTGATTCAGGTGCCACTCTGTCATTAGCAGTCCGCAAAGGGGGATCTGAGCAGACGGTTATCCGATATTCCCAGTTGAACTCAACGCTCTCTGTTGATCGAACGGCGAGTGGAGATATCTCTTATGACCCAGCAGCGAAGGGTGTCCATAGCGCGCAACTGGCACAGGAAAACACTGAGCTAGTTCACATCTGGGTGTTAGTCGACACATGCTCCGTGGAGGTGTTTGGAGGGCAAGGAGAAGCAGTTATATCAGACCTTATATTCCCCAGCAACTCTTCTGACGGCTTATCTTTGGAGGTGTTTGGAGGGACGGCCACATTTCAGTCTGTGACGGTGTCCTCAGTCTCACTTTGATTGAGATCTTCTGTGGCCGCTGACAGCTAGGTATAGTGGCAGCGCTCAGAAAGCTACACTTTGTGGAAGTCCTCTGTTTATTTTTGTTCTTTGTGCTCGCCGTTGCTTGCTATATTTGGTGTCTCACTCTTTCTTTGCTGTCCACACACAATATCTGCTATGTCGAATTAAAAACTCTATGATGGGCTGGATGAAGCTTATAAGGAGCTTGACCTGCCACCTTAGTGCTCCATAATGCATTATATATTACTTGACTACCATTGATCGTGGAAGTAGTGTCGCTTAACATCGAATTGATAAATGTCCAGTGAGTAACACTGTTGTTCGCTAATTTACTTCCATTTCTTTAAAAAATGCGGCAACCGCTCTGATTATCGCAATGTTTTCTATGAATTGCCTGTGATTCACCATAGGTAGTACCTCCAAGAGTTCAGTATAATTTCTGTCTGTCTCAAATGTTAACATAGATATGTTATTTTGGGTCCAAGGCAACCCGGAGTACGGATATTCATTCGAGCCATAGCTGCGATTGTTCTCAGAAACAACGGGTCTCAAGTGTGCAAGAAATTAATTTGGCGTTTGAATTTTTGATGTCACTGCAATGCTTGTCGGGTTACACTTCAGGAAATCGAGAAGCGAGAAATGAGCAGAAGGTTCAGCCAGGGATATGAAAGGGAGCAAATCTCCCTTTCCATGTGCTTTCTACCATGAGACTAAAGCTGCTCTTCTTTATAGTAACGTATCCAACAACAACGGTTTCTCAATTCCACCGGCTCCCAAACACGGCATCCAGCTCCCAGAAACCATCACCCCATTCTCAGGCTATCACGCCTTCTGACAGTCCGAGTCACCCGCAGTCCTTGCGGTAGTCTACCATCAAGGCTGGTATGTTTCTCACAGATACCTTCAGGTCAGGATCCCGCCTTGGCTTCTATAAAGGATATTAGGTAGGTTGACTTTACGATTACTTGTCGCGTCGCCTCCCCCCACCCTAGACCGGGTGGTGGTCGGCCCGGACTCAAGGGCCAGAAGATATGAAGTCTCATGTAAAATGTTTTACAGTCCACCAACACCATATAAATTGCATATAAAAAATAGAGAGGTGTTAAATACAAGCATTGTTCACTTATTTCCTTGAGTATCAAAGAAAAAACCCGCTGTTTTGAGGCTCTATTGAAGCCGCTTCTTCCGTCGGCTGCGGCACGCCAACAGCATGGCTCATAGATTTTCAACAAATCCCCATCATGACGGCGTTTTATGAGGCGATTCGCATCTTTACATAAAGTGCACCGCTCGCTTTGACTTGTCGCTTTGTAGTTTTTTGATTCTTGCGCGTTGCTGTATCACGAACCTTGGCAAAGCTCTCACGGTGTAGATCGCCTAATTCGGCCAAGGTGGGACTACCTTGATTAACCACTTTTATACGGCGTGAAAGGCCCGGGCTTACTTCATCAAGAATATCCTTTATGCTGTCAATCGATTTTTCAATCTTATTGACATAGCGACGTAGTTTTACGGCGGTTGACGGTGGAGATATTGATTTTGTAGTTGGTGAGCTGGGAATAGTGTCATCCGCCTCGCCATATATTTTTAGTGCATCCCCTTCAGCAACAAGTGCTTCAAATGCTTCATCTGGCTGAAGCATCATATCAAGTATAAGCCGAGGATTAAGAGGCCAAATTCCTCGCTCTCTCCAGCCGTGCCGAATTGTTCGTGTGGTAAATGTCTTTATCCGGATATCGCGTAATTCTTCAAAAAAGTCGTTTTTATCAAAATCGAAGCCACCTAAGCGTGAAATCTTGTTCACAACCCGTCCATGAACATGTTTATATTGCTGAAATGGCACTCCATCGAGTGGTTGTAAAAAATGCGTAGAATGAGGCGGAAATCGGAATGGGCGAATGTGCCAAATTTCACAATATTGCACGAACTGTATAGTAAGATGAGTTGTATGATTATCCATAAGAAGTAACCGCCAATCCGGGAAGGCCCCGGGCCTAGAGAAGTGGTCAAAGTGTTGAAGCCATTTGAATGCGATCTCATCTGTGATAAATCCATTCGAAGCAGGTGCAACTAGCCAGTCGTCATCTTTTATATGCCGGTACCATTCCTCCAAATGGACCTTGCCTTTTGGAATCAATAAAGGTGGTATAATCTTTCCTTCGGCGTTTATACCCTCAATGATAGTAATTGATTCTCGAGAGGACAGGCTAGATACCCTTTTTGATGTTTTTGGATATGCTGTTACCACCGCTTCATCTTTTCCTTGTCCAACAATGAACCCGGTCTCGTCGAAGTTCCACAGATTTTGAGGGCGAATTTTTGTATTGTTGTATAGCGAGCACGAAGTCAATAAACGAGCGCTCAACCTCACCATAATGCTCTGCAACGGTACGTCCCTTTTCTTGAGATTTCTGAACGATTCGTACATACTGTTTTGGCAGGCGCTTGATAAAATCGTGTACCCAATTTTTTCCGGCGAGAGGGGGCTCTCCTTGACCCCTGAAATCTTTGCCGAGCAAATAATTCGCACTTTCCTCAATTTGCTGATTCGTAGGAGGCGCGCCTATATTATCTAGATAATCAATCCATAGAATAAGTGCCTTTTCTTGATCTAGAGATAATAGGCGCCTCGTAGGTGGGCGTGTTGAGCGAGAGGGAGAGGGTAAGCCATGCCACCGACGAGACAGTTTTTTGCGAGACACCCCATATTCACGCGATGATTTGCTAAAATTCGGTTTTTTTTTTGTGTTGGCACGCACTGAGGGCCTTTGCAATCAATTCCTCCTCTTCTTTATATAATTTAGGGGTCATTTTGGCTCCGGTTTTGACGTTTGTAAATGCCGAGTTGTGATTTTGAAGATTTTGGCCCTTGAGTCCGGGCCGAGACCACCACCCGGTCTAGGGTGGGGGAAGGCGACGCGACAAGTAGAAGGTTCAAGAGACGTCGTTCCATATGCAAGTGCTGTACAAAATTCTTTGGGGCTATTCACAGAATATACGGAATCCCAAGCTTCCAAGATTGTAACAAAGCATCCCTCATGCGTATAAAGGATGGGCACCACCGAGCGGGAAGAAATATAGAGCTATTATGGTAACTAGAGTTTGATTAAGAAAGATTTAGCAAATTTTGTAAAAAAATGACTACACACCTAGAAGTGATTATTTACATTCCCTTCTAAATGTGCTCACTCATGTTGACCTATATATCAATTGGTCAAAGAGGGCCAGGTGTATTATTAGTTGGGAATTTAGTGCTATTTCACAGCATTATGGGAGTTAGAGCAGTTATGCAAGGTCCTTAGACAATATTGATACCCGTCGCTTCACCTCCCCCCACCCTATTCGGACTATAGGGTGGGGGGAGGTGAAGCGACGGGTACACAATAGATTTTAGCACCAGAACCTTAAGCAATTCAAGCTCATAGGTGGGCTAAGGTCTGACCCTGCCCCTCCTATAGATTACCCGTCTCGTCGCTTAGCCTCCCCACCTAGCGGTTGGGAGTCTGCCGGGGCTCAACGTACAATATTTGTGTAAAATGTTATCAAGTCCAACAACGCCATATATTTTATATATAAAAACTAAACAAATAAAAATACTGTATACGATTTACCTATTACCCGTAGTATCGATAAAAAAGCCTGGGGTTTGAGGCGCTGGAGCCTCCTCTTCCTCACCCTGTTGCCGCTCTCCAAGGATATAGCGTTTATGAATTTTCATCAAATCTCCATCATGGCGGTGTTTTATGAGGCGGTTTGCATCTTTTACATAAAGCGCACCAACGGCCTTAACCTGGCGCTTAGTTCTTTTTGCAGCCTTACGTTTGGCAGTATCACGAATCTGTGTGAAGTTCTCACGGTGTAGCTCACCCAAATCAGCCATTATAAGACTGCCTTGGTTAACCGTTTTTATACGGCGTATGAGGCCCGGGCTGCTCTCATCTAAGATATCCTTTATGCCATCAAGTGATTTCTCGATCTTGTTGACATAGCGACGTAGTTTTTGCACAGATGAAGGAGGTGATATCGACTTGATGGTTGGTAAGCTGGGAATCGTATCATTATTCTCACCATAGATTTTTAACGTATTCCATCATCAATAATCGCATCCTCAGGTTGGACCATGAGGTCTAATACAGCGCGAGGATTGTAAGGCCAAATCCCACGATCTTTCCAACCATGGCGGATAGTTCATGGTGTAAAGGTCTCTATCCGGATATCGTGTAGCTCCTGAGAAAAGTCATTTTTATCAAAATCGAAGCCACCAAGCCGAGCAATCTTATTCACCACTCGTCCGTGAACATGTTTATATTGTTGAAATGGGACTCCATCAAGCGGTTGTAAAAGATAAGTAGAATGCGCAGGAAAAGCAAATACTTGAATGCGATACATTTTGCAATAATCAAGAAACGGTATCGTGAGATGAGTTGTATGATTATCCATGATCAATAACCGCCAATTCTTACCATCATCCGTAAACCAATTAAAATGTTGTAACCATTCAAATGCAATCTCATCCGTGATAAAGCCATTTGAAGCTGGTGCAATAAGCCAATCCTCATCTTTTATATGCTTATATCATTCCTCCAGATGTACAACACCCTTTGGGATAATTAACGGTGGTATAACCTTTCCTTCGGCGTTTATAGACTCAACGACGGTGAGAGATTCGCGAGAAGACAGACTAGAAATTCTTTTTAATGTTTTTGGGTATGCTGTGACCACTGCTTCCTTTTTTCCTTGTCCAACAATGAATCCGGTCTCGTCAAAGTTCCATAGATTTGCAGGTGTAATTTTGAGGTTATTCATAGCGATTTTTAAGTCAATAAACCACCGTTCAATTTGCCCGTAGTGCTCAGCGGCCGTACGATCGACTTCTTGAGGTTGTTGTACAATTCGTTGATATTCTTTTGGCAAGCGCTTAAGATATTCATAAACCCAGTCCTTGCCAGCCCTTCGTGGCTCACCCACCGGTCCAATCCTTCATAATCAAACAATTCGCGTTTTCTTCGATTTGGCGTGGTGTAGGTGCGGCGCCCATATTATCTAGATATTGATGCCATAAGAAAAGCTCTTTTTCTTGATCAATTGATAATAACCTATTCGCTGCGAGTCGGGTTGAGCGAGAGGGTGTCCCGTTAATCCGGCGATAGAGCCTCGGGCGAGAAACTCCAAATTCACGCGCTAATTTCGAGATATTTTTTATTTCCGTGTTTATACGCGTGAACAGCCTTGGTGATTAATTCCTCCTCTTTTTTGTATTGCTCAGCAGTCATTTTTGCGGTGTTTTGGACGTTGGAAAATGCAGGGTTGCGATTTTTACAATTTTGTACGTTGAGCTCCGGTGTACGTTGAGCCCCGACAGACTCCCAACCGCTGTTAGATAAACCGGATATCCAGCAAGACAGTGTCAGATAATTCGGATATCCGGAGGCAGTAAAAGGAAGTGAACAATCAGAAGCCCTATCTTATAGCCCCCAAAATTTACCCCTCTTGATGACTCACAAATCACCCCGCCAAAAGTGTCTATAAAGGACCTGGCTTTGAAACCTGAGGGATAGAGAGATACAGAACTCAATACATACAATCTTGCTAGTCACTTCTTTTCTTTGATCCTAGTAAAACACTCTTCAGGATTGGCCTGGAATAAACCGACTAATCCGACAACCGCTAGGTGGGGAGGCTAAGCGACGAGACGGGTATAGTTAAACTTATGACTTGTAACGTAACGTACTACACGGGTCATTGGGCCACCTTATCAATTCTTGTTGGAGATGTGGAACGGTGTAATAACACGGTAACACTTCCTTTTTCTCGCAAATTCTATATCAGCGTATCTCTTGATTGATTCCTCCCTCTGTCTATTTCTAACATGGGGAATTCTCCTCTATATCGAAGAATCCAAGCCCCTCGCTATAAAACGTGTCTTTCCTTAATTGGCTGACCAACTAGCCAACTAGGGGCCGACTCGAAGTCGATTCGACACCTCATATTATCTAACAAGAGGCATCGCGCGCCTACAATATGAGGCTTGCAACAAGATCCACGATCCTTGCCAATACTTTGTTCCCAATCCGGTAAGGCCTGGATAGATTACCGAGTTTGCAACAATTCTTCACCGCCGCCACCGCCAATTGTAATGACCGGGTTGTTGAACGATAGTTCGAGTACGAGGGTATGGGTTACGGAACACTTGAAGAAGCGAATACTAAGGAATCCACACACAAGAGATACGAACTAAGATAGAGCAACAATAGCAGATGGTACGAGTGAAATTGTACGAGAATAATCGCTTGACCTTCGAGGATTCCCTGCGAAGATCTACGCTCTATATACACAAGCGCTCATGCACCGGTCAGGCGCCGAGAGGGGTAAGGAATATCTAGATAGCGCTGTTGTCATTATCCGTGAGGGCTTCGCCCGAACATACTCATGAGGTCAGCTCATAACACCTTACAGTTAATCCGCTGGAATTTGAATACCTTCTTATCCCTGAATGCCCACTTTTGGATGCTATTTCACTAACATGCCACTTAAAGGTTAGTTTTTTTATTATAGAGAATTCCTAGCCAACGTAGATATGGGCGTTTAGTGTTTTCTAAGACTATAATTAATCTAGCTTTTACTGAGGGTGTGCAGGTCGGATCCTGGTCTGCTTTATGTCGGGAAAAGTGAAGGAGCTTGTATTTATCTGGTGCAAATATAATACCCTCTGCAGCGCCCTAGTCGAGAGCTTCTTGAAGAGTCTGATAAGGCTTTGCAGTTAGTAGCAAGAGATGGAGAGATCGCTAGGTCAGCTGCGTCATCCGCGTAGTCAAATCTGTTCCTTGGGTTTCCTAGACGGAATAGAGGCGCTATGTAGAGCATAAAGAGAATACTGGTTGTCAGATATCAGGGAATCAGGTTGCTCCGTAGGTCCTCCTGCATAGTAATCAGGAAAATGACCACTCCGAATATTCTAGAAGTTGAAATTAAGCCTTTTTGGGACGGGCCTGGCAGCTGTATCGCGTTGGCTCCTTGTCGGAGCCTTAAGCCCTAGGGAGTTCCAAATCGGGATATCTCTTTGTCTTCACAATTTCCCGATTAGGCTCCGACGAGAGCCGTGCGCACACATACAAAAGTGATCTCTGCCCGCGGCTGAGCGTGCTCCTTTCCTTTTTTTCCTCATGCTTAGTTTTTGTTCGACCAGTTACCTCTTAGGATAGAGAATGAACTCCATCACATAGCAGGCCGTCGCATTTTGTACGCCTCGCTCGACAGGTCTCGCAGGTGAGAGCACCCCGACGCCTTCGAGAGTCCGCGGTGGAAGGCATGCCCGACCTCACTTTGCGAGTTTGCCTGAATTGCTTTTTGCTCCGAGATTGAGCTGGTCTCAACGCCGAGCGTAGTACATGCATGATATAGATTGAGGTACCGCCACTACCTACGGAGTACACAGGCCCGGTTTACCGAAATTTAATCCTACCATGAGATACTCGTATGATATCGGACCTATAAGAACACGCCCTAAAACATTTTTCGAACGCTAAAGGAAAGCTACCCCACAATGGAACAGATAGAACAGAAAGTTTCATGCGTATATTACCACCGGAACCAATTCTGAGATTAAGCGCAATGGACAACACTAAGCAGGTGTTTCAGTGACAGACCGTCCCGGGTGTTCTGGAAAGGATGCTCAGCGCCAAAGGTTGGATGGGCCCTATAGTTTAATTTCTGTGGACCAGAAATAGTAGTTAATCAACTGCGCAGAATTGAGACAAAGAAGGAAACCAGGCCTACCTAAGCGAATCGCTCTACTCCATTCCGTGAAAACCACCTAGAGCTGAGTTTGTCCAGCGCAGTCTTAAAATCGTCCTGGATAATCGTGTCGCAGAGACATTTGAACAGAAAACAGAGCTATAAATTGTTTACAACCCGTCAGTGTCCATCGGTCAAGGGCTTTTAGGCTCTAGGTTCAGGTACAGGGGGACTACGCAGTATTCACCTTCCAGAATGGATTGGTCCCCAAGGGCATCGCCGAGCGGAGAGCCCCAGTAACGCTCGCAATGTCCGCTCCCATACATGCGATGGAGAGGCACATGGATCCCAGCATCAGGCCAAAGCGCGGACATTCCTGCACTAACTCCAAGATGCCGAAATTGTAATAGGTTTTGACCACCCAGAAAAGATTACAAGTTGTGTATATCCACCAGGGATCGCTGCTCGCCGAAATGGTCAGCCCGCCCTCACAACGCAAGGCATGGAAGCCATGCAAAAAGTCATGTATTCTTACCGGAAGAGTGCTTCCCACGGCCGGATCTTCTCATAGACTAGGACATTAATATTGTTGAAGTAGGCAAAATTAGCGTAAATCTCAATCGCCCAGTACGGCTGGACCAGGATAATTGCCCCAATATAGAACAGCGAAAGGCGGCGGCCCATAAACAGCCGGTTCTTCATCCAGGAAATCACATTATGCAGTGACCAGGAGATAATCAGTCCAGTTGCTGTCGACGCCAGATACCAACCGTACGCTGGTTCGGGGACAAAAGTGAAGGTTCCGTGGGCCATGGCCAGGATCAACTGCAATTGGTGAGTTTTCTCGTAGAGACACCGCTGATGAGCAGCGATCGGGACTCAGAATAATACCTCTAGCAAGATCAACTTATGCAGCAAAACACCAGCCCGCTTGTTTGCAATGGTGATTGCGGCCATGATGACTAGCGAACCAGTCATGAGCCCCTCTGACCAGGCCTCCAGGCCCAGAGCATTTGGATCGGCAACCGGCCGATGGACGTCTCTCTTCTCAAAGAAGAGCGCCTGTAGGGGTGGCACTATGATGAGCGCCCCATGGGGTTATGCGGACTTGGACTGAGTCGACTCTGTGCCTAGCCCTGGAACAGGGTTATTTATGGGTGGGGAAGAAAAAAAGAATGGGGAAAGGGACTGCCGAGATCTAGCTATTCCAAAATCTGGATAATCAGAATTTAGAAATTTAAACCAGCTCCGCTGGTGACCAATGAGTGAGCATCGCGGAGAGAAAAAAAAACTCCGCGATGTCTATCCCCACATCTCAACAACCTACGGAGTACGTATGGGGTGGTCAGGTTATGATCGGGTTTTCTTGGCTGTGGCCAAAAAATCATCCCAGCCGCGAATTCTCTAGAAGAATACCAATCCGGGATAGTGCTGGTTGTGGGGTTATACTTTTGCTCACATGATTATTCTCGAGGAGGACCTCAAGCCAGTTATGATGTTGCATTGCCGGAGATGCTCCAGGGGTCACACGGCCCGTGTGCTGTTGCTGTTGCATCCGATACAGAGGGCACGCAACCGTACTGCTCCTTACCGAGAGCTGATCGCGGAGAAAGCCCCACTCCTCCGCGTCCAAAACCCCGAAGACAGTCGTCGTCCCTCAGTAACACGCTTGTTGAACTACTGTTATCACACCAACGCAATTCAGAAAATGGTGGTACGTCGGTTCTCTGTTGAGAGGTACCCCACTTCATATGTGGTCTCCACGTTGTTGAACCCGGGGATTTGTTTCCCTATAAGAAGTACATCTCCCTCCTTCAATCCTCTTTCATTTCTATCTGCATCTTCTTCCCCAGTCTCGCATATTCTGGCTTGATTGCACGCAATTGACCTACCAGGCTTGCTCTTTGCCTCAAGTTCCTGTACCTATCATCGATACATATATATATTTACATCTGATTCGTTGCAAGCATGGGCATCTTGCTTAGACAGCCCGAGGGGACCGCGGGGAAGGCGTGGCCTGCCATTCTAATCAGCGGGTTCGTCGCCTTTGGAGGTATCCTATTCGGGTAGGTTTTGACAATTTCCCCCCACTCAAGTGTCTGAGTACGAGCTGGAGCTCATCGTTGGCGCAGCTATGATACAGGTACAATAAGTGGCATTCTCGCCATGCCGTACTGGGATAAGACATTCTCTACAGGCTACAGAGACACCAATGGCAATCTTACCATCACCTCCAGTCAATCTTCAGCCATTGTATCTATTCTATCTGCGGGTACCTTTTTTGGCGCACTTGGTGCTGCCCCCATGGGGGATTTCGTCGGTCGTCGTTGGGGATTGATCGCCTCAACCGGTGTCTTTTCGTTCGGAGTTGCCTTGCAGACCGCTGCAACTGCAATCCCTCTTTTCCTAGCGGGGCGTTTCTTTGCAGGCTTCGGTGTCGGTTTGGTCTCGGCTTTGAGTGAGTTCCTTCTCTATCCTGCGTCATGAGTTGTCTCGGCACTAACGAGAGTGTGTTTTTATTATAAGTCCCTCTTTACCAGTCTGAAACTGCCCCGAAATGGATTCGTGGCTTTATTGTTGGCTCGTATCAATTTGCCATCACAGTCGGTCTTTTGTTGGCCGCTGTGGTGAATAATTCCACTCATTCACGTGATGATACTGGTTCTTATCGTATTCCAATTGCGGTCCAGTTCGCATGGGCCATTGTTCTAGTGGTTGGCATGCTTATCCTTCCAGAAACACCCCGCTATCTGATTAAGAGAGATAACCACCAAGCGGCTGTCCGGAGCCTCGCCAAACTCAGACGTCTTCCTGAAACTGATCCTGCGTTGCTTGATGAACTTGCCGAGATCCAGGCCAACCATGAGTACGAATTGAGCATTGGAAGTGCTGGTTATTTTGAATGTTTCAAGGGTAATCTTGGGAAACGCCTTTTGACTGGATGCTTCCTCCAAGCCCTCCAACAGTTGACTGGTATTAACTTTATCTTTTACTACGGCACGCAGTTCTTTAAGAACTCTGGATTCAAGAATGAGTTTGTCATTAGTTTGATTACTAGCTGTGTTAATGTCGGTTCTACTATCCCCGGTCTTTATGCTATTGACAAGTGGGGGAGACGCCCAGTCTTGCTCACGGGAGCAATTGGCATGACCGTGTCTCAGCTGCTCGTTGCCGTCCTTGGAACGACTACCACCAGTCAGGATGCGCTTGGAAATATTATTGTCCATAATCAAGATGCTCAGAAAGCAGCTATTGCTTTCATTTGTATCTACATCTTCTTCTTCGCTGCGTCTTGGGGACCTATCGCATGGTATGTTGAACATGACTCCTTCCGGTGGCCGTTTCCATATATATACACATATGGCTAACCAGCTTAAAGGGTGGTGACAGGAGAGATCTTTCCTCTTAAGGTCAGAGCCAAATCTCTGTCCATGACTACTGCTACCAATTGGCTGCTTAACTGGGCTCTGAGTTTCTCTACACCTTACTTGGTCAACTATGGACCCGGTAATGCGAACCTACAATCCAAGATTTTCTTTATCTGGTTCGGCTGCTGCTTCCTCTGCATCGCTTTTGTGTACACCATGATCTATGAGACCAAGGGCTTGACCTTAGAGGAGGTTGATGAGCTTTACAGTGAGGTCAGTTCTGCTAGAAAGAGCGTTGGCTGGAAGCCAACCATCACCTGGACCGAGAAGAAGGAGAAACCAAACGCATTTGGAGAGAAGGGCCTAGACGGAGAACATAGAGAATTCCATGATCAAGCACTTGCGGATGCTTAAGGGAAGTATCCTTGCTGGGATTGTGAGTGTTAAATGGCGATGAAGGTTTTCCTGGCTGATATAATTGAGGGGGAGTACTGTGGAGATAGTCATTAAGCGATCCTGCTTTCTGGATGGGCTTCAGTTGGATTTCTCTCGAGGCATCATCGTCCTAGTTTGTAAATGATAAAGCTCCAAGCACGACAAACTGGATAAATGCAGCCATTCAATCTTCGCCTCTTTATTACTGATCATGGTAGGGAAAGAAAAAAGGCAAATCAAATACAATACAAGATATCACCAGATCTGTTAACCTGTCATATGATCATTACCTAAATGTTTTAGAAATCCCAATGATAATAACATCATGTAATTAACAAGTATGCGTTGTTTTAGCATTTCAAGCGAGTCAAGGCCGAATCTTCTCGTAAATATACTACATAGTGACAGCAGTCGGTTTACAGCACAATGTTTTCCAGTTGATACTCTTCAATAATTCGGTAGCTTGGAACAGTACAGCAGTTTGAGGTATCTTCTGCTCGTGCCTGGTCGTCCTGGGACGAATATTGAAGGGATTACTTAATCATGAGAGAATGTGGCGAAATTAATTATTCGTTCTGTCTGATTCTTTCACTGAGTTTACTCTGGTAAGGTACGAAACATCTGACAAATTGAGGTCTTATAACGGTGTTTGGAGCCCACCAGAAACAACAGTCAGATACCAGTGGCTGCTGGTTGGTATATGAAGGATTACAAGGATGTCTATTTTTGCTGTAGTTTCACCTCAGGGCAGTCAGTGTCCTGTAAGTTTCAGAAGTCCCAAATTCGTACGTTGTCCCTTAATCATCCTCAATGTTGCCCGACTCTACGAATTTATCGTGTACTTGTATATTAGTCCCTTAAAGCTTCCACATCTGCTCTTCCGACCAGTATACATTCCTTTGGCTACACTAGAAAATTATATACATAGCAGAGGGCCTTACATTCACCCAATCCTGTCTAATCGTCCCAGGCTGAAGAAATGTTATTGATGCTAACCCGGACATTCTGAGTACTTCCCCCCGTGGAAAAGATCTGGGCGTAACTGGCAATATCGTTCGGGAATATTTGGGTGGTGATTGTCGTTTCGCCTTGGCCTCCGAAGACCTCAACGCTGGACCAGTCCACATAAATCTCCAGGTTGATTTGACCCTTGTCATCAGCAGCCAGGGGAGCGTAATAAATGTCTGGAAATGTCCCATCGAATGAAATGTCGCCAGATTGGGTCCGATCGATAAAGAGTTCCTTGGTTGCAAAGTCATAGCCAACTCGTGTCTGTTGCTTGCTGTCTGGAGTAGCCCGAACAGCGATTCCGAACTGGGAAGATCCCGATGCAGCAGGCTCCAGGTCAGAGAAACTTAAGTCAATCTTCAGTGCCATTCCAACAGAACCCAATGATTGTGTGCCTTCCTTCACGAAAGACCAGGACTGGTCGAAGCACTTGCGGCTAACAATGGAGCCCCAATTCTCCCTGGGACTCTGCACCAGAGTAACCTTTCCACCAACCGTCTTCAGAGACAAGTCTCGGGGGATAGACATTGCACTGCGCCATGGGCTAGTAGGGATGAGTCCACCGTATTGCCAATTATTCATCCACCCAATAGCGACGCGCTCGCCTATAGGGAGTCCATTGTAGACCTGGGCCGCGTAGAAGTCTGGGCCCCAGTCCACCCAGTTAGCCACTTGGCTTCGCGCCATGGTATCCGAGAAGGAAATTTCATCGACATTAATGTGATCCCAGCCGCTGGTTGCAGTGTCAATAATCTGAATCACGGCAGTCTGGTTCAGGAACGAGCTGACATCCCAACTCTGCCAGGACAGGGTCTCGCTGTTGGTACCCGTCGCGGAACGCACGATCTCGCCGTCTATCTTCAAGTATACCGCTGTATTATTGAAGTCATGGCCACCGCCGATGAGGAAGTTGATATATCTCTTAGAGATTGTGAAGGACCTAGAAGTAAGTGTTCCTGTCGTGGCATCCCCGTCCAGGAACGTATTGACGAGGCGCTTACCGAGGTAACCGGAAACCGATTGTTGCCCAGGCAGAGTGCCGGAGACCGGTGACTGGCCGATCAAGTCTCCAGAAGGGGTCCAGCCAAGATCAGTAAAAGTTCCCGTGCCTTCAAAGTCCGCAAAAATGATGCTGTCGCTTGGTGGAGCGGTAGTCCCCGAATATATACTGTCGCTGTCCGCAGTGAAGGTCGTTCCGTCGAAATTCCCTACGATATATTGGCTGCCTGAGCCGATCGTTCCAGGGGGTCCACCAGGGTTAAGTCCTAGCAACGCGACCCATTTCACGTTGTTTTTATTTCCATCGACAGGGAGTGGGAAGAGATTGGGGCACTCCCATACCCCACCGACAGCATTCACTGGACCGAACTCACTAGCAAGAGTCCAGTTCTTAAGGTCTTTGGATGCATAAATTAGGAGCTTGTGAACCTTTGCCAAAGAGAGGACAGCAATCCACTTCTTCGTTGGTTCATGCCAGAAGACGTTGGGATCACGGAAGTCAAGGAACTGATCTGAATATGGGGCAGGAGGATCCAAAATAACCGGGTTTGCCACATCATATGTGATCCATGTCATGCCATCGTCCAGACTGTATGCAATAGACTGGGCTTGCTGGTCTTTTTGAACTTTCTTTCCACTTGGCAAGGTTTGTGCGATCGGGTACTAAAGGTTGACATTTTGTCAGTCAGGTTAGGGCACAAAGGCAGGATAAAACGTGTAGAGTACCTACATAGGAAGTATACATGGCAACCAAGGGCGTTTTGCCATTGTGACCAAAACCACTCGTATTATCAACATCAGCCACAGCAGATCCGGAGAAGAACATCTCAGTGATGTTGTTAGGAAAGCCACGGGCCTCGAGGGCGATAGGGTGATGCTCCCAGTGGGTTAAGTCGCGACTGGTCGCATGACCCCATGACATGGCACCCCACGTTGTTCCACCCGGGTTGTATTGGTAGAAAAGGTGGTATATTCCCTTGCAATACAGGAGGCCATTGGGGTCATTCATCCAGTTTATGGAAGGGGTAAAGTGGTACTGAGGGCGGTAGAGCTCAGTGTAGCTAGAATTTCCCGCAGACACCAGCTGGAATGCACTCAGCCCTAGAAGAAGAACTTTCATCATAATGGCCATGATAAGGTCCTAAAAGCAGTGGAGGTGTGCGAGGGTTAGGAATAGACAAAAGGACAGTTCGATTTTGGCAGAACGCAGCGTACACATGTTGCTATTTATATGGTAACCTGGTACTTTGAGACATCGCGGAGCACTGCATTGCTGGAGCGAAGGTGTGGGGTTATGGTGGGTAGACTGACAGCGACAGGCCCCTTGCGAAGCACTTCAAGTAGGAACTATACTTTCTTTTGTGTAGAAGAATCTTGATACAAGGGTGCTCCGCAGTAAATGGGATTGCAGTGGAACCCATCAGGACTGTCAGTTTTGCGTCTTCGGAGAAACAGAAAGTTAATTGAGCAGGGGATAGTTAATGTACTATGAGATTCGAAGGTGCTGTCGATACTTCTTGCGCAGTCCCCGCCTATAGCAACCCAGGCGGCCAGCGAGACTGGCCAGAGTCGCTAGATGGTGATTGTGAATTGTGGGGTAACTGGTGGATGTGCAGGGGCCGGATGCTCATGCTAGTCTCCAGAGCTCGTCCCCCGGAATTGCCTAAACTGCGGGGCTTCGGTTATTGTGCTAAAGGGCATCGCGGAGGGATCCAAAACTCCGCGACGTTCTCTTCTCAACATCTCATGTTTGCCATACGCAATTTCCCCAAGCGCTTGCCCCAGACCGTCGGAGCGCCATCCCAGGAATGTGATGGCGTTCATTCTCTATCCTAAGAGGTAACTGGTCGAACAAAAACTAAGCATGAGGAAAAAAAGGAAAGGAGCACGCTCAGCCGCGGGCAGAGATCACTTTTGTATGTGTGCGTACGGCTCTCGTCGGAGCCTAATCGGGAAATTGTGAAGACAAAGAGATATCCCGATTTGGAACTCCCTAGGGCTTAAGGCTCCGACAAGGAGCCAACGCGATACAGCTGCCATGTTCGAATATGACAGTCACGCTCGTAATGGCCCTCTCGTTTGTACCAGTTACAGATAAGTCGCTTATTCCGAGAATTTCGATTTGATTGTTCACGACGGTTTGAATTTGAGTTATTGCCTTCATTACGGAGGTTCCGAGAGCTTGTTCTGCGGTTCGGACGACGGCCTCGAGTTACTAGGGCTTGGCCAGATGTGTTGTCTCCTTCAGACGAGGAATCTTTGATATTGGCAAGCAGGTAGGTCACTATTTCAATGAAGGGAAGGTTCAATTGTTTTACCGTTTGACCTTCGGTTTTGTAACAGTCAGGGAGTTGATCCACAAGGATATGAATAGCTATATCTTGATGGATTTTATAAGAGGTGTTTTCCAAGGAAAGAAAGATATTGCGGAAATAACTTGTGTAGGTAGAAATGGTGTTCTTTGGCTCCCACTTGTTGCTGTGGAACAATTCATATTGGGTAATTAATGGGAGAGTTGTCCGTTGATCGCAGCCGGCCTTAAGTGAGGACCAGAGGTCTCTTGGGTTTGTATGGCCAATCTTATCTGTTGTCCATCCATTATTACTGATATTGATTCTCCAGTCATCTGGAAGATCCTCAAACCAGCCCAGTCGAGTATATTGTTTTGCCTTAAAAATGATGTACGAAGGCAAGACCCATCCGGTTGAATTTGTTGCCTCAATTGCAGTCACCCATTCTCGATTTCCAGGCTGTAATAGCTTTGGCCGAGCATATCGACCGCTTCCAGTAATAACCTTTGCAGTTGCACAAAGTCCCATAGCAAAGCCAGTCTCATCAAAATTGTAGATATCTTCCGGTAAGATTCCATACTTTGAGATAACCTCTTGTACGCGATCAAAATGCTCTTGTATTATATTCGGATCTTCACATTTAGCACGTTCGTAGTTATATTTCCGTGAGAACTGTGAATTA